AGCACAACAGTTTTCAGCTGTGCTAACATAATTGCAAAAGGGTTTTCTAATGATCAATTAGCCTTTTAAAATGATCAACTTGGATTAGCAAACACAACATGCCATTGGAACACAGGACTGATGGTTGCTGATAATGGGCCTCTGTACGCCTATGTAGATATTCCATTAAAATCAGCAGTTTCCAGCTACAATAGCATTTACAACATTAACAATGTCTACACTGTATTTCTGATCAATTTGATGTTATTTTAATGGACAAAAGAAATTGCTTTTCTTTCGAAAACAAGGACATTTCTAAGTGACCCCCAGAGAGAGAGAGAGAGAGAGAGTCTATACTCCAGCACTTTGGATTTGAAATGATACAATTACTATGAGGTTAAGTGCAGACTTTAATTTGATGTTATTTTCATCCATATCGGGTGAACCGTTTAGAAATTACAGCACTTTTTGAGGTGACCAAAGGTATTGGGACAAATCCAGTCGTGTAGTAAAAAGTTTAGTATTTGGTCTCCTATTCATAGCATGAGTGAGAATGTTAGCTGCACAAAGATCATACCCCCAAGACATGCTAACTTCTCACCATTCCAATAACAGGAGGTTAGCATGTCTTGGGGGTATGATCTTTTCACGATTTATTCAGGATTATCCGTAATCATGGTAGCATCCACATTAATGTAGAAGTATTTAGAACCATATCCTATTCTTATTTACAATAAAAGTGACTCTAAAATGAGACAATACATTATTTACCATTCATTTTTTACATTTTAGCAGACGCTCTTATCCAGAGCGACTTACATGAGCAATTAGGGTTAAGTGCCTTGCTCAAGGGCACATCGACAGATTTTTCACCTAGTCGGCTCGGGGATTAGAACCAGCGACCTTTCGGTTACTGGCACAACGCTCTTAACCACTAAGCTACCTGCCGCCCATTCATTTCTATTGGGCACAAAATGATCTGAAACACAACCAAAACAAACAGCAAATGCATCCAACAAATTTGTAGAGTCACAAGCTTGATGTAGTCATTGCATGCTATTAATATGGGACCAAATACTTCACTTTTAACTGCTACAATACACACACAAGTGAATTTGGCCCAATACTTTTGGTCTCCTAAAATGGGGGGACTATGTACAGAAAGTGCTCTAATTCTGAAACTGTTCACCCGATATGGATGAAAATACCCTCAAATTAAAACTGATAGTCTGCACCTTAACCTCAGTCATTGTATCATTTCAAATCCGAAGTGCTGGAGTACAGAGCCCCAAAAACATATATTATCACTGTCCCAATACTTTTGGAGCTCACTGTATACAATGCCTTCAGAAAGTATTCATAACCCCTTGACTTATTCTACATTTTGTGTTACAGCTTGAATTCAAAATGGATTAAATAGATGTTTGTTCTCACCCATCTACACACAATACCCCATGATGAATAAGTGAAAACATAGGATTTTTTGCAAATGTATTGAAATACAGAAATATCTCATTTAAATAAGTATTCACACCCATGAGCAGCGATTACAGCTGTGAGTCTTTCTGGGTAAGTCTCTAAGAGCCTATTTTATTTTCAAAATTCTTCAAGCTCTGTCAAATTGGTTGTTGATCATTGCTAGACAACCATTTTCAGGTCTTGCTATAGATTTACAAGTAGATTTAAGTCAAAACTGTAACTCGGCCACTCAGGAACATTCACTGTCTTCTTGGTGAGCAACTCCAGTTCAGATTTGGCTTTGTGTTTTTGGTTATTGTCCTGCTGAAGGTTAATTCATCTCCCAGTGTCTGATGGAAAGCAGACTGAACCAGGTTTTCCTCTAGGACTTTGCCCATGCTTAGCTCCATTCCGTTTCTTTTTTATCCTGAAAAACTCCCCAGTCCTTAAACGATTACAAGCATACCCATAACATGATACAGCCACCACTATGCTTTAGTGCCTTGTTGCAAACAGGATGCATGTTTAGGAATATGTTTTATTCTGTACAGGCTTCCTTCTTTTCACTCTGTCAATTAGGTTAGTATTGTGTAGTAACTACAATGTTGTTGAGCCATCCTCAGTTTTCTCCTGTCACGTCCATTAAACTCTGTAACTGTTTTAAAGTCAACATTGGCCTCATTGTGAAATCCCGGAGCGGTTTCCTTCTTCTCTGGCAACTGAGTTAGGAAGGACGCCTGTATCTTTGTAATGACTGGGTGTATTGAGACACCATCCAAAATGTAATGAATAACTTCACCATGCTCAAATGGATATTCAACATCTGCTTTTTTTTTATCCATCTACCAATAGGTGCTCTTCTTTGCGAGGCATTGGAAAACCTCCCTGGTCTTTGTGGTTGAATATGTGTTTGAAATTCACTGCTCGACTGAGGGACCTTACAGATAATTGTATGTGTGGGGTACAGAGATGAGGTAGTCATTCAAAAATCATGTTAAACACTATTATTGCACACAGAGTGAGTCCATGCAACTTATGTGACTTGTTAAGCACATTTTTACTACTGGACTTATTTAGGCTTGCCATAGCAAAGAGGTTGAATACTTATTGACCAAGACTTCAGTTTTTAATTTTTAATTAATTGGTAAAAAATTTGAAAAACATCATTGCACATTATGGGGTATTCTGTGTAGGCCATTGACAAGAAAATCTAAATTTAATCAATTTTAAATTCTGTCTGTAACACAACAAAATGTGGAAAAAGTCAATGGGTGTGAATACTTTCTGAAGGCACTGTATACACTGAGTGTACAAAACACTCTTTCCATGACAGACTGACCAGGTGAAAGGTATGATCCCTTATTGATGTCACTTGTTAAATCCACTTCAATCAGTGTAGATGAATGGGAGGAGACAGGTTAAAGAAGGATTTTAAGCCTTGAGACATGGATTGTGTATGTGTGCCATTCAGAGGGTGAATGGGCAAGACAAAAGATTGAAGTGCCTTTGAACGGGGTATGGTAATACAGTAGGTGCCAGGCGCACTGGTTTGAGTGTGTCAAGAACTGCAACGCTGCTGGGTCAAGCTCAACAGTTTCCCTTGTGTATCAAGAATGGTCCACCACCCAAAGGACATCCAGCCAACTTGGCACAACTGTGGGAAGCATCGAACACCTTGTAGAGTCTATGCCCCAACGAATTGAGGCTGTTCTGAGGGCAAAAGGGGGTGCAACTCAATATTAGGGCGGTGTTCCTAATGCTTTGTACACTTAGCGTATGCTAAGTGTACAAAAGTCCTAAGTATAATTTTGAAGGACATGCAATTGCTTGTGTCAGTGGGGTATTAAGGAACAGGCCTATCTGATAACTGGCTGAAACTGTAACCCTCATTTTGTAATCAGTTAATTTGCTCCAGTTTATCGGTGTCCATTAACTTTTATGTGGAAGATACAACAGTGTTCTATGGATTTTGTTTTCACTGATGTCATCAAACCCCTAATTTCATACCCTTAACTTTTACACATGCCAACTGAGAGAATGTGGAAAAAAGGTGGGACAGGTTTTGTCCTTTTAGTTTTTTAGAGGCCAACTCTGCTTTTCAGTCTAGATAGACCACCCCATTATTGTTTTGATCTGATCTCAGTGCAAGGAGTCAAGAGACCCCTATTGCCTGATCACATATTTTGTCTACTGATTTCCCAATGCTGTCAGAACAGGGGTGTTTTCATTAGGGCACATTGTAGCAAAACATTTTGACACAGAAATGATTGTTTCTAATTGGACACGTTCAGGTTAGCCCCCCCACCCCCACAGCTTATCCAACAACCAATGCTAGAAGCATATTCTCAATTGGGGAAAAAGTATCCTTTGTGACTCAGAAACTGAACAGGGGCCACCATATGTAGGAGTGTGAATTTGTTAATAAGTTAACGGAGGTGTCCTCCTCCTCTTCTCTATAGCACAACTGTATCCTCTCGGCTCCCTATCTCTGAAGCGTTTTGAAATCTGCCACACCTCCTTTGAATCAGTTGTTTTCTCGGAAGTTTAAAAACAATAAGCTACTACTTATCATTAAAATGTCTGGCACAACCAACTAAATTCCTTTAACACTTTACACATACTTTGGGATTCCTCTGTAAAAAATTAAGCCCTAGGACCATGCCTCAGGACTACCTGGCCTGATGAATCCTGGCTGTCCCCAGTCCACCTGGTCGTGTTGCTGATCCAGTTTCTGCTGTTCTGCCTGTGGCTATGGAACCCTGACCTGTTCACAGGACGTGCTACCTTGTCCCAGACCTGCTGTTTTCAACTCTCTCTCTCTACCGCACCTGCTATTTCAACCTCTTAATGCCCGACTATTAAAAGCCAAGTGACATTTACTCCTGATGTACTGACCTGTTGCAACCTCTACAACCACTGTGATTATTATTTGACCCTGCTGGTCATCTATGAACGTTTGAACATCCTGGAGAAAAATCTGGCCTTAATGGCCATGTACTGTTATAATCTCCACCCGGCACAGCCAGAAGGGGACTGGCCACCCCTCAGAGCCTGGTTCCTCTCTAGGTTTCTGCCTTTCTAGGGAGTTTTTCCTAGCCACCGTGCTTCTACATCTGCATTGCTTGCGGTTTTAGGCTGGGTTTCTGTATAGCACTTCGTGACATCTGCTGATGTAAAAAGGGCTTTATAAATAAAGGTGAATTTGAAATTCAAAGGGCGCTTGAGTGGAGTCTCATTTCATTCATGCGCTTTGAGATTCTCCCACAGAGCTCCAAAAACACTATCCTGAACACAATTTTGCTCTTTATAAAATAATTTCATTTGAACTGTGAATGTGACCACTTTCTTTTGGAATGTTTACCTGTGATGCCTGTATTCATGCCCCATCAAGCGTTATTGTACACCCTGGAGTAGATTTAATATAGTGTCTGCTAGATTACTTGTTTTCCCATACATACAACACCTGATGAAGACCTGCGAGCCGAAATGTTGGCAATTAAAATGTTCAATGCAAAGAGAATAATGTGACCATTTTTATTTAGGAGGTTTATCTTCAGTTAGCCTCCAATTCGCTAAAGAGTGTATTCTTTATTGATTTAACGTCATAAATCCATGCAACAGCATATACATGGTACTATGATCTACAATCCATTTCAAATGTGTTTTGCTCCTTGTAGCCAGTGAATCCCATCGACTTTGGCAAAGAAACCATGAAATGTAAAGGCAGTGCAAAAGAATGGAAAATAACTTGAATGCAGGTTTTTATTTGTGCATTAATTGGGGATTGGTTCAAAGCCTCCAGCTAGTTACACAGCTAAGTCCATTGGTGTAAACAATCGACTGGCAGCCTCGCTGTCAAGAACTTCACGTTGTCCAGGGGGGTTGGTAATGACATCTCACTTATACGTCTTCATGTGCCACAGTCCATCATTAAGATAGTGAACAGTTTCAACTCCTACTCCCTTGTTGACTTTCTCTCTGCTCACAAAAAGTGAAATGGAATAGCATTAGGCATGTTTGCACAAGTACATACAACACAGGAGGTTGGTGACACCTTAGTTGGGGAGGATGGGCTCGTGTTAATGGCTGGAGCGGAATTTGTGAAATGGTATCAAATATAAACATGGGTTCCATGTGTTTGATGCCATTCCATTTGCTCTGTTCCAGACATTATTATGAGCCGTCCCCTCAGCAGCCTGCACTAGGTACACATACATACATGCAAGTACATTTGTGGTATAAATGGGTCTTTCTATAAATAAGGGGGCCAATGTGTGACATTACCACTTAAGGAAAACTCCACCTAAAAACTATTAGTCCATTGTTGATATAGTCCCAAAATATTTTGCATGTCAGCAATCAGGTTTTCAAGATATGGGCCAGATTTCTGTATTTTGAAAGTTGCATATGATGCAAAATGCATCATAAGTGCCAGATTTCTGTATTTTGAAAGTTACTTATATCAACAATAGACTAATTTTTTTAATGTTTTACATTTTAGCAGACGCTCTTATCCAGAGAGACTTACAGGAGCAATTAGGGTGAAGTGCCTTGCTCAAGGACACATCGACAGATTTTTCACCTAGACGGCTCGGGGATTAGAACCAGCGACCTTTCGGTTACTGGCACAACGCTCTTAACCTCTAAGCTACCTGCCGCCCCAATGAAACAAAATACCAAAAGCGTTGTTTTTGGGTGAAGTTCCTTTTAAGAAGAATGCATTTTTTAGGCCTTGGCAATGCATTGATATTCAAATTATTATTACATTCTAAAATATGTGAGAATAATGTGGACATTGCCTGACTAAATAGATTGGATGCATGGTGATTTTTCTGTAGCCTGTGGCCAACACAGGCACACATAATGGAAGGATTTGTATGGATGACAACAGATGATGTCATCCTCATAATAAGTAGGGCAACACCCTTCAATTGAAGCAGCGGGAAACAAACGAAAGTGGCCACATCTCCCACAAAAACAGATCAAAAATGAAATCGCTGATAATTATTATGGGAGCAGAACTTACAAATTGGCTACAATAATTACAAGGACTTTTCATGCACCAAATTAAGGAAATGTCTGATTTTCAAGGTAGGCCTATACCAGTAGCCTACTTGAATTTCTGAGCTCCATATTCAAGTTGGCTACTTTCAAGCTCCTTGTATTGTTTAAAATTGCAGGTGTAACATGGAAAAATAAATGTATGTCATGTTCTCATTACCAGATCATATTGTGAATAAGCCCACTAGGCATGAAATGTGTTGCTATTTACAGTGCATTCGGAAAGTATTCAGACCCCTTGACAATCTACACCCAATACCCCATAATGACAAAGCAAAAACAGGTTTAGAAATTTTTGCAAATGTATTAAAAATAAAAAACAGAAATACCTTATTTACATAAGTATTCAGACCCTTTGCTATGAGACTCGAAATTGAGCTTGGGTGCATCCCGTTTCCATTGATCATCCTTGAGATGTTTCTACAACATGATTTGGAAAGGCACACACACCTATCTATATAAGGTCCCACAGTTGACAATGCATGTCAGAGCAAAAACCAAGCCATGAGGTCAAAGGAATTGTCCATAGAGCTCCGAGACAGGATTGTGTTGAGGCACAGATCTGGGGAAGGGTACCAAAAAATGTCTGCAGCATTGAAGGTCCCCAAGAACACAGTGGCTTCAATCATTTTAAAAATGGAAGAAGTTTGGAACCACCAAGACTCTTTCTAGAGCTGGCCGCCCGGCCAAATTGAGCAATCGGGGGAGAAGGGCCTTGGTCAGGGAGGTGTCCAAGAACCCGATGGTCACTCTGACAGAGCTCTAAAGTTCCTCTGTGGAGATGGGAGAACCTTCCAGAAGGACAACCATCTCTGCAGCACTCCACCAAATCAGGCCTTTATGGTAGAGTGGCCAGACGGAAGCCACTCCTTAGTAAAAGGCACATGACAGCCCGATTCTCTGGTCTGATTAAACCAATATTGAACTCTTTGGCCTGAATGCCAAGCATCACGTCTGGAGGAAACCTGGCACCATCCCTACAGTGAAGCATGGTGGTGGCGGCATCATGCTGTGGGGATGTTTTTCAGCAGCAGGGACTGGAAGACTAGTCAGGATTGAGGGAAAGATGAACGGAGCAAAGTACAGAAAGATCCTTGATGAAGACCTGCTCCAGAGCGCTCAGGACCCCAGAATAGGGGCGAAGGTTCACCTTCCAATAGGACAACGACCCTAAGCACACAGCCAAGACAATGCAGGAGTCTCTGAATGTCCTTGAGTGGCCCAGCCAGAGCCCGGACTTGAACCCGATCGAACATCTCTGGAGAGACCTGAAAATAGCTGTGCAGCAACGCTCCCCATCCAACCTGACAGAGCTTGAGAGGATCTGCAGAGAAGAATGGGAGAAACTCCCCAAATACAGGTGTGCCACACTTGTAGCGTCATACCCAAGAAGACTCAAGGCTGTAATCGCTGCCAAATGTGCTGTCACAAAGTACTGAGTAAAGGGTCTGAATACTTATGTAAATGTAATATTTCTGGTTTTTATTTTTTATACATTTGCAAAAATTTCTAAAAACCTGTTTTTGCTTTGTCATTATGGGGTATTGTGTGTAGATTGATGAGGGGGAAAAAACCATTTAAAATCAATTTTAGAGTAAGGCTGTAATGTAACAAAATGTGGAAAAAGTCAAGGGGTCTGAATACTTTCCAAATGCACTGTATATCCAGAATAATTAATAGGAAGCGCGTTGGGTGTTGCGGAAAAGTCTATCCTATAGAATTCCGCACAGTAGACTCAGTGTCCAATCCGGGGCACAAAAACATATGAAAACGAACTCATTACATTGATGCTTTCTGTTAAATCTACGGATATTAGAGCCAACGTGGATCCAGGCACAACTGTCTTCACTGATGTAATGAATGAGACACCAAAATATTCTGGACATTCCTCACGAACATCGCATGAGCTATCACAACAGCTATTCGTCACATGACTGTCATTCGGAAAATTCCTTCCTGGATCAGATGATGTGTGAGAAAATATCACACTTAACTAATCAGCTGGACACCAAATGCACATCCAACAAGTATTACGCATAATTATTGAAGAACCACATTAGTGACAGTATTGATTTAGGTTTTAAGTATTAAGGTAAGGTGACTCTTTTGGTTAGAAGCATTGTATTTTGCAATCTCATACATCATTTTGGATGTGTATGCCCATGAAGACTGTTTTCACCCCATAACATGAGGAGACACGAAATGCTACCTGGAAATGGATCCTATTGCAGAAATTCAATATAACCGCTATAGTGACCGCCGCTTTATACTAGCATGGGGAAAATCTGAAGGCCTTGTCCATTATCCATGAGTCTGTCAGTAATCAGGTGAGAGAGGCTGACAGACTGATGGTAGAACAATCTAAGGCAGCGGTCTAAGGCACGGCATCTCAGTGCTTGAGGTGTCACTACAGACCCCCTGGTTCGATTCCAGGCTGTATCACAACCGGCCGTGATTGGGAGTCCCATAGGGCGGCGCACAATTGGCCCAGCGTCGTCCGGGTTTGGCCGGTGTAGGCCGTCATTGTAAATAAGAATTTGTTCTTAACTACACTTGCCTAGTTAAATAAAAGGTCAAATAAAATAAATAAAATATATCAGCCATTGTGACTGAACGATTCTGGGATAGTATTTTCTCCTGGGAAAATGGTGAGCTAATCAATGCTGTAAACATCTGTTCCTTTGTTATTCTGTTCTCTACGTTTTCGTTGGCTGGTAACTTGCTGTATGTGCCTTTGTGTCAAACGGATTCTCACCCAAAGTGTGAGCAATAATGTTTACCTGTCTGTCCCCTCTGCTCCCTCTCTGGAAGAGGAGGGACAGAACATTCTTATGACTGAAATGCCCTTTCCCCCAGACAGGGAAGTCTGAAACCCCTGGTTTACTGAGCTCCAGTACCAGGCCTAGTTATGCTGAGATACCATAAAAAGGGAGGATTGTGGAAAAGGACATTTGATATCTTATATGACCTGAAGAAGGGTCATCCTGTTCCTTGTCTTGTCTGTAAGGTTGCTCTGTTCCCTGATATGCTCAAATCACAGTGATTCAATTTACCCTTTTGTAATATAACCAGTCTGTTTCTAAACTGCCCTGTTCTAACTTTCTGTGTAGCAATCTATTGATAAGCAGAAGTACCAGACTCATTCGAAGGGCATGTTCAACACCCCACCCATCCTGGGTCTGTATAAATGTCTGTGATCAAGGAGCGAGTCAAATTGGTTTTCCCTTGCATGCATACTCGTAATAAAGCTTTTATATATTGAGATCGGACTGCCTTCGGAGTGGTTTGTCCACCACAATAGCTGCACTGCATTTCCGAGAACACTATAGATCCAGGAATCTTAAAAGGGATCAAGTTCAATGTCAAATTTAACTGATTAATGCTTAATACACTGCTCAAAAAAATAAAGGGAACACTTACACAACACAATGTAACTCCAAGTCAATCACACTTCTGTGAAATCAAACTGTCCACTTAGGAAGCAACACTGATTGACAATACATTTCACATGCTGTTGTGCAAATGGAATAGACAACAGGTGGAAATTATAGGCAATTAGCAAGACACCCCCAATAAAGGACTGGTTTTGCAGTTGGTGACCACAGACCACTTCTCAGTTCCTATGCTTCCTGGCTGATGTTTTGGTCACTTTTGAATGCTGGCGGTGCTTTCACTCTAGTGGTAGCATGAGACGGAGTCTACAACCCACACAAGTGGCTCAGATAGTGCAGCTCATCCAGGATGGCACATCAATGCGAGCTGTGGCAAGAAGGTTTGCTGTGTCTGTCAGCGTAGTGTCCAGAGCATGGAGGCGCTACCAGGAGACAGGCCAGTACATCAGGAGACGTGGAGGAGGCCGTAGGAGGGCAACAACCCAGCAGCAGGACTGCTACCTCCGCCTTTGTGCAAGGAGCACTGCCAGAGCCCTGCAAAATGACCTCCAGCAGGCCACAAATGTGCATGTGTCTGCTCAAACGGTCAGAAACAGACTCCATGAGGGTGGTATGAGGGACCGACGTCCACAGGTGGGGGTTGTGCTTACAGCCCAACACCGTGCAGGACGTTTGGCATTTGCCAGAGAACACCAAGATTGGCAAATTCGCCACTGGTGCCCTGTGCTCTTCACAGATGAAAGCAGGTTCACACTGAGCACGTGACAGACGTGACAGAGTCTGGAGACGCCGTGGAGAACGTTCTGCTGCCTGCAACATCCTCCAGCATGACCGGTTTGGCGGTGGGTCAGTCATGGTGTGGGGTGGCATTTCTTTGGGGGGCCGCACAGCCCTCCATGTGCTCGCCAGAGGTAGCCTGACTGCCATTAGGTACCGAGATGAGATCCTCAGACCCCTTGTGAGACCATATGCTGGTGCGGTTGGCCCTGGGTTCCTCCTAATGCAAGACAATGCTAGACCTCATGTGGCTGGAGTGTGTCAGCAGTTCCTGCAAGAGGAAGGCATTGATGCTATGGACTGGCCCTCCCGTTCCCCAGACCTGAATCCAATTGAGCACATCTGGGACATCATGTCTCGCTCCATCCACCAATGCCACGTTGCACCACAGACTGTCCAGGAGTTGGTGGATGCTTTAGTCCAGGTCTGGGAGGAGATCCCTCAGGAGACCATCCGCCATCTCATCAGGAGCATGCCCAGGTGTTGTAGGGAGGTCATACAGGCACGTGGAGGCCACACACACTACTGAGCCTCATTTTGACTTGTTTTAAGGACATTACATCAAAGTTGGATCAGCCTGTAGTGTGGTTTTCCACTTAAATTTTGAGGGTGACTCCAAATCCAGACCTCCATGGGTTGATACATTTGATTTCCATTGATAATTTGTGTGTGATTTTGTTGTCAGCACATTCAACTATGTAAAGAAAAAAGTATTTAATAAGATTATTTCATTCATTCAGATCTAGGATGTGTTATTTTAGTCTTCCCTTTATTTTTTTGAGCAGTGTATATGATATAACGGCATCTTACACTGCCATAAATGCAAGGTCAGAAAAGTTTCAGGTCACACGATTTTGGGAAAGATCCATCAAGACACCAACCATGATAAAGGGTTAAACATCAACTCGTGAATTTTATTGAATATAGCTATACCCCCTTATATCTTAATGTAATGACATGAATAATGTTTTTTGCAGATTATTATCAATGATTTATCAACAGCTGTAACAAGTTGTTCAGTGTAGGAAATCCTCCCTGGTACCCTAGATTATAGAAAGACCCAAATAGGAAAAAGCACATGACGTGATACTTACATGTCTTCTGCAGACATCTTCATGACTCCGACACAAAGCGCATGTTGCTTGCCCTCCGCCATTATGGCCTGAAACCAATTGTCAAGGAAACACCACCTCACATGCACTTGATACTAACAGGAAGTGTCAAAACACCAATGTTGGTGTATAACATCATTACAGGCTGACAAGCATGCATGAGAGCACCAGCTGTTCCGGACGACCGTGTGATAACGCTCTCGGTAGCCGATGTCAGCAAGATCTTTGAACAGGTCAACATTCACAAAGCCGCGGGGCCAGACGGATTACCAGGATGTGTACTCAAAGCATGTGCGGACCAACTGGCAAGTGTCTTCACTGACATTTTCAACCTCTCCCTGACTGAGTCTGTAATACCTACATGTTTCAAGCAGACCACCATAGTCCCTGTGCCCAACGAAGCGAAGGTAACCTGCCTAAATGATTACCACCCCACATCACTCACGTCAGTAGCCATGAAGTGCTTTGAAAGGCTGGTCATGGATCACATCAACAGCATCATCCCGGATACCCTAGACCCACTCCAGTTCACATACTGCCCCAACAGATCCACAGATGACGCAATCTCAATCGCACTCCACACTGCCCTTTCCCACCTGGACAAAAATAACACCTATGTGAGAATGCAGTTCATTGACTACAGCTCAGCGTTCAACACCATTGCGCCCACAAAGCTCATCACTAAGCTAAGGATCCTGGACTTCCTGATGGGCCGCCCCCAGGTGGTAAGGGTAGGCAACAACACGTCTGCCACGCAGATCCTCAACACTGGGGCCCCTCAGGGGTGCGTGCTTAGTCCCCTCCTGTACTCCCTGTTCACCTACGACTGCGTGGCCAAACACGACTCCAACACCATCATTAAGTTTGCTGACGAGACAACAGTGGTAGGCCTGATCACCGACAACGATGAGACAGCCTATAGGGAGGAGGTCAGAGACCTGGCAGTGTGGTGCAAGGACAACCTCTCCCTCCATGTGAGCAAAACAAAGGAGCTGATCGTGGACTACAGGAAAAGGCGGGCCGAACAGGCCCCCATTAACATCGACGGGGCTGTAGTGGAGCGGGTCCAGAGTTTCAAGTTCCTTGGTGCCCACATCACCAATGAACTATTATGGTGCAAACACACCAAGACAGTCGTGAAGAGGGCACGACAACACCTTTCCCCCCTCAGGAGAATGAAAAGATTTGTCATGGGCCCCCAGATCCTCAAAAAGTTACAGCTGCACCATCGAGAGCATCCTGACCGGTTGCAACACCGTCTGGTATTGCAACTTCTTGGCATCTGACCGTAAGGCGCTACAGAGGGTAGTGCGTACGGCCCAGTACATCACTAGGGCCAAGCTTCCTGCCATCCAGGACCTACAGTGAGGGAAAAAAGTATTTGATCCCCTGCTGATTTTGTACGTTTGCCCACTGACAAAGAAATGATCAGTCTATAATTTTAATGGTAGGTTTATTTGAACAGTGAGAGACAGAATAAAAATAAAAATCCAGAAAAACACATGTCAAAAATGTTATAAATTGATTTGCATTTTAATGAGGGAAATAAGTATTTGATCCCCTCTCAATCAGAAAGATTTCTGTCTCCCAGGTGTCTTTCACACAGGTAACGAGCTGAGATTAGGAGCACACGCTTAAAGGGAGTGCTCCTAATCTCATCTTGTTACCTGTATAAAAGACACCTGTCCACAGAAGCAATCAATCAGATTCCAAACTCTCCAGCATGGCCAAGACCAAAGAGCTCTCCAAGGATGTCAGGGACAAGATTGTAGACCTACACAAGGCTGGAATGGGCTACAAGACCATCGCCAAGCAGCTTGGTGAGAAGGTGACAACAGTTGGTGCGATTATTCGCAAATGGAAGAAACACAAAATAACTGTCAATCTCCCTCGGCCTGGGGCTCCATGCAAGATCTCACCTCGTGGAGTTGCAATGATCATGAGAACGGTGAGGAATCAGCCCAGAACTACACGGGAGGATCTTGTCAATGATCTCAAGGCAGCTGGGACCATATCACCAAGAAAACAATTGGTAACACGCTACGCCGTGAAGGACTGAAATCCTGCAGCGCCCGCAAGGTCCCCCTGCTCAAGAAAGCACATATACAGGGCCGTCTGAAGTTTGCCAATGAACATCTGAATGATTCAGAGGAGAACTGGGTGAAAGTGTTGTGGTCAGATGAGACCAAAATCGAGTTATTTGGCATCAACTCAACTCACCGTGTTTGGAGGATGAGGAATGCTGCCTATGACCCCAAGAACATCATCCCCACCGTCAAACATGGAGGTTGAAACATTATGCTTTGGGGGTGTTTTTCTGCTAAGGGGACAGGACAGCTTCACCGCATCAAAGGGATGATGGACGGGGCCATGTACCATGAAATCTTGGGTGAGAACCTCCTTCCCTCAGCCAGGGCATTGAAAATGGGTCGTGGATGGGTTTTCCAGCATGAAAATCACCCAAAACACACAGCCAAGGCAACAAAGGAGTGGCTCAAGAAGAAGCACATTAAGGTCCTGGAGTGGCCTAGCCAGTCTCCAGACCTTAATCCCATAGAAAATCTGTGGAGGGAGCTGAAGGTTCGAGTTGCCAAACGTCAGCCTAGAAACCTTAATGACTTGGAGAAGATCTGCAAAAAGGAGTGGAACAAAATCCCTCCTGAGATGTGTGCAAACCTGGTGGCCAACTACAAGAAACGTCTGACCTCTGTGATTGCCAACAAGGGTTTTGCCACCAAGTACTAAGTCATGTTTTGCAGAGGGGTCAAATACTTATTTCCCTCATTAAAATGCAAATCAATTTATAACATTTTTGACATGTGTTTTTCTGGATTTTGTTGTTGTTATTCTGTCTCTCACTGTTCAAATAAACCTACCATTAAAATTACAGACTGATAATGTCTTTGTCAGTGGGCAAACGTACAAAATCAGCAGGGGATCAAATACTTTTTTTCCCTCACTGTATATACTAGGCGGTGTCAGGGGAAAGCCCAAAAAATTGTCAAGGACTCCAGTCACCAAAGGCATAGACTGTTCTCTCTGCTGCCGCACGGTAAGTGTTACCGGAGCGCCAAGTCTAGGACCAAAAGGCTCCTTAATAGCTTCTACCCCCAAGCCATAAGACTGCTGAACAATTAATCAAATGGCCACCCGGACTATTTACATTGACCCCCCCCATTTGTTTTTACACTGCTGCTACCCGCTGTCTATTTTCTATGTATAGTCACTTTACCACTACCTACATGTAGAAATTACCTCGACTAAGCTGTACCCCTGCACATTTACCCGGTACCCCATGTATATAGCCTCATTATTTTATTGTGTTACTTTTTATTATTTTTTACTTTAGTTCATTTGGTAAATATTTTCTTAACTCTTTCTTATAATATAATATTATATAATATGCCATTTAGCAGACGCTTTTATCCAAAGCGACTTAGTCACGCGTGCACACATTGTTGGTTAAGGGCTTGTAAGTAAGCATTTCACGGTAAGGTCTACACCTGTTGTATTCAGCGCATGTGACAAATAAAGTTTGATTTGATTTGACATAATGGTGCGTTCGGAAGGTTCTCAGGAGCTCATTAGCTCCCAGTTGGTGAGTCATAACTACAACATTCGAGTACTTTTGAAGTCAGAACAACTCTTCAACCAATGACCTAAACATTGCTAATAAGTTAGTAAGCTCGTTTACATTTAAAATGTGTAAAACCAGATATATGGGTCAAACTGCAAAATTATACACATTATTAAGGTTGTAAATGGCTTTGTTTTACCATCTTTTGTTCGAAGAATTGAAAGGTCAGTGATGAAACGTCACAACTCATACACTCGGGTATCAAAATTCTGGTCTGAGTTTCCCGCTTGTATCTCTGACTTGTTGAGGGCCAATCTAGTGGTAAGCCATTTCCAACTTGGGAACTCGGACCTCCTAGTTTCTGAAAGCATCATCATGATCGTAATGAATATGATTACATGGATGGGGGACGGGGGGCCTGATCCTAAATAAACACTTTTACTAATAGACACTGAGAAAACAGCCCGGTAAGATGTTGTACTGAACATACATGATCAGCATAATCGGTCATAGGAAGGATACAACTACTGTTTCTGAGGCAGAGGGGTAGAGTTTGGCGCCTGGGGACGTCAATCCAGGACACATGATATTGGCTCCACTTAAGACAAACTTGATGGCCCCTTTGTCTACTTGTTGGTGTGGAAGAATAAAGGGGTCTGTAAAATATGAACAGAGAAACTTACTTAACAGTACACTGCAACACATCACACAGTAATTTATCAGACAACTGCACATCAAAAAGAGCAGAGGACTTACACTTATGCAGCAGTCGGAGGGTTGGGTAGAACGGGCCTTCTCTTTGTCTGAAGAAGAGCAATTCTCCATTCACCGTCAAGATTTCAATGTGTTCATGGCTGCAGGTTGGATGACAGAACACAACACATAACATGTCAAACTGTTCTCTTGTTCACCCAAGCGTGGCTGTACCCAGCCCTCTTGGGTTCTCAGCCGAATCATGCAACGCGGCCAATGTGTACAACAATCCCAACACGGTTTCTAAATAGCTATCCAGCATCTCTGAACACCTGTGTGTAACGGAAGAAGGAAGCTAGAAAAGTGTTGAAACTAAAACAATATAGTTGGCTGCAACTGTTAAAATGTACAGTAAGTGTATTTTTTGGATTTGTAAAATTATTTTGATGTGATATGAAAGTAGAGGGCCTTACATCTCTAGAACCAAATTGCAATTGAGAATCCATTCATGTTTATATGGAGTATCAGACTGTTTTGGCTGCCAGAGTCAATTCGCCTCTTGACATAACTTATAATGGCCTTGGACGGTAAGGAGTAGACTAGCCTACACTCCTTCAGTCCATCTTGGGCTAGTCAAACTGATGTCAACAAATATTCAAAGACAATGGACTTGTTAGACATTGCAGGTGACTTGCGACTGACTGATCTACAAATCACCTTGCATGATCATAAATAACACTAATTATTATTTGTAGATCAGTCAGTCGGTCACCATTTACCCACAATGCATCATGGACTTGCTGATCTGAAACCATGGACTGTACATACAGTCTAACACGGCCACTGATAAGGGGGAAAATATTATCTTCTTGACTTACCATCTCACTATTTTGACAGGGTCCTTTTTTGGCATGATATGGTTGAGCCATGACTCAATGTCTGGAAACTGGTCCAACAGCTGGTTTTTGATGCCTTTGATTACAGAGGTCTTCAGCTGAATACAGTTGGAAACATTTTCCTTCTCATCAAATCTGAAACGAGACAATGGAAACACATTCATGTTAGTTTGACCCTTCATTCAAATGAAAGCTAATCAAGAGTTATCAGTTGATAAGTCTATTTGGAAGACTAACAACATTTTATAGTTAGCTAGCTAAATGGCTATAGTTAGCTAACTAGCTGCCTGGTCATGTAGATAGCTAGTTAGCTAGGGAAATCATGCATAATACCTACTTTTTAAACATCCTCGTTGGTCGCGCTTACTGTGTTCTTCTCTACCTAGACAAGTCTATTATTTTGCTTGATGTTTGACTTTGATAAACAAAAATACAATAACATGTATTTCATATATCAATTCAATAGTCTCCCCCACGCCTGTTTCGCAGTTTATAGGCAGCAAGTGACGTCAACTTGCGACATGCATGCGACAGTTTCGAGCAAAATACGGCAGGCTCCGACCCCGAAGGCGCCATTCGAATATTTTAAAGATGAGTCCTTCCTTTCTCCCTTCCTTCTATACTTTCTTCCTTTCCTTGTCCTTTCTATACATTGAAAATACGTTCTAAACCCTAACTTTAGACAGTAAACCAAAAACTTGAGACAGTAAAACATAGCTGGGTATATTAAAACACATTATTAGACCATGCCAGAAATAAAACGGTGTTTTGTCAGATTCTACTACATGGAGATACATTTACACCGTCTCTGGCGCCATCATGCGGCACATGACAGTTAAACAGCTAAAGAAAGCTTGCTGAGTAGCATAGCCACTTTTGCTGGTCGTCACTAGTTACCACAGCCACAAAGTCATAAACCCCGCCCATTTCTACAATTTATCTTCTGAAATGTACTAATTTAAACCTAACCCTAACCACACTGCTTACCTTATGCCTAGCCCTAACCTTAAATTAAGTTTAAAAATCATGCATTTTTACGATATAGTGTCTGTGGTAACTAGTGGAAACCACTTTTGCAGCAGTTACATGTGGGTAAAGTACTTCCGGTAGGTCATGGAATCGCTTGTAGAAGGTACGTTTTGATATTGAACTTTCCAGGTGTTATGGCCATTTAACACTTGATACATTAAATATTTAGGGTATAAATAAGTCTCTATTGGATGCCGATAAAACTAAGTACCGATCCACAACGTGGGTATTCGAGAGAGGCCAAGACAATAGGAAGCAGTAATCAACCATCTTTCTTCTGCCAGCAGAAATAACAAGAAAAGAGAGAGGGTCCAAGTCATTGAGCTGGTCCAAGTGGGGCTGTAGTTTGCAATGTATTGTCTGTTTCTTAACTAGTTACTTGTGAAAGACCGGACGAATCGTTTGGAATATAGCAAGATAAAGCTTGGAAACACGACTCGTTCAACCACGGCACACCTGGAGGTTTATGATTAGGACACTGGCTATAGCTATTAGAATTTGTATTCATTTTTTCATGTTTCCAACAGGTTTACCTTCCCCTAATCCCCCACCGCCAACCCAAGAGGCTAGTCCAGCAGCTTCAGATGTAAATAACGACAGCAGTATCACGTCTTCGAAGAAGAGGAAAATAAACCGTTCTGAAAGGGAAGACATTGATTCAATCTCTTCATCTCCTAAAACCACCAATTCCTCATCTTCCTCCTGCTCCTCCACTTCGCAACACATCCAGAAGAAGTTGAGGTTCGAAGATTCAGTAGATTTCATTGGACTGGATGTGAAAATGGCCGAGGAGTCGTCTGCATCGTGTTCTTCTAACAAGATGAAAACAGTTTTTTTGGCTGGGGGTGTTGGGCACCATGCAAACGGGCTGACGAAAACGGCAGGGTCCACTACCTTCTCCAACAGCAAACCTGGCGTTGCAAAGAAACTAGTCATCAAGAACTTCAAAGGTAGTGTGCTATTCAAAACAGTCAAGTGATGGATGCAATGAAATGCGTGCTGTAATCCCATTTGGCCCTTATAGTGAAAGTGTATTCTAAAATGGTGTTAATTACTTGGCCTTGCCTAAAATACGTGCTTTAGTCTGTCTGGCTAATCTATGCAATTTTACAGTTGAATATGTCATTTTAAAATGCACAATGATACGCTATACTATTTAAATGTCTGACATGATGTAGCTCATTTTTCTGAATATTGTTTTTTTTTATAGATGTGTTATACTGATTCTGTGTAAAAAAAAAAACAACAACAAGTGGTACAGATAAAATAATGACACACCAGAGAATGACTGTCCTCAAACTGCTTCCCTGTCTCTCTCATTTTCTTCACAGAAAAGCCCAAATTGCCAGAGAACTACACACACGAGACCTGGCAAAAGCTAAAGGAGGCGGTCGAGGCCATTCAGAACAGCATTTCAATCAAGTACAATCTTGAGGAGCTCTACCAGGTACAACAAAATACTGCACCTGCCTCATCAGAACAGCCCTGGGTCATGTTCAAATACCATTTTATTTGTCACATGCTTTGTAAACAACAGGTGTTGACTAACAGTGAAATGCTTACTTACGGGTCATTTTTCAACAATGCAGAGTTAAAGATAATAAATAGAAATAGTGACACAAGGAATAAATACACAGTGAACAAAAATGACGAGTAAAAATAACATAATTTGGCACCAAACTGACTAAATCAGGGTGATGCAACCTGGACTTGTCCAATGCTTGTTTTCATTGTCCTATGCAAAAGTTTTATGCTCCGTGCCCTAATGAACACTACCCTGTGTTTTGTGGTTATTATTATGATTGGCCACAGATGGGATGCCCTCCTCCCCTGTGATTTTCATGACCTTGACTTCTTATTCAAACCCTATGATTTCGCAGTCCGTAAGCTAAACAGTCCTAACATACAAGCTATTTTTTTTCTTCATGTCTCTAGGCCAGTATCTTGCGAAAGAGCTTGACAATAATTTGCGTGATATGTCTGCACTATTTAATAGCTGTGTTGAGTAATGGGATGTTTAGATTACTTGGTGTGAGTGTCTTCTGTAGGATATTACATGCATAGATAATCAGTGTTTTTAGCCCTAAAATGTAATAAACTCTAAGCACTCTCCTTTCTGTTTGTTGTTTAGGCTGTGGAGAACCTCTGCTCCCATAAGATATCAGCCAAGCTCTACAAACAACTACAGGTTGTGTGTGAAGACCACATCAAGGCACAAATCGATCAATTCAGAGAATATCCTTTTGTGTGTGTGTAAATAGATGGTACTAGAAAGATAACATGTTTCAATATATGTTTAGACACTATTAAATCCTTGATTACTCAATGTAGGCTATTATCATACGTCTAATTATTTTGTTCAAGTATTTACTAGGGGATAGCTTTTGCCTTTTGAACTACAGAAACTCAAATCATGTCCTTATGAAGTCTGAAATTGAATGCATGTCTTTTTAATCATGTGTACTGAAATGACACTGCTGCTGCTTTGTGTTATGCATATGAAACCTGCTACATCCTTGACTCTGCTCACGGATGCACTGGACAGTACGCTCTTCCTGAAGAAAATAGACAAGTGTTGGCAAGATCACTGCAGACAAATGGTATGTCTAGGACTCTGTCCTTGATAGGATGTAATTTGATAGGTCTCATTCAATTAATTTCCTATTAATATGATTGAGATTATAGGCCTACATGATTTCTTTCATCTTTACTTTTTTTTTACAGATCATGATTAGAAGTATATTTTTGTTCTTGGACCGCACCTATGTTTTACAAAATTCAATGCTCCCATCAGTCTGGTGAGTTTCTGTTCCTCAAATAAACATTCTGTAGAAAACATTAATAATGTCCTATTTCTAGCCGTATTTGTCAAGTCATTGGCTATGGTTCATATTAATATCACCCCTCTTCCCTTCAGGGACATGGGCCTGGAGTTGTTTAGGTTTTACATTGTCAGCGACATCAAGGTCCAGAGCAAGACCATCGACGGCATCCTGCTGCTCATCGAGAGGGAGCGCAGCGGCGAGACCATCGACCGCAGCCTGCTGCGGAGCCTATTGAGCATGCTTTCTGACCTGCAGGTATGGCTCTGCCCCTTCACACAGGGCATGGGGAAAGTCTACTCAGTGGATATCTTGTCCTATTGGCCCGGTGAATCAACCCTTAGCCCCTACCCCAGTGGTCCCCAAACTAGGGGTCGTGACCCCATGTGGGGACGCTTGATGAAAATGGGGTCGCGGGAGAATTTCCAAAATCCTGAAGGAAAACAATCTATACCAAAAAAATATATACTGAATAAAAATATAAACGCAACTATTTCAACAATTTTAGCTACAGTTCATATAAGGAAATTATTCAATTGAAATAAATTCATTAGGCCCTAATCTATGGATTTCACATGACTGGGCAGGGGCGCAGCCATTGGTGGGCCTGGGAGGGCATAGACCCACCCACTTGGGAGCCAGGCCCAGCCAATCCAAATTAGTTTTTCCACACAAAAATGCTTTATTACAGACAGAAATGCTTATCCGTTTCATCAGCTGTCTGGGTGGCTGGTCTCAGACGATCCCGCAGGTGAAGAAGCCGTATGTGGAGGTCTAGGGCTGGCATGGTTACACGTGGTCTGGGGGTTGGACATACTGCCAAATTCTCTAAAAGACGTTGGAGACAGCTTGTGGTAGAGAAATTAACATGAAATGATCTGGCAACAGCTCTGGTGGACATTCCTGCAGTTAGCATGCCAATTGCACACTCCCTCAACTTGAGCTTTTTGTGCGTATGGAACATTTCTGGGATCATTTTATTTCAGCTCATGAAACATGGGACCAACACTTTACATGTTGCATTTTATATTTTTGTTCAGTATATATTATAATGTCTTTGTATCTCAACCAGTGACCGCACTTGACCGTTGCACTTGAATCATTACCACGGTGAATGGCTAGGCCCGCTACTCTATGAAACCACACACTATTGCAGTGATTTTGATATTACCGGCGGCAATTGATATGGTGAAAACAATGTGTTGGGAGGCACATAAACTCAATATCAATACCTATGTCAGATAACTGTTAAACAAATAATTTATGCTATTGCTAGCAATCAAGAGGAAACTGACTGACTCAAACTCCCCAGGTTATGCTCTCCAAATGGACGTGAGGGCCAAGATGCCCATGCATTGACTTTTGTTCTCTATACATGTCGGGGGATGCTATTCACGAGGACGTATTGTTCTGTCTCATGATTCCTGAGCATGAAACCGGTTAGGGGATGTTCAGTGTGCTGCGTGGCTAAATTGATGGTGGGCTTTTGCACAGATGGGGCTCCATCTACAGGATGGCGAGCAGGCCTCTGCACTCTAGTTATCAATGTGTTTCCCTCTGCCATATGGACACATTGTATGATACACCGAAAGCAACTGGCGGCAAAAGAGCTGAACGCAGAACTCTGACATATACTGCAGAAGGTAACTTTGATTATAAACTACATCAAACCACATCCACTGCGTGCACGCCTGTTCGAATAAAACTATGGAAATATGGGATCAGAGCATGACAATGTTCTATTTCACACTGAGGTTTGGTGGTTATAGAGAGGGAGTGTTGTAAAGATTTTTTTGCATTGACAGAGGAACTGTTGTCATTCACAATAGATGTAAACATATATATATATATATATATATATATATATATATTGTTTTAAACAGACTTTGTTGACTTTCTGTGTAATTGAAGAAAATAGCAGAAAACAGCATCAGAAAGTGTCCCACATGAGTGATGACTGCTCACCTCCAATGCTTGGAAGAGCACTTTGGTACCTACTTCCCAATCCGTTTGACTGTGATCCTGGCTCAATTGACATGCCGGTAAGTGAAATCGAACAGCTGATCGAGCTGTCCTGTGATCGAATGCTGCAGACACCGCGTTCACGGGTCACTACGGAGGAGTTTTGGTTCCTGACTCGAAGGGAATACCCTGCCGTCTCCCTCTGAGCATTAATGCTGCGTTCAAAACAACTCTGAAATCTTCAGTGCTTTCAAGACAACTGGGAACTCGGAAAGAAACGAGCTCAGACTGGGAAAAATAATTTTGAATGGTCATCCAACTCTGAATTCCTAGTTGGGAACTCAGTCCTCTTTCTAGAGCTTCGACTTTCTGACCTCAAGATCACTGACGTCATGATTTGACCTCACATTTTTCAGAGTTTCCAGTTGTCTTGAAGGCACCATAAAACTCATGGTAGGCTACCCTTCGCCAGCTCATATCTGTGTGAAGCTGGATTCAGTGCTCTCAACTGCATTAAAACCCAATATCGATCCAGGTTGGATGTGACAGCAGAGATGAGGTGCGCACTGTCGATCACGCCCCCTGACTTTGAGAAACTCCGACGCAACATGCATCAAGCACACCCTTCTCATTAGTGGTGGTGAGATAAGAGATATTATGTCGGACTAATTTGCAATTGACTGATGGTGAGTTGGGAAGACAATCAGAAATACTGTTAGAATGTTTTTCAATTGATTGCCGTAGCCCAAATAAAGTAAACATTGGCTGTTAATGACCAAAAAAAATGCACATGTTTGGGGTCGTGAGAATTTTCAGATATCAAAAAAGTTTGGGAACCCCTACCCCCTAAGCACTTCTGTAGATCAGAAAGGATTGGACAGGTTTATGAAATCTGTCAAAAAATTCCCCTAGCCCAGATGGCAATATGTTTCTTGCAGCTATCAATTTCTTCCAATGTGCAGGGTGGCTAGGGGTTGATCCTGCACCATGCCATCATTTTTTTGGCCGTTCAATTCATTGTACTACTCAATATGTAATACTCCCATACAGTAAGACAAACACAGCCAAGGGCACAAGGCTCCATCTTTCATTGAGGAAGATGGCTTGTTCATAACAAAACCCTTTGATATTGCCAACCACTTTAAGAACGTTTTTGTTGACAAGATTAGCACACTTAGGTATGACATGCAAACAACACATGCTGAGCCTTCATATTCATGCATAATGGACCAAATAATGAAAGACAAGCACTGTTGCTTTGAGTTCCACAAAGTGGGTGTGGAAGAGGTGATTTTTGTTGTTGTTGCTATTTATAAGTAAGGACAAACCACCTGGTACCAAAGACCTGGATGGTAGATTGGTAGCGGAATACATTGTGACTCCTGTTTGCCACATCTTCAGTTTAAGCCTAGAAGACAGTGTGTGTGCCCTCAGACATGGAGGGAGGCAAAGGTCATTCCGCTACCAAAGAATAGCAGAGCACCCTTTAATGGTTCAAACAGCCGACCAATCAGCCTGTTTTATAAGTGCTTAGCAAACTATTGGAAAAAATGGTGTTAGATCAAATACAAAGTTATTTTACAGAAAACAAATTAACTTTCAGCATGCTTATAGGGAAGGGCACTCAACATGCTCGGCACTGACACAAATTACTGATGATTGGCTGAAAGAAATGTATAGTAAGAATGTGGGAGCTGTTTTGTTAGACTTCAGTGCAGCTTTTGATGTTATTGATCATAACCTATTGCTGAAAAAACGTTGGTGTTATGGATTTGCATCCTCTGCCTTATTATGGATTGAGAGTTACCTATCTAGTAGAACACAGAGGGTTTTTGTTAATGGAAGCCCCTCTCATGCAAATTCAGTTGAGTGTGGTGTACCGCAGGGCAGCCGGCTAGGGCTATTATTGTTTTCTGTTTCTACAAATTACCTTCCACTGACCTTGAATAAAGCCTGTGTGTCTATGTACGCCGACGACTCAACAGTATACACGTCGGCTGCAACCGTAAAATAAATAACTGAGACACTTAACATAGAGCTCCAGTCAGTTTTAGAATGGGTAACTAGCAATAGGCTGGTGCTAAATATCTCAAACTAAAAGCATAATGTTTGGGACAAATCACTCGCGCAACGCTAAACCTTGTTTAGAGCTATTATTGAATAATGTGGCTATTGAGCAAGTTGAGGAGACTAAACTGCTGGTTGTAACCCTAGATAGCAAGCTTTCATGGTCAAAACATAGATTCAATGGTTGCTAAAATGGGAAAAGGTCTGTCCATGATAGGGCATTGCTCTGCCTTCTTGACATCTCAGTCGACCAGGCAGGTCCTAGTTTTGTCGCACCTGGACTACTGCCCAGCTGTGTGGTCATGTGCGGCAAAGAAAGACGGGTAAATTTCAGTTGGTCCAGAACAAAGCAGCACGTATCTCACTTAGATGTACACAGAGGGAAAGTGATACGAGATCACCTTACTGCACAAAGGGGACTGTGAAGAGAGACGGCCATTTTATATATCTTGTATTGTAATTTCCACTGTACTATGTATTATACCTAGATATTGTGTGTATGTACTGATATGTAGGCTGTGTGTGATGTTTTAAATGTATGTAGTTCAGTCCTTGACTAATAATGTTCTGTACTATGTATCATGTTTCATGTGGACCCCAGGAAGAGTAGCTGATGCTTTTGCAGCGGCTAATGAGGATCCTAATAAATACCAAATCTCCAACACTGCTGTGTCTAAGACATCATGGGGTGTTTGTCAGCTGTGTTATTAGCGATCAGCAGCAGCTGCGTCAGGGTTTGAGTTGATGTACGATCAGCTCCGCCACTTGAGAAATGGCTTTAATGACACCCAATGTTCTCCCCTCTCCTGACAGATTTATCAGGACTCCTTTGAGCAGCGCTTTCTGGAGGAGACTAATCGTCTCTATGCCGCTGAGGGACAGAGGCTAATGCAGGAGAGAGAGGTGATTTATCCCCCCCAGGCAGTGCAACACCACTGACTGTCTACTCCAAACCTCAGAGCCCTGTGTCATGATATATTAGAATATTCTGAGTCTGACTGGAGGCAGCATTTTGATAGCCTGGTCCCAGATCTGTTTGTGCTGTACAGCCAAACATGACATTGTACTGCCAAAACTTGACAATGATCTTAGAAGTTGGCAAGGTCTGTTCTTGCTCTCTTGCCAACTCCAATGATCTTCATGTTTGACAGTAAAATGGATTGTTTGGCTATACAGCACAAAGAGATCTGGGACCAGGCTAGCATTTTGAGTCTTGAGTCATTTTACAGTTACTATAGTTACTGCTGGTAAAAAAAAAAAAGATATGTGGAGTGGTTTTACATGGCACTAGATGTTTGTCTGACCCTGTAAGGATAGGTTGCTTTTTGGCTTCGTATCCCAAATGACTTAGCAGCTGCTTGATGGGTTAATCTGATCACTTCTTGAATGTCTCGTCAGGTCCCAGATTATCTCCATCATGTCAACAAACGCTTAGAGGAGGAAGCGGACAGAGTCATCACGTATCTAGACCAGAGCACACAGTGAGTATTTTTTTGTTAGTTTGGATTTCTATTAGAATACAAGGGGTTAGCCTTCCAAGAGTCCATCAGTATTGTTGCCCTCTGTTTTCAGTTCTATATTTGAATGTTTGATTTGCTGCTTTGGCACCGGTCTCAGCGGGATCTACTTGTCTAAATATAAATGATGAAAAGAGAGAGATTGATGACTCCTCATTTCCTCCTTTTTCTTCCCAGAAAACCTCTCATTGCCACTGTGGAAAAGCAACTACTGGGTGAACATCTCACTGCAACACTGCAGAAAGGTATATATCAGAGACTACAGACTTACCACACTGGGGCATTTGTTTGCTTACAATGGGTGACATTTTAACGATGCTATTGTCATATTCCATGATGAGAACATCAAATATTAAAAACAAAAAGATATTGACTTTTTTGTTTAGTACCATGAACTAAACGGTCACTAAGTACCTTAAACTAAACTGCTATTTTCCATCTCCAGGCTTGAATCACCTGCTAGATGAGAACAGAATCCAGGACTTGTGTCTTCTTTATCAGCTGTTCAGTCGGGTGAGAGGGGGCGTGCTAGTCCTCCTACAGCACTGGATCGACTACATCAAGGTATGCTTGAAAACATCAATAGTCCGAATCGGTAATTTACTCTTACTAATTAACTATTTGGAGGTGTGGGGATACTTACTTCCAAGTACGAAACAGCTCTGGAATTGAATCATTCATTTGTACAGTATATGACCTGAAGCAACCCATGACACCTCTAACAACATCACACAGGCCTTTGGAAGTACGATGGTCATTAACCCTGAGAAGGACAAGACCATGGTACAGGAGCTGCTGGACTTCAAGGACAAGGTGGACCACATCATCCACGTCTGCTTCATGAAGAATGACAAGTTTGTCAACGCCATGAAGGAGGCCTTCGAGACCTTCATCAACAAGAGGACAAACAAACCTGCTGAGCTCATTGGTTGGTATCTCATGATGATCGCTATGGGAGACATGATAGCGATGGCACTACAACGAGTGAACTGACTGAAAGAGAAGTCACCTTTTCAACTTGCCATAGACGTTTGTGTGCATTATGCTCCCGTCAGTTTAAAGCTATTAAGCTAAAATTCTATTCCAGGTTTTTATAAGTAAACAAAAATGTAAATAAAACGACACATGGTTATATTTTGTAGCAAAACACGTGGATTGGAAGCTGAGGGCAGGAAACAAGGAGGCGACGGACGAGGAGCTGGAGAAGATGTTGGACAAGATCATGATCATCTTCCGATTCATTTATGGTAATGTGGTCCCATCATATTCATTTATGGTAATGTGGTCCCATCATATTCATTTATGGTCATGTAGTCCCAACATATTAATTTATGGTCATGTTGTCCCAACATGGTAATGTAGTCTCAACATATTCAGCAAAACCATCATCTACCTCCAGGTCCTTTTAACTTTCCTCTCCTCTGTGAGAGGTCTCTTAGAAGCCTGTTGAAATCTCTCTTTGAACTTGAACTTTATACTCCCCTTTTGAATTCTTGAATAGGAAAGGATGTTTTTGAGGCCTTCTACAAGAAAGATCTGGCCAAGAGGTTGCTGGTGGGAAAGAGTGCCTCGGTGGATGCCGAGAAGTCCATGCTGTCGAAACTGAAACATGGTCAGTGTGTTCCCCATCAGACCTGGGTTCAAATAGTGTACATTTTCTATCAAATGGCTGTGCTTGATTGACTGATGCAATGGAATAGTCCCAAAGGTGCTAAACCTACCCCACCCATCTGACACTTCAGGCAGGCTCAATCAAACTCTCTAAGTATTTTTAGTATTTTATATATATATATATATATATATATATATATATATATATATATACACACACAGTGCTATGAAAAGGTATTTGCCCCCTTTCTAATTTTCTCTACTTTTGCATATTTGTGATACTGAATGTTATCAGATCTTCAACCAAAACCAAATATTAGATAAAGGGAACATAAGTGAACAAATAACACAACAATTACATATTTATTTCATAAACAAAGTTATGCAACACCCAATTCCCCTGTGTGAAAAAGTAATTGCCCCCTTACACTCAATAACTGGTTGTGCCACCTTTAGCTGCAATGACTCCAACCAAATGCTTCCTGTAGTTGTTGATCAGTCTCTCACGTCGCTGTGGAGGAATTTTGGCCCACTCTTCCATGCAGAACTGCTTTAACTCAGTGACGTGTAGGTTTTCAAGCATGAACTGCTCGTTTCAAGTCCTGCCACAACATCTCAATTGGGATTAGGTCTGGACTTTGACTAGGCCATTCCAAAACTTCCAATTTGTTGCTTTTTAGCAATTTTCCTGTAGACTTGATTTTGTGTTTTGGATCATTGTCTTGCTGCATGACCCAGCTGCGCTTCAGCTTCAGCTCACAGACGGATGGTCTGACATTCTCCTGTAGAATTCTCTGATACAGAGCAGAGTTCATGGTTCCTTCTATTAAGGCAAGTCGTCCAGGTCCTGAGGCAGCAAAGCATCCCCAAACCATCACACCACCACCACCTTGCTTGACCTTTGGTATGATGTTCTTACTGTGGAATGCAGAGTTTGGTTTTCGCCAGGCATTACTGGAACCATGTCGTCCCAAAAGTTCTACTTTTGAATCATCTGTCCATAGAACGTTCTTCCAAGAGTCTTGATGATCATCCAGGTGCTTTTTCGCAAACTTGAGTCAGCTTTTTGGACGAGATGGGTCCCATTATGCCTGGTGAAAACCAAACACTGCATTCCACAGTAAGAATATCATACCAAAGGTCAAGCATGGTGGTGGTGTGATGGTTTGGGGATGCTTTGCTGCCTCAGGACCTTCTGCATGGAAGAGTGGGCCAAAATTCCTCAACAGCAACGTGAGAGACTGATCAACAACTACAGGAAGCATTTGGTTGGAGTCATTGCAGCTAAAGGTGGCACAACCAGTTATTGAGTGTAAGGGAGCAATTACTTTTTCACACAGGGGAATTGGGTGTTGCATAACTTTGTTTATGAAATGAATATGTAATTGTTGTGTTATTTGTTCCCTTTATCTAATATTAGGTTTTGGTTGAAGATCTGATAACATTCAGTATCACAAATATGCAAAAGTAGAGAAAATTAGAAAGGGGGCAAATACTTTTTCATAGCACTGTGTATGTGTGATATATACAACAACTATGAAGCATGTGATACTGAATGAGGCTAGTTACTCGTAACCTTGGTCCTTTCTTTAGAATGTGGAGCGGCATTCACCAGCAAGCTGGAAGGCATGTTCAAGGACATGGAGCTTTCCAAGGACATCATGGTGCAGTTCAAACAGGTACACATGCTTTTGGAATAGGAATGATCATCAGTAATCTCTGTTTTAGGGCAACAGTATCAAATACATTACACAGTCAGCTATCCATATGTAAAAAATGGCAACTTGTATTTGCACAAATAACTTTTGAATTATTAGCCTAGATTAGCCTTTGTCATTAGACAAACTCATGATGGGTTGGTTGGTTTGTTTCTCCCTTTTCCCTATTACATAGTGTCAAAACCTCCCTGGTAACATTGAGCTGACGGTGAACATCCTCACCATGGGATACTGGCCCACCTACGTCCCAATGGAGGTCCATCTGCTCCCAGAGGTTAGTGCAAATATCAAACCCTTCAGGCTCCCTGTTATTTTATGACCTGCTATGTAATACATTTGATTTATGTCACAAATAGTACACTGTTCCCTTTTATAGTGCAGTACTTTTGACCAGGGAACTATATAGGGAATATGGTGCCATTTGGGACACAGACATAGTCATCGTCTATGTTTATTTTTTAACACTCCTTCTGGGCCAGATGGTGCGACTGCAGGAGATTTTCAAGACATTTTACCTCGGCAAGCACAGCGGCAGGAAGCTACAGTGGCAGTCGACGTTAGGCCATTGTGTTTTAAAAGCTGAATTTAAAGAGGTACAGTAGCTAGTAATGATGTTTAGTCATCTAGTATGTTAGGCAGAAATTCATTGTGCTAACTTTTCCTTTTCCCAAATAGGGCAAAAAGGAGCTTCAGGTATCCCTGTTTCAGACACTAGTGCTGCTCATGTTCAATGAAGGAGAGGAATTCACCTTGGAGGAGATCAAGCTAGCTACAGGAATAGGTCTGTATGATCACAATGTACTCAGTCATGACACAAATCCTAACGGATCAAATATAGCAGTCCTCTTGAGACAATTTCAGACATGTTGCTTAAACTGTATCAATTATTATCAATATCATATTTTCTTTTTGATTGAAGAACCACAAGCTTTTTCCCAGTCTTTTTGGTGTGAGTTTGCGTTGACCTAAAGTAAGATGTGTGTGCAGAGGATGGTGAGCTGCGACGGACCCTGCAGTCGTTGGCATGTGGCAAGGCGCGGGTCATCCACAAAGTCCCCAAGAGCAAAGACGTGGAGGACGGAGACAAGTTCTCCTGTAACGATGACTTCAAACACAAACTCTTTAGGATCAAGATCAACCAGATCCAGATGAAAGAAACGGTACTTTCTCTCTCTCAGCAGGGGTGAAGTCATTAGGAGGAAATATTTGTAATGTTTTTATTGGACAGGTCCAGGTAGTCCCTGCCTGTTCCAGTTTTAGTGCATAATGAATACGTCGCAATGCTATTCAGATAGGAATATGAGTCTGTCAGGTCTAGTTCTAGCACTGACGATTCTGAACTATGCATTGCCCCTTAGAGGCGGGCGTTCCCAAGTCTGCTACTCTCCACTATATAATTATAATATATGCCATTTAGCAGACTATTTTATCCAAAGCCACCTAGTCATGTATACATTTTAGTTATAGGTGGTCCCGGGAATTGAACCCACTATCCAGGCGTTGGCAGCACCATGCCCTACCAACTGAGTTACTTCATCAGTCTCACCCATTGATTCTATCTGTACTGTCTATATCTATAAAGCAAAAGAAAATGGAAGGGGGGGGGGGGGGGGGGGGGGGGGGCGTTGAATGTTAGCCACTCATTGATTTGGTAAATTGTCCTTGGTAGGTGGAGGAGCAAGCCAGCACCACGGAACGAGTCTACCAGGACCGGCAGTATCAGATCGACGCTGCCATTGTCCGGATCATGAAGATGAGGAAGACTCAGAGCCATAACCTCTTGGTGTCGGAAGTGTACAACCAACTCAAGTTCCCTGTCAAGGTGAGTGAACGAAGAACAAACATGTTTGAAACACATGACCTTGTGTGCCAGAAGACTACTCACTCAGAGGTGAGGTTTTCTGAAAGCTTTGTAGCGAACGTGGTACTTTATTTACCCAGACTGACTGTCCAACATACATTTTGCAATTGTTACTCAGGTCTCTGTGCGCAACCTGGTCTCAGAGCATTTTATATTATTCTGTACGTAAATCCGACACGCCATTTAGTATTATATGTTACATTTAGTATGGTATTTATTAATTGTGTATGATATGTTCTAAATTACAATTCGTATTATATGTTACGAATTGGCAAAATGTGCAGTATGTTACGAATTTGCTAAATGGTAAATGTTACGACTTTGCAAAACATATGATATATGTTACGAATTATATCTAGGTGGCTAACGTTAGCTAGCTCACTAATGTTTGCTAGGTTAGGGTTAAGTTTAATGGTTAGCTAAAAGGGTTAAGATTGGGGTTAGGGGAAGTGTTAGCTAATATGCTAAGTAGTTGCAAAGTAGCTAAAAAGTAGTAAGTAGTTAAAGTTGCTGATTAGCTAAAGTTGTCCATGATGAGATTTGAACTTGCGACCTTTGGGTTATACGCCCACCCATCAGTCAGTCAATCAATCAATCAAATGTATTTATAAAGTCCTTTTTACAGCAGATGTCACAAAGTGCTATACAGAAACCCAGCCTAAAACCACCAAACAGCAAGCAATGCAGATGTAGAAGCACGGTGGCTAGGAAAAACTCCCTAGAAAGGCAGGAACCTAGGAAGAAACCTAGAGAGGAACCAGGTTCTGAGGGGTGGCCAGTCCTCTTCTGGCTGTGCAGGGTGGAGATAGTACATGGCCATTAAGGCCAGATTGTTCTTCAATATGTTCAAACGGTCATAGATGACCAGCAGGGTCATTCAGAGGTCGAGACAGCAGGTGTGGTAGAGAGAGTCAAAAACAGCAGGTCCGGGACAAGGTAGCACGTCCGGTGAACAGGTCAGGGTTCCATAGCTGCAGGTAGAACAGTTGAAACTGGAGCAGCAGCATGACCAGGTGGACTGGGGACAGCCAGGAGTCATCAGGCCAGGTAGTCCTGAGGCATGGTCCTAGGGCTCAGGTCCTCCGGGAGGAGAGGGAGAGAATTAGAGGGAGCATACTTAAATTCACACAGGACACAAGATAAGACAGGAGAATTATAACAGACTGACGCTAGCCCCCCAGTATATAGACTATTGTAGCAGAGATACTGGAGGCTGAGACGGGGGGTATCGGGGGACACTGTGGCCCCGTCCGACGATACCACCGGACACCCATCCACCCCAACCAACCACCCTCCTTTTGTTTTTGCCATACCAAACATAACATATCAAACTAAATGGAGTGTCTCTGATTTATCTACAGAATAATATAAAATGCTCTGAGACCAGGTTGCTGTGTGACTTGGTTGCTGAGAGAAAGTGCCTTGTTAGCTACGAGGCTTTAGGAAAACTCGTATGATCCATGTACATTTACTAGCACTTCAAAGTGGACTGTAATTTTGGATATTTTCTGTTTGCTAACACTCACTTTCTCAACAGCCTGCTGACCTAAAGAAGAGAATAGAGTCTCTCATTGACAGAGATTACATGGAGCGCGACAAGGAGAACCCCAACCAATACAACTATGTGGCTTAAAGAGAGAGAGAGGGAGAGGGAGACTGAGAGCAGGTGGTCCAGTCCGGCTGAAGGCTTCTCTGAGCACTCTGTCCCGTGGATGCTCCTCTTGCTCTTCTGCCTACATGGATGTCAGCGTTACCCTCTTCAACCCAGCAACCGACAACTGAATGGATACTGCTCGGCGGGACTTTGTCAGGGGCCTGTTTTCCTGTGGACTGCATGCCCGTTAAAGAAGAATATTGTCCATTATTTTCTCAGTGCCGCTCAGTGAGAATTGGACTAGCTACCTTGGACAAAAAAAGACAAACCAATGTTTGTTCTTTTTTTACAGCGAGGGGAAAAAAGTATTTATTTTCAAACTTAGATCTTTGTCCATTGTCGTTTGTTTATGGCATTCTGCCCTTGTTTTTTAAGTCACTATTTTATTTTAATTCACTCTGTACTATCCCATGCAAATGTTCAAACACCTAACATTGGTCTTAACATACTACACTTGGAAGAAAAGTTAAACTAAAGTAAAGCTTGTCTCCTCAATCAATGTTGTATGTGAGACCCATGGATAAACATTCACAGTAGGATATAATTTTTCAGTGGTGGATTTCAGTGTAAAATGTGCACACCTGCAGCCAAGTCATACAATTCTCAGTAGCTATTAGTCTCAACCTACTCCTGTTCATTAACAGCAACAACAGCAATCAATGGGACGATTGTTAAGAAGTAGCAAGGCGATATGAGGAATTGACAGTACGTGCCAAAAATAGAGCACTTCTTTTGTTATATGATTTGTTAATGCTGCTAAACAAACACTTTAACTTGTACATGTTATATGCATTTAGTTTTCCATTTTACTTTAGCCCTGTCCGTTTCAATGTTTTATTTTTGTATAGACAAGACTTTACAAATGTATTGAAATTTTAGGTGCAAACTTCGACAGAGATTATATACTATTAAAAGCACAGCCACATCAATCCCTGTTTCCCTTCATGTTCCCAAGTATGATATCTCTTTTAAGTTACAAGCATTATATTCTTTGTAAGTCCTCTCTGTAGGCCTTATGGAAGGCCTTGTGTTTGTGGATAGATGGAGTTGTTTGATAGCTCAACAGGTGAAACTGTTTATTGAGAAATCATGCTTGACTGGACTTTTTGGCCCTGTCTGAATAAATGTTTGTTTTATTGCTTCAGATTAAAATAATTGTCAGTGTTTCCATTTTGTTTTCCCCCTTCATATCTGTTAATTTTCAGACCCCCCCCCCCCCCAATAGAAAGGTAGTATATAATATTGGGTTACCAACCTATCAGCTGCACATCTTTTTATTAGAATAAGTTATCCATATCAGAGTTTCTAAACCATCTTTGTCCATATTGCCATACAATATAAATAGTAAAATGTGTTCCCTCGAAAAGAGGGAGGAAAGAGTATGTTTTGATTGGTTGTTTGGGTGATGTGTGTCACAAAATAAACAAGAACATGATACATGTTTCTACAAAATCCATATTTTGTCACTTATTCACGGGGAGAACTAGCAACTAAGTTTAATCAAATCACATTTATTGTGGAGTTCTGATACGTGTTTATTTGACAAGAAGCCAATGACTGTTTGGAAGCCCTGCCCGCAAGTCATATGACTTACATTTCCAGTTGCGGTAGATGCGCTCGAGCTGCACATTTGGAGGGTAGCCGAAGTCGAAAGCTGTTGTTTCCCGGTTAAGTGTTTTGGCTACCAAGTGATCATGTTTTGCTGCGCGTTTCTGGTTTTGTTCCTGGCTCTTGGAAATGGTATGTTTACACAAAATAGTGCTTTGTATCACCGTTGGCTAACGTAGTGATCCACAAAAGAGGAAACTTTAGGTGCTCTGTCACTTCAGGCCTATCCTAAACCAGATAATGTTAGCTTGTTAGCTATTTCTTTGCTACGCCAGTAACGTTCGCTAGCTAACAAACGTGAACTATATATTAGTTAAACGTTGGCTCCAAAAATAAATTGATATGGAGGCTATCAAGGCCTCCATAATCTCAGACTTGAAGTTTAAGGCACTGTTGATCTGTCATGCTTAGTTAGTTAGCTAGGTAACACGCCTGTGTTAGTTAGCTGTTGCTTTGCATTTGATCTGTTTTGTCTTGACAGCTCATGTTGCAGATAGGACTTCTTCCTGGGTGGACAGGGAACATAACGAGTTTTTCGCTGTCTCTAGCTATAACCCCAAATTATGTTTTGACATTTTATTTGGCTTTATAGCGTCGTTATTGTGTCTACCAAACCTCAACTTGTCAACAATCCACCAGTTTCATTCACCCTATTCATTTGGAACAGAATATGACTCGTCTTGGCTCAGAACACCTAATGTTAGCTAGCTAGTTACTAATCTACTAACGGTAGTCACACTTTGTTACATGACATTTGCGTAGCTATCAATATGCAACCAGCTACTGTTGCAAATCCAGTTCAATCCAAAATCTAAGCTAAAATGAAATTAAGGATTCTCACCTCAGTTGTATCTTATTTAGCTAGCTACCTAGCAAGCTAGTTGATCAGGAAGTTGTCTCATGACCTAGCTACAGATTGTACGCCAGATAATGTGATATAACCAAAGATTGTTGGTGTCCAGTACAGGAAAGCCCCATACAGACTAACCTGCTTTCCTGTAAAGCCAAGTAATGAGTAATGGACACCAAAAATCGTTGGTTATATTTATAACATTAGCTCGCGTACAATCTGTAGCAACTCATGACCAAGCATATCTTGATTGCACTTTGCCAATCGTGTTTAATTGTAAAACGGCTGCTGTGAAATGTTAAACCGTGGATCATCAACTAAATTCAGCCGCGGGCCAATTTTTTCTTGAGCGGATCGTTGGGGGGCAGGAACATAATACAACAATAAATACGTTTAGACTACTAATTGACCGGAAGAAGGCTAAACAGATAATATTTGACTAAAATATAATCATTTCAAACCTTGATTACATTTGGGGACATTGCCCTGCGTAGGGTGCCGTCTTTCTGATGGGAAGTTAAAACGGGTGTCCAGACTGGTCATTCAAAATCCCATGGCACTTATTGTAAGAGTAGGGGTGTTCACCCAACTATCATGGCTACATTCCCAACCTGGCCACATTCCATCATGGCCACCTAATCATCCCCCTCATTCCTAATTGGCATATCACTCCTGACCTCTCCACCTGATAGTTGATGTGTGGTGAGCGTTCTGGCACAAAAATGGTCGCCATGCATCACTGAGGTGGGTGCTATGCATTGAGGAGGTGAGTTTCCCCCTACTATGTAAAGCGCTTTGAGTACCCCAGGTGGTAGAAAAGTGCTATATAAATCCAATTAATTATTGTTATTTGTATATTATCATGTCTCTCTATTATGCTTGGGAACAGATTTCCTAAATTAAAATCACTTGGAGTGGAATTCCTGGTGTTTTTACAGTCTTAATTTTTTGCTCAGAAATCTTGGGGGGCCAAATAAAACCAGTTGGGGTACCCTTTCTTAAAAAAGTGATTGCTGTAGCAGCTGCTGTCTATAAACCAATCCCCTTGTTATGATTGATAGAAGGAATGTACACATTGAGCCCATGGATATCTTGCCAGGACTCACTTTTGATATTCAATACAGTCAGAATCCTAGTTCTAGTTTTGTTTTCAGTAGTAAACATCTGATCGTTTTTTCCCCTCATATGCATAAAATGTTTATTTCCATTAGAATGTTTTCATTTGGCCTGAGAAATGGCCCCAGAGTCCTATGTTGCAAGCTAGGGCCTCTGATATCAGGTCACTCCGGGTCATGCCTAACAGTGACCTACCAGTTAGTCCCATATGAGAGTAATCAGCTGATGAATGGTTTAATCAACAGTTAAAAAAATAAAAATACGGTTAGGAAATCATTAGCCTATGGTGTGTTCCCCCACTGTCTGAGTTTTACAGTAATTTGATGCCATTAGGCTACTTGTATAAGGGAAGTAGAAAATAATCAAAACGCATGTTAGACTAGCCTACCTATGCTGATAAGATGTTTTTTGATGAATGTACCTTGAATTGATTGAAAATGTGTTTGTTTACCAGTCTGCCTCATACGTTATTATTATAAAACCCAAGACTGTTTATTTCTGTTGCAGAACTCCACCTGTCACATGCAACTGAGGTGTCCGTCAACAACACAGAGAATAAATTATGCCTCTACGCCAATTTGATGGTCAACTTCTCAGTCACCTATGAAGTTGGTGTAAATAAGGTGCGTAATCTGTATATTTACTTGTATTTAAATGTTTTTAATTTGCAGGCTAGTACTCCTAAGCCTATAGAGAACTCTTAAAACATTCCAGGTATCGCACTGCTTTATTAAAGTGTTGAGTCGAGCTTCTTACTGTGAGAAAGAATGTTTTGAATGCAATCACAGAGCGGACAATACTCACATCCGGGATTAGCAGAGAGGAAGAGAGGCCGAATTTGGCGGAAAATGTCTCCCTCCAGCAGGTGGCGATCTTTCGTTGTTTCGCCCACCAAGCAAAGTTTTTTTATGGAGGTCAATAAGTATAGGCCTTATAATTTTTTTTAAAAACGTTCTTATTATTATTTTTTTCTCTTTAAATCCCATCTGTCGGATGATTTATAGGCCTAGATATTTCCCAGGATATAAAATATTATTTTGTTCCTTTTTTTTCCTCCTAATCCATCATAAGAACGGACACACTGTTATGTTATGTCAACAGTACTATTTTCTCATGACGCAAGCATCTGAAATAGCCCTGTTCCTGGGAAAGTACTTGACAGGAATGGATTCCCCTCTTATCACAATATCTTCATGACTGTCCAATATTTTCGTCCCCTTTCAGAGCGAAACGGCTCTTTTTGTACTGCCTGAAAATGTGACAACAGAAGGGAGCACCTGCAATGACACAACATCGACATTGCAACTCGGTTTTGGAGACGGGCACAGCTGGGCCGTTAAATTCACTAAGGACACCAAAACGTATCAAGTAGATGCCATTGTCTTCACCTACAACCTCAACGACTCAAGCGTCTTCCCCAACTCTACGTCAAACGGTAACTAATGACTACACAGCCTTGTCATGATACTGTTCATTCATGATATACCAATTCGGTACTGTAGTTGATATGACACATACTGATATTTGACTGAATCTCTTTTGGGTTTAGAAACCAAGTCTGTGATGGTAAAGCCAACAATCACCAACGTGGGTGTGGATACCTACTACTCCTGCAAGAGCAAAGTTCTCCTGAAAGTAGAGTCTGTCACTCAGACACTGTATGATGTTGCTTTACAGGCGTTTGTGACTAACGGCAGCAAAAGTGACACTGGTAGGTTGCATGAGAACAAGCATCAGGCCATTGTAGGATCAACTGTTCCAAAATGATCTGATTTACTATGCATAATGTCAAACAATATATTACTGTGTCTGTTCTCCAGGGTTGAGGTCAATTCCATTTCAATACAGTCAATTCAGGAAGTGAACTGAATTTAAATGGAATTGATCCCAACCCTGTTTGTTCTCTGAACTCAAGTCTTTCTCTGTTCTTCCTACACAGACACTGTATGCGCCGCTGACCTACCCACCACCACTGTGGCGCCCAACACGACCGTTACCACCACAGCTGCCCCCACTTCTACCCCTACCCCTACACTGCCCACACCCACTACTGGAAATTACAGCATTGCACCCGACTTCAACAGCACAGCCTGCTTAATGGCCACCTTCGGCCTGCGGATAGGCTACAAGCAAGGAGATGTATGTATACACATAGGATAGCCATTGTAAAGTAGGCCCTTTTTTTAATGTTTCTTATTTTAGCATACAATGGCCTGTTCAGTAGAAAAGGTTCAGACATGTTTGTCACAGAGAACATGACTTGTCTATGAAGATAGGTTGTTGTTGCTAGTATGTTAATGTTCTTGTTGTTTATGAACCTGGTGTTTTCAGTTGAATGCATTCAGTTGTACAACTGACTAGGTATCCCCCTTTCCCCTTTATTAGAAAGTGGAGACCATCAACCTGGTGCCCAATGCGACTAATGTGGGCGGGGCCTGTGGGGTCAACAGCAGCAACCTCATACTGACATCGAACACAATCACCATCATGTTCACTTTCAGCAACGTAAGTCGACAAGGCCAAAAATCTGCAACCAAGGCCGGTATTATCCTGGTTGTCTGCATTTAGCTTGTAGACAGCTGGACTAAGGCGGTAGGGTGCAGCGTAAGGTCTGTTTGTCTCCTTCTGTTCAAAGTGTTTCATTGCTCATTACAGGACAGCAAGATGTTCCACCTGCACGCTCTGAACATCACAGTGAAACCAGCCACTGGTAGGCAACATAGCACTACAAACCCTTTCAGAAAGCACTAGCGTAGAAAACCATGTCCCTATTTGGACATTAGGATAGGATTGACTTCATTGTCCCCCAGGGGAAAATTGTCTTGGACTTAGTGCAGCTTTATAAGAAATAAACACTATACATTACATACATACACAGTACATACAATGCATATTAAAACCTCTCTCCACTCTTTCCTCACTCTGTGTTACGTCCAGGGGCGCCCGTCGTTGCAGCCAATACCAACATGTCCGTTTGGGTGGCGGCGGTAGGCAGCTCCTACATGTGCAACAAGGAGCAGACCTTAAACGTCACCGACACGCTCACTCTCTACACGTTCGCGCTTCGCGTCCAGCCCTTTGGAGTCAAAAAAGGCGAATTCGCTACAGGTAGGTGACTGAGATGGTGAATTGTCATCAATACCTTTGTGTTGTGTTAGCCGTATGCTACAGCTTACTAGGGTTACTAGAGCCAAATGCAGCGAATATGCTTGAAGCTGAGACGTATGCAATAATAACAACTATTGGCATCAGTAGAATAGGTTCTGTCCAGTTTGTTGAGAAACAGCTAAGTATTTAGGGCAGCAGGTAGCCTAGCGGTTAATAGCGTTGGGCCAGTAACCGAAAGGTCGCTGGTTCGAATCCCCGAGCCAACTAGGTAAACACAATCTGTCTGTGCCCTTGAGCAAGGCACTTAACCCTAATTGCTCCTTTAAATTGCTCTGGATAAGAGCGACTGCTAAATGACTAAAATGTTCAAATGTATTTGATACCATGCCATGTTTCTGCCCCTGCTTAAACTGATTTAAAAACCAAATGAGCATGAGAAGATGAGATGTTCCAAGTCGTGCTCATTGATTCTCTCTCTCGTCTGCAGCCCATGAATGTTCACTGGATGACACCAGCATCTTAATCCCAATCATTGTTGGTGCCGCCCTGGCCTGCTTGATTCTCATTGTAGTGATTGCTTATGTGATTGGTCGAAGGAAGACCTATGTGGGATATCAGACCCTTTAAAAAGCAATCTCTGATCATGAATCCAGAACACAGTTTGATCCTTATGTGTCGGGGTGGGGTTCCCAAAGCCTGATCCTGGATTGGCTGTGCCATCTATCCATTAATGACTGACTCACACAACTGGAATAGTCAGACTATAGTCTCCTTACTTCAGCCACTCTTAAGAGCTGCTTTTAGACTTGAGATTAGGGTAGCTTCGTTTAGGTTTAGACTTGAGTAGCTTTGTTCAGGTAAATCTGAAGACTCAAAACCGCTTTCCAGGACCAGGTTGGACCACCCCTGTTATTTGTGTGTAATTTCCCTATTGTTTGATTTGCTTTGGATTTTTCCCCCCCTTCTCCCTTTTTGTTCCAAAGGAGCAGTGCATGATTCTCTGCCTCTGTATTTACCAGTACTGTATAGAAGACCTTATTTATTGTAAAATCTCTGAAAGTGGTTGAATCTTATGACACTCCATTTCCTTGCATCACTTTCCAGATGATTCTTGTTCAGTGTAGGCTCTCTTTTTATCAAGTAGTACATTTTTATAGAAACTCCAGTCAGAGTCCTTGTGCTACAGTTTGCACATTTTCACGAGGAGTTGTGAAAATTGGGGGGCCGTGCCGTTGTCACTATGAATCATGCACTTGCTCCCTCCCCTCTTTTGTTTCGTTATGTTCTTATTGAATGTTTGTGTACATTTTAGTTCAACCTTTCTTTTGTGGTTTCATTCATCCTCACAATTCATTGTATCAGCGCAATATTTCGACAAATTTGAACATTTAGAATTTGCCTGGCAGCTCAATCAGACGACATTGAGTAGCTTTGTTGATTTGTCTCAGGAACTCCTTACTAACTAACTAGGATAAAGGTTTTCTGCTTTGCTCTCCTCTCTCCCCTTACGGATCATCCACTAGTCACAGTAGTTTGAATCTGGAAAGGGATGACTTTACGACATGAAATCTGTGTGGCCACTAAAAAACAGTGGTATTATTGGCATATAGTGCCTTCTCCAAGTTGGCATTACCAAACAAGGGATCTGTCCCTATATGTTCACACACGACACTAGTTGACATATGATTGCCACTAATGTCTGTTTGTCTCTGCATTATGTGTTAGCCCTTTGACTGACTGGCTCATTTTGTGTAGTGTGAAATCTACCTTGAAGTGTTAAATTAACTCTGAAAAGTCCATGAGGATGTAAAAGATGAACCTGAAAAGAAAGGTAAAACCAAACCCCTCTCCCGTCATGACATGTTGGCATTAGGTTTCAAAAAGGGATAGCTGTAGTTGACTTATTTGCTGCCATTCAAACGTATTATTCGCAGATTGTGATTATTTTGTACATATAAATGCACTAAATCGTTGAGTAAGTTTGACGTAAAATTATTACACCCGTGTATAGTATAGCCATTGCTGTTGCTCCCGAAAGCTGCCAGTTAGTAAGGGGAACTTGTAAACATAGCTCGGGTAAATTCCATTTAGAATCAAGTCAATTTCAATAAACTGATTCTAATTCCAATTGTCCTCTCTGCTCTTCAGTGAGAAACATTTGAATGTGAATTTTTGTTTACTTCTTGAATTAAATGGAATTAACCCCAGTTGACCCCATGTAAATTGCACCTATCGACAGAGAGTGGTAGTAAGGATGATTGTCCACAGGATGTGTCTATTTTTGTACTGTTAGGATGGGTTACAATAGGTATTATGTTTTAGTGCGGTGGTCAGAATGAGACATGAATACATTTGATTGCCGCCTTTAATTGCTGTTGATTCAACCAATTTTTCTTCAGATTCTGTATTATGAGAATGATTTAGATTTTTTTCCTTATCAAATATTCTTTTGAGTCTTGCTTTACAGTCCATGTGACGTGTCTTGGAAAATGCACTGCTTTTGTACAAATCCTGTTTGTTACTATGATTCTAAAATTGAATTTTCAGACACTGTATTAAATCAATCCTAAAATACCCTTTAGAAACTTAACATTTACTACCCCCAATTTTCATTCACTTGACATAATGTTATGATTGTGACAAATATGTGCCTTACTCAATGAAGCTTGTCCATTTGCGATTCAGTCAGGTTTGATATCTTTGCATTTAATGGATTCTCCACTGGTCTAAATGTCTCCTAGTTTATGAATTCAAAATGCAGCATGTTAAGAAAAGGAACATCCCTAATACAGGACAGGCCCATCCTCCAAATGTAAGATAAATTGTATTTTCTTCCGTGTGGCTCCAAACAAATGTTCATTTTTGAATTCATTTTCAATAGGCTTTTAGCTGCAATAAATGGGAATGGAAATTGTCCATCAAAAAAATGTTGTGGAACATTTTTAATATTTTACAATGATAGAAATAAAAGTGTTTATTGGTCCCCCGGAAATATTAGTAAATCACTCTTTGTTTTCCAATTGTTCTTGACTGAGAAGCGTCTCAGTATGACCATGCATTCACTATTTTGATGTTTTACCTTTCTTCCACCCTGCAACCTCCCTCATGCCCACTTCCTTTACTGTCACCCAGCGGAGGATTGCCGAGACGATACGACAGAGAGCTGGGTCGTTCCTATAGCCATCGGGGTTGCTCTGACTGTGCTGGTCCTCATTGTATTGATCGCCTATTTCATTGGGAGAAAGAGAAACCAGGGCTCTGGCTATGAGCACTTCTAAATGACCCCACTGGCTATGCTGAGGTTGGATCTTTGCTCATCAGGATACATGTTGATTTTAATTTAACTACAAATTGATATGCGCTGTGCAGAGTTAACCTTATTGTGAAATTCACCTGAAGGAAATCTCTTTCTCATGAAACAATTAGTTGGAGAAGATGTGTGCTGTGTTAAAGAAATTGCTTGGCTCCGTTGATAACATTTGGCATGTAACAGTTCTTGTAGATATAATCAGAATTGATTGATTAACGTCTCTTATTCCTCACTTATAACATGGTTGACTATAGATGGCAGATGATGGCCAAATATTTTCGTAACTGCCCATGCTCTGACAGAACCCCCAACCACCCATGTTGTTGTAGATGACTGTCTGGGTTCTGATCTGATGTCTTGCTGCTTTTCGAGCCTCATGTCCTCCATGTTGTCTGTGAAAAGCTTAACCAAATCCTGTTTCTTCTCTCTTCAGACTAATCGCTAGCATGCTAATGTTGCTAACCCTTCTTCTGTCTCTTCTCTGTGGCAGCCGTGGAGTGCTTCATGGACTCTGATTTGAGCTTTCTGGTGCCCATCGCTGTGGGCGTGGCCCTCGGCTTCCTAATCATCCTTGTGCTTATCTCTTACCTGATTGGCCGGAGGAAGAGTCGCACCGGCTACCAGTCTGTATAATCCAACCAATCCCAGTTGCTTCTGCCTCTACCCATTCCTTCCCATCCTTCCCCACGCAAGCCCCCCACAACACGCAAGCCCCCCACAACATGCTTCTATGGTATCCAATCTTTTCCCTTCCATTTCCAATGGATCTTTCCTTGACCTTACCCCCAGCATATTCCTTGTTCAGACTCCTACCCTAATTATCACCCCACCCAACAGTGATTTTGAAAGTTGACCGTCTGTTGCTATTTTTTGACACCAACAATGACTGAAATCATTTAGCACCAAAACCTGTCAAAATGATCAGTGGTATTGCACCAGGTGTGTTTGGATGTAAATTGCATGGAGTTAAGTATCATGGGCATCAGTTTCTTTATTCCCAGAGAGGCTCATATGAATGAGGCTGTTTTCTCTCACTATTCTGTTTATGTGCTGCATTATATTTCTATGTATATTAATTACTCCCTTGTATAGAATTTTACTAAGAAGTTATAGAAAGTTCATAGCCATTGCTATTCATATCTAAGTATCCATTGTTAAATCTTTGTAGAATGAGAAAATATCTATCTATTATTTTTGTGAATTCCCTGTAATTAAATGTTATTGTACCCCCTGCACTAATCTTCTCTTAGTCCTAGTACAATAAAAGGGAAACTAACTTTACAAAGACACGTACCAACCAGCATTTGGAGCAGTTGCATAAACGTGATTTTTATGTTTTGTATTTTCTCTAATGGGAAGAAATCCCCTCTCAGGGAAAGGAAGACTGCGGCATAGTCTCTGGTCGGGTATCACAAATGGCCCTGTTAAGACCGAGGCTATAGGGACTCTGCAAAATGACTAAACAAAATTGAAATGTTGGTTTGCTGTCAGGAGTGTCCCTATAGCCTTTTCCTGTTAAGACATCTACTACCTGGGTCATGTTCAATAGGGAGAGTTTTGAAACGTAGTGAAACGGGGAGGTACTACCTGAACCAATAACCCTTTCCCGTTGCAAACAGTTTTGCTACGGTGTGTCCTTCTGAACACTGCCCAGGCTTCATATATAAAGTATAATAATTTACATATTCTAGCCCGAATGATTTTATGACCAAAGCTTGGACAGAAATGAAACTCCTTTCTGGACCTCCCCATTTCAAAGCAGGTAAATGAACAGCCTGAATGTTTAATAAACCAGTGAAATGCATTGTGTGTTTGACCAAGGATGATATTTCGTTATTGTTCTATTATCATGCTCATTATTCAGCATGAACTTTCTGTTCTGTACCAATACATAGGACCGCTGTTTAATTTTGCCCCCAAGATGTCGTTTTGTGCCTTTTTGTTGCACTACTATTCCCCTCATAACCAACCCTGTCTCCATCTGATGAAGAATGTTGAGATGGTGTAATCTTGTTGAACTTCAGTTGGAGCAGGGAATTAAAATAAAGTTGCGTTCCTGTTTTGTAGCAAAGTATTCATACCTCATGACTTATTCCACATTTTGTTGTTACAGCCTGAATTCATTTTTTTTTTCTCACCCATCTACACACTGTACCCCATAATGATAAAGTGAAAACATGTTTTTTGACATTTTTGCAAATTTATTGAAAGTAGAATGTCAAATTTATACTGAACAAAAATATAAACGCAACATGTAAAGTGTTGGTCCCATTTTTCATGCGCTGAAATAAAAGATTCCCGAAATTTTCCATACGCACAAAAAGCTTATTTCTCTCATTCTGTGCACAAATTTGTTTACATCCCTGTTAGTGAGTATTTCTCCTGACAGGTGTGGTATATCAAGAAGCTGATTAAATGGCATGATCATTACACAGGTGCACCTTGTGCTGGGGACAAAAGACCACTCAAGTGCAGTTTTGTCACACAGCACAATGCCACAGATGTCTCAGGTTTTGAGGGAGCATGCAATTGGCATGCTGACTGCAGGAATGTCCACCAGAGCTGTTGCCAGATAATTTAATGTTCATTTCTCTACCATAAGCCACCTCCAACATCGTTTTAGAGAATTTGGCAGTATGCCCAACCGCCTCACAACCACAGACCACGCCAGCCCAGTACCTTCACATCCGGCTTCTTCACCTGCGGGATCGTCTGAGACCAGCCACCCGGACAGCTGATGAAACTGAGGACTATTTCTGTCTGTAATAAAGCCCTTTTGTGGAGAAAAACGTATTCTGATTGTCTGGGCCTGGCTCCGCAGTGGGTGGGCCTATGCCCTACTAGGCCCATCCATGGCTGTGCCCCTGCCCAGTCGTGAAATCCATAGATTAGGGACTAATTTATTTATTTATTTAAATTGACTGATTTCCTTATATGAACTGTAACTCGGTAAAACCTTTGAAATTGTTGCATGTTGCGTTTATATTTTTGTTCAGTATACGTAAGTATTCACACCCCTGAGTGAATACTTTGTAGAACAACTTTGGCAGCGATTACAGCTGTGAGTCTTTCTGGGTAAGTCTCTTAAGAGCTTTCCACACCTGGATAGTACAATATTTGCCCATTTATTATTTTCAAAATTCTTCAAGCTATGTCACATTGGTTGTTGATCATTGTTAAACAACCATTTTCAAGTCATGCTATAGATTGTTTTGCAGATGTAAGTCTAAACTGTAACTTGGCCACTCAGGGAACTTCTTGGTAAGCAACTCCAGTGGAGATTTGGCCTTTAGGTTATTGTCCTGCTGCCAGGTGAATTAATCTCCTAGTGTCTGGTGGAAAGCAGACTTAACCAGGTTTTCCTCTCGGATTTTGCCTGTGCTTAGCTCCATTCCATTTATTTTCTATCCTGAAAAACTCCCCAGTCCTTAACAATAACAAGCAAACCCATAACATAATGCAGCCACCACTATTCTTGAAAATATAGAGAGTGGTACTCAGTAATGTGTTGTATTGGATTTGCCCCAAACATAACACTTTGTATTCAGGACAAGAAGTAAATAGCTTTGCCAAATTTTTTGCAGTATTAATTTAGTGGCTTGTTGCAAACAGGATGCATGTTTTGTAATATTTTTATTCTGTACAGGCTTCCTTCTTTTCACTCTTTCAATTAGGGTAGTATTGTGGAGTAACTACAATGTTGTTAATCCATCATCAGTTTTCCCCTATCACAGCCATTAAACTGTTTTAAAGTCACCATTAGCCTCTGTGAAATCACCAAGCTTGATGTAGTCATTGCGTGCTAGGAATATTGGACCAAATAATACACTATAAGTGAATTTGCCAAATACTTATGACAACTTCAAATGGGGGACTAGATATATAAAGTACTTTAATTTCTAAACGGTTAAACAGATATATATGAAAATACCCTCAAATAAAAGGTGACATTCTGTTCTGTCGCCACATATAAAAAAACATTTGATCTGAAATCCAAAATACTGGAGTATTGAGACGCATGTTTTTACATTTTAGGTTCACTGTCCAAATAAATATGTTGAGGAGTGTATATCTGGGAAAAGTAGACCTTCAGAGAATGACGGCTAAAGGATAGTCATTACTTTATCTTGTTTGTGCATGTGTAATAGGTTACGTTTAATGTACTGTGCTTGACAACCTTCAATGTAAGAAAATAGTTGCATGTAAAAAATATATAATACATTCCTATGGAAAAAAGCATTGTTCTTATCAACATTGTATTTATTATAGGATATATCAGAATAAATACATGGATACCAGGTTTAGTAGAATCATAGAAAAGGTACAGTAACAAGGATTAATTCTAGGCCTATATCAAAACAGCCTGTTATTTCATTAAGAGCTTGCAAGACTGGCATACAAGTTTAGCAAGCCACCACTATACTTGAAAATATGGAGAGTGGTACTCAGTAATGTGTTGTATTGGATTTGCCCCAAACATAACGCTTTGTATTCAGGACAAGAAGTAAATTGCTTTGCCATTTGTTTTGCAGTATTAATTTAGTGGCTTGTTGCAAACAGGATGCATGTTTTGGAATATTTTTATTCTGTACAGGCTTCCTTCTTTTCACTCTTTCAATTAGGTTAGTATTATGGAGTAACTACGATGTTGTTAATCCATCGTCAGTTTTCTATCACAGCCATTAAACTCTTAATTGTTTTAAAGTCACCATTAGCCTCTGTAAAATCACAGTGGTTTCCTTCCTCTCTGGCAACTGAGTTAGGAAGGACGCCTGTATCTTTGTAGGGACTGGGTGTATTGATACACCATCCAAAGTGTAATGAATAACTTCACCATGCTCATAGGGATATTCATTGTCGGCTTTTTTTTATGTTTACCCATCTACCAATAAGTGCTCTTCTTTGCAAGGCATTGGAAAACCTCCCTGGTCTTTGTGGTTGAATCTGTGTTTGAAATTCACTGCTTGACTGAGGGACCTTACAGATAATTGTATGTGTGGGGTACAGAGATGAGGTAGTTATTCATGTTAAACACTATTGTTGCACACAGAGTGAGTCCATACAATTATTATGAGACTTGTTAAGCACATTTCACTCCTGAACTTATTTAGGCTTGCCATAACGAAGGGGTTGAATACTTATTGACTCAAGACATTTCAGCTTTTCATTTTTTATTAATTTGTAAAGATAAAAAAAAAAAAAAAAACATAATTCCACTTTGAAATGATGGGGTGTTGTGAGTAGGCCAATGACCAACACATCTAAATTCAGTCCATTTTAAATTCAGGCTGTAACACAACAAAATGTGGAAAAAGTCAAGGGGTGTGAATACTTTCTGAAGGCACTGTATTCTATACAGGCCCTGTTCAAAAGACGCAGTCCCAGTGCTGTGCTGTGGGTGGGGTCATCACTGGTATGTTGGTAGGTGCCCAAATTCTTTCTCCTTTTAAGGTCAGATGAGCCTATCCCTATGGAAGCACAATTTATTACAGAGAACAATGGATAGATCTACACTTCATCTCTCCAATGGATTGGTTGGATTCCCATATTGTTTTGTGTTTTGTGCATCAATAAACCTCAAATAAACAATGTAATTTAATCTGACTTGATACGTTGTGGTCTTATACTTGGAAGTGTGAAATCATGTAATTTTTTTCTGGATTTTGTGTGAATCCCCTAATGTTTACAGTACATAATGACAGATACACATTGTTCAATTAGTCAATATAATTTCATGTTTATTGTTTACATTTGCTACAGTGGTTTTATTAAACAATATGAATTGGCATAACGCTCACCATTTTAATATTTCTTAGCTTGAGTCTCCATATCTTTAGGCAGTGTTGATCATTGACTGTACCATATCAACATTATGGAATAAAATGAATAAATCATTCTGCAATGCCTTTGAACATACCCTACAATGACCTACTTATTTATTTGGATAGTGAAGCTAAAACTTTAAATGTGTCTCTACTCCAGTATTTTGGATTTGAGATCAAATGTTTTATATGAGGCGACAGTACAGAATGTCACCTTTTTATTTGAGGGTTTTTCATATCTGTTTTACCGTTTAGAAATGAAAGCACTTTATGTATCTAGTCCCCCTATTTCAAGGTGTCATAAGTATTTGGACAAATTCACTTATAGAGTTGGTTTCCCAGAAACAGACTAAGCCTAGTACTAGACTAAAAAGCATGTGGAGAATCTCCATTAAAAGTGCTTTTTAGTCCGACTATGCTTAGTCAATTTCCAGGAAACCAACCCTTAGTGTATTACATTTTGTCAAAAGTTTAGTATTTGGTCCCATATTCCTAGCACGTAATGACTACATAAAGCTTTTGACTCTACAAACTTGTTGGATGGCAATGGATGCATTTGCAGTTTGTTTTGGTTGTGTTTCGGTCCGGATTATGTTGTGCCCAATAGAAATGAACGGTAAATAATGTATTGTGTCATTTTGTAGTCACTTTTATTGTAAATAAGAATATGTTTCTGAACACTTCAACATTCATGTGGATGCTACCATGATTACGGATAATCATGAATTAATCGTGAATAATGATGAGTGAGAGTTACAGAGGCATAAATATCTCACATAGAGGCACAAGCTTGATGTAGTCATTGCGTGCTAGGAATATTGGACCAAATACTTAACTTTTAACCAAATACTTATGACAACTTCGAATGGGGGGACTAGATACATAAAGTGCTTTAATTTCAAAATGGTAAAACAGATATATATGAAAATACCCTCAAATAAAAGGTGACATTCTGTTCTGTCGCCTCATATAACAAAACATTTTATATGAAATCCAAAATACTGGAGTATAGAGACGCATGTTTTAAAATTTTAGGTTCACTGTCCAAATAAATATGTAGGGGAGTGTATATCTGGGAAAAGTAGACCTTCAGAGAATGACGGCTAAAGGATAGTCATTACTTTATCTTGTTTGTTCATGTGTAATAAGTTATGTTTAATGTACTGTGCTTGACAATCTTCAACGTAAGAAAAGAGTTGCATGTAAAAAAGATACATTCCTATGGAAAAAAGCATTGTTCTTATCAACATTGTATTTATTATAGGATATATCAGAATAAATACATGGATACCAGGTTTAGTAGAATCATAGAAAAGGTACAGTAACAAGGATTAATTCTAGGCCTATATGAAAATAGCCTGTTATTTCATTAAGAGCGTGCAAGACTGGCGTACAAGTTTAGCAACAGTGTGACCTCTGTCTGTTTCCACAGTAGATCTTACTTTCCATCAGCTAATATAGAGATCAAAGTCAGCCTGCAGTGTTACAGTCTCAGTAGCAGTCTTGTGTTCATACAAAAGAAAACAAAATGGCAGCATAGGGCTGATACACTGAGTGTACAAAACATTAACAACACCTGCTCTTTCCATGACATAGACTGACCAGGTGAATCCAGGGGAAAGCTATGATCCCTTATTGATGTCACTTGTTAAATCCACTTCAATCAGTGTAGGGAGGAGACAGGTTAAAGAAGGATTTTTAAGCCTTGAGACAATTGAGACATTGATTGTGTATGTGTGCTATTCAGAGGGTGAATGGACAAGAGAAAATATTTAAGTGCCTTTGAACAGGGTATGGTAGTAGGTGCCAGGCATACCGGTTTGTGTCAAGAACTGCAACGCTGCTGGGTTTTTCACGCTCAACAGTTTCCCATGTGTATCAAGAAAGGACATCCAGCCAACTTGACACAACTGTGGGAAGCATTGGAGTAACATCGGCCAGCATCCCTGTGGAACGCTTTCGACACCTTGTAGAGTCCATGCCCCGACGAATTGAGGCTGTTCTGAGGGCAAACGGAGGTGCAACTCAATATTAATGTTTTGTACACTCAGTGTATATTATCAATAAATGTAGAATAAGGCGCTATCAAACAACAACAACAAAACCTGAAATATAACCTAGTCATTGACTGTTTATCTTACTGAAATGTAACCTAGTCATTTATTGTTTATCTTACTGTGTAAAACCTGAAATGTAACCTAGTCATTTACTTTTATCTTACTGTGTAAAACCTGAAATGTAACCTAGTCATTTACTGTTTATCTTACTGTGTAAGTAAAAGTGTCCAGCCTTTACCATTCTTCATATTGTAGCCCTTGGAGTCTACAAAACACAATAGATATGCTGTTGAAGGGTACAAACTCAAAAGAAATTAGTACACAATTTGATTTCAAATCAAAATGTGCTTAAAATGTTCCTCTTATATCCTTATTGTACAGTAGGTATTTATGTATATTAATAATGTCTTAAATTATAAATTGCATAGCTACAGAGACTAACTACCTGTGAGATGAGCCTTGTATTTCATAAACCTAGCTAGTGGTATTAATCTTGCGTAGTATTCAATGGTAATGTTCAGTTTCTCTACTTAGCTTGTGCTCAGGACTATCGGTGAGGTGTCTGTGTGGTGTGTGTGTGCTTATGATCCATTAACATTCCAAATTATTGTTTTTTTCCAGCAAAAGGCACAAGAGTACATGAGGGAATGGGAGAAGAGAGAAGCTGGTCAACTATTTTATGCAAAACAAGGATTCAACATAATGAGATTTTTTCCTATATTCTCCTGTCTTCTGGTTGTCATGGGGACAGCATGCAGCATGGGGAATACTACTATGCGCCCACATCGAAGGAGAAGGACACACTGCCTAGGAAGCGATCGGTAGGCGAATCATTGATGATGCCCTTGCCATTGAGTTTGCATTTTACAACGATGTGGGTGTCGTACTGCAGCCCATTGAAACGCACGGCCACCACCGGCGCTGTGTAGTTCACCTGGAAGAAGGGATATGGGACACAAGCAACTTGAGTGGCTATCGTCACTATGATCATGCATATAATCTAGATCATGAGAGCAACAGTGGAAGTCATGATGCTGAAAATCCTCACTTACATGTCTCAGCTTCCCATAGTACGGGTAGTACATCAGGTTGAAAATGCTTTTTGGGAAGAACTGAAGTTCTCCCAAGCTTTCTGGCGCTCCTTTCTGAAAGAGTGAGTGGTCACCTAGTGAGTTATATTTTGGTGACTAAAGCAGTTATGATATTCAGTTACGAAGAGATGTTTTACACCCTGTGATGTTTGGAGGGAGGAATGCTGACTGTTACTGTACCTTGACTCCACAGGTCACGTTTACAGGAGTGCCTTGGCCAGGTAAATAGCCCAGTATCTACAGGCAAAGGAATGAGAGCAAAGAAAGGACCCTTGTATTGTTATAACGTCATTTTGATGAGAAACAATGTTGTAAATCTATGCATATTTATCATTCACAGTGGCTGTCTTCAGTTTTCTACCTAGCGATGAGATACATTTTGGATATCCCCACCAGGTTTCACTCGAAAACGTTCAAAATGGGGACAATAAAACTATAGGTTACAGTATATAATGGTAACAATAATAACATTGACTTGAGTCACAGGAACGCTGTAATCATATCACAAGACCGTTGTTATCTGCTCCTCACAATGGCCACAAGATGTCACTGAAATGTCTGTATCCATCTCAGATTACCTCAATGGTATCATCCTCCATTTCATCTATAAACTCTACTTTACGTCTATAACACAGATAACACTATCTCTTAGCAATCGCTGATTATATATGCAGCTTTAGGATGGAGTTCATGTTAGGTGACTGATGCTATAGAGGGATAGCCTGATCCCAGATCTGTTTGGACTGTCTTTGCCAACTCCTATGATCGTGCCAAGCACGTTTGGCATGACAACGATCACAGGAGTCATTCTCGCACCACAAACAGATCCAGGACCAGGCTAACAGATGGGTCCTCCATGGGGGAGATCTCTACGATCTGAGCTGTGTCTTACCCGGTTCATTCGGAGGAGGATGCAGGGTTTCCCCTGGGAGAATCCAAAGTGGGGGTCCTGGAGCCCTGAGCACTCGCCCAGCCAGGACCTCTTGAACTGGCACGCCTTCCTCTCTGCGCTCTCCTCCTGGTCATCCTGCAAGAAGTACGCGTCCTGCGGACACTGGATGTTCCTCTGCTCCTGTACGGCGTCATTGTACGCTGAAAGAGAGACATTAAACAATTATTTGTCGTTTTTTTCATGGGGGTTAATGGTTAGCACTGAAACACCATTGATAATTTAAAGAATGGTATATGCTACTGTATGTCAAGGAGTGCAACTGGTTGAAAAAATAGAAATGGAGAATGTTGAAAAATGAGGGGGATGGGGAGGGGTGGGCTCCCATAAATAAACCAATTGCTTCGCCAGGCCTCTGATTCAGGCAGCCTGACCAAAGCGGGCTACTGAAGAAGGGAAAAAAAGCAGCAGAACTCAATGGATACGCTCTGCCCACAAAGAGGCTTTCCCTTCCCAGCATGCAGTTCTCCCAGTGGCGGTTGGGGCAGGGGACAAAGGTAGGGAAGGTAGGGGGAGAGGATTAACTTACTGTGTGCCTATTCTGCTTCAATGTCATACCCCCAACGTTCCCCAACATGTCCCCAACATTTAAATCCCATTGGACCCAACACAAACAAACACTATCCTCAGCTAACTTTCAGACCACACTTCCGCATTTACGTACAGCTAAAAGTAACGTTTGAATCTACATGGTAATGTCATGTTCACGGTGGAATTTCCGTTCATGTTTCTTTTCAAGTTTGGCCAAATGCCAACTATTCCATCATGTATCTGACTCACGTCTTAGCTGTTCTTCCATTAGCTTTGCGTACTTCTTCCAAGACTTGCGGTCGGAGGCATTGAAGGCGATCTCATAGTGCCCATCCAATTGTGGGGACATCGTCATACCTGCCAAAGGAAACCCATAGACAGTCAACTGTGCTTACGTTCAGATAGAATGGACAGATAGAGGGACGGAGGAGTGATAGAGGGATAGAATGATAGAGAAATAGGGAGTGGCGGGGTTAGAGTTTATATTTACCTGGTGGCATCACCCTGTCGTTGTGGGTTGGATAGTAGGGGCTGATAGACAGCATGAGGCACCACATACAGGCACCAAACATGGCCGCCAGGAAGGCATACAGTGCAGTGTAGAAGAGGATGATCAGAACTAGGAGGTAACATGGAGGGTAGATAAAGAGAATGAATTAATCTCAGTCACTGTAACTCAATTTCATGGACATGATGAGAAGAACGCCGAGGGTAACAGTTGTGGTTATGGCTATCAGCGTGGATTGGAAAGACTACAAGCACGGCACCAGAACGGAAAGTCTTTGATTTGAGTTGCCAGTATGAAAATGTATGCACTCACTAACTGTAAGTCGCTCTGGATAAGAGCGTCTGCTAAATGACTAAAATGTAAATGTAAAAATGTATATAATGAAGTATAAAGAATCCACTGTTACTATGTTGGAAGTTGGAACTGTCTGGGCTGTCTAGACACTCATAATGGCTTTGCTCAGGATGCTCACTAATGTGTTTAACCAATACAAAAGAGTTGTCTCTCCATGTCTGCAAATGGGAATCACTCCAATCAGTTTGTATTTTGTTATGAAATATATTAGTTAACAAACTCATTCAAATTATCTGAACTGTGTGAAAAAATAAAACCTGCCATTGTTCTCCCCAAATTGCAATTAACAGTCCATTAGCAACTAATCAAACCCAAACGTGCCCTAAACTAGAGGCTTTTACTGCGCAGGCAATTTCACAGGGGACTGGTTGCAGCCAGCCTTGCGTCCCCTGAGCCCACAAAGGCCTTACTGTTTGAGCTCAGTGAGAATTCTCCCAGCAGTCCTTTCACTCAGGAACACAGTGAACCTCCGGTTGCCATCGTAGTGACGGTCTTTTGCAGCCATAGAGCCACGGCCAGCTCCAAGTAGCCCCGATCACCCCACTCTGTTAATGTGTCCCCCTCTCACACTCCTCTCACACAGGACACACATCACATACTTCAAACTCAGTCCCCTCTCCTTTCTTGCCAGGGGGCACATTGGGCCCCAATCCTTCCAAAGTGTGCACACATTGCTTTCTGAAACTATCGCTCCCTGTCCTGAGCCTGGCATTTTGTCTTCTGTATTACTGGGCACGATGATGAAAAAACAGCAAGTTTTCAGCTTCTGACGTTTTCAGGAGGAACATGCTCTTTCTTGAGACATTTCTCAAAGCTTGGCCCCTTGGACCGCTCTCGTATGGTACAGTTCAAACCCAAACGCATCACATAGCAACAAGGCTGTCGGATCAAGAGCCCTGCTCCATCATCACAGATTCAACAAGCCCCAGGAAACAGCCTCCGAAACCCCAGGAAACAGCCTCCGAAACCCCAGGAAACAGCCTCTGAAACCCCAGGAAACAGCCTCTGCCAAGAAAGTTTGTCTAACGGACTGCGCCGAACAGCCAACGAAATTTGACAACTTTTTCTATCTACGAAACCCCTCCCCACTTGTCTACTCCCTATGTGTTCGCCTGTGACCGTGGGGGCGCGAGCGCGCTAGGGTCAAATGCAGAGTTCACGGGAGCTTTGGGAAAGAGGCGGTGGAAAGCCAGGTGAGGGGTATGAGGAATGTGATTCCTGGCCAGCGCACGGCCCGGAACAGCGCACTCCCGCCGGGAATCCGTCCCCAGGCAGCCTTGTTTTTGTCCGCATCGGGACAGAGTTGTCTGTGCACCTATGTAAACATGGAGCTCGGGGACACACACACTCACAGTACAGTGAGCAGAGGCGAGGAACGAGGTTCTCTTGCTAACCCCCCCCCCCCCCCCTAGCCCATCATCCAAAAACAATAAGCCACGAAACCACCACTTTTGCCTTCAACCATTGGCGATTAACATTGTAATGATTACAAATGAGAGTGAGGTTAATGGATCTATACAGAGGTTAAGTACCAATGTGTCAGTAGACCTAATGTTGCAGTTTTGAACACTGCATTATGCACAAGCTTTAGCCGTTATCTTGGGGGTGGAATATTTTGTGTGATATGATAGGCAAGCGCAACATGCAGTTCTGCTACTACTGATCACTTCTACTTACACCAGCTATGCCCAGTGCGGCCCATGAACTCTCTGGTCTCAGCGTTCCATAGATATGTCTTCACGTCGCCTGCTTTCTCGTGGAGCGTCCTCTTAGGTTTGGGCTTGGGCTTCCATTTCTCAAAGTTCAGGTCTTCCTGCTCCAGAGGTTGATGTTCTATCAACTCCTCCTGCACCTCTTCCAAGGCCTCTGACACCGCGTGCTTTCCAGGCGCCACCTCGGCAGACTGGCACAAGGAAAAAAGAGAGGGGAAAGGGAAGGTAAGAATCTCCCCAGTCTGACTTTGCCTTGCCACGATGTTGTCAATCACTATCTATTGGTTCTAACTCATTTAGAAAGCCATGTTTGGATTATTATAATCAGCCATGTTTAGGTTAAGAGCCATGTTTATTTTTAGATAAAGACTATTATTCCCTATTTATCGAGTAAATGCAATTTTTCTAAACTGCATGACATCCGCTATAGCAACGCTACTCCACGATGGTCCTGTCCCATCATGTTTCGTTAAATTGACCTTCGTCGTGACCCTGGTGGCCCTCTTTGGGAGGGCTCTCCTCCTCGAAGTTGACCTTCCTACTTGGAGCAACAGCTGCAGCCGAGCTGGAGGGTCACGGCGACAGCCAGATGTAAAACACTGATTCTCAGCATAGAGAGGCCCCAGAAAGATCCCCAGTGGTCAGTGGAACCCCCTGGGGTTTTAAGAATGTCACTTTCTTAATGAAGTGGAGTTTTTAAGAACAAAAAAAAAACGTTTTCAATTGCTTTATGTTGTAAGATCAAATACACTTTTTTTTTTATCATCCTGCTATTTGCAGATGGATCTATTACTGGTAGGCCTTCCATGATATTACTTTTCTGGATGATTAAATTATCCAAATAAGAACTAGATCTGATATATGGCATGCAGGTTTGATGGGTTAACTGTTACAGGCAGATAGGTATTTTATTTTATTGAATTTAATTAATTATGAATTAAATCCATGAGGTATGGAACCCCAAACCTCTTGCAAGATGCACTTGTAGACAGCAGAATGAGTCCCAGAAATCAATTAGTTTTCATGTCATCCGCTGTTTTCTAAAGTGGACTTACTGGATTTGGTGAGTAGTTTCCATGGTGCTCTTCCTCAGCCCCTCCCGCAGTAGAATTGGGCTCCATGATTCTTCACAGAGAGAAAGGTACTTGTTAAACCAATCACATCTACTACCTTCCCCAAGGAATTAAAGCGGCACATCCTAACATCCTTAGAAAGTAATACAAATCCATTGCACCCCACTGTTTTCGACAATTTTGTGTGAGGTCTACCAAACAACTTTGAAAAACTATTACAAATGTTTTTATCCACAATTGATTTTGGCACAGCTCCTGGGTGTGATTTCCCAAAAAGATAAAAAACGAATCTTGACATACCTGAAGTTTTCTTTTGCAGGGAAAGTTATGTGATTGTCTTGAATCCCTCTTGACCCTAAGTAGAACGAATTCTAGGTTGGTCAAAAATTATTTTTTGATTTCATTAGAAAGTTTTACGCACACATCGGGAGCCGGGCACAGAAAAACTCCTCTCAACTAGGCGAGCATCATAGAGTGAATGAGTGCATACTGAAATGAGGAACACGGGGAGGGGGAGGGGGGAATCGTGGGTGAGAGGGAGCAAGGTCTTTTTTAATCCCAGAAGAACTTTTGGCAACAGTGCAGGGACCGATGTACGGCATTCTGCACACGCACACCAGAGTCCCATTGTCTGTTGAGCTGAGCTGAGACTCAGGCAAAGCCGCAGCGCACCAAAAATACTATTTCTATGTCATTCCCAACATGCTACTGTCAGTCACCGTCGTGCTTAAAGCTGCATTAACTGGGGTTTTATTAATAATGTATCTATTTGTGTGCTTTTTAAATGGCCATTGCTTGCTGTAGGCTATGCTAAATGTAATGCAAGGAGTAAATTCCAATAGTGTAATATGTTGATCGTGCATGAAGTCTCTTCAACTCTCTGACGTGTGCAACCGCCCATCATCCGCTGCTCGCCATAAAACTGTAGTGCTCGTCATCAAGAGCTATGTGCACTCCAGGTACGTCCTGATCTGTTAGCCCATGGACTGGCTGTTTTTTAGTTTTTTTTTACATAAGCATGTCGTCATGGGAAAACATATATTCTTTACCATTTGTGCTTCTTTTTTTTCTTATTTGTTTAGGGCAATTTTCTCGCAAGCACACAGTGACCAAGATAGTTATTTAGACACGTGCTTATAAACGTGCCCACCTTGACTGTCAAATCAGATACATGATGTCTGCCTCTGTGCCACGTGCACGCCACTCAAAATGGTATGATTAGGTTTAATTAGCCTAATCATGACGCATATAGGACCTATTAGCGCAGATCACAATGAAAGTGAGCAGTTTGAGGAAACCTGGAAGAATGAATAGATTACTATATTAGGGCCAGAGGTTAGTCCAAGCAGATTATAAAAATCGATGGTAACAATTTTGAATGTTGACATGGGGTGGCGCTCGAACATCTCCAAATCGCTATCCTATCCTACTCCACTCTTGCTTAAAATTAGTATTTTTATCAGCTAATATGTCTTCCTGTCTGATAAAAAAAAAACGGTTATATACTAATGACTGTATATAACAATAATAAAAACGAATACAAAAAAAACAGAAACTAAATATATCGAGCTATTTTGGATATAAGTAGGCTAAAATGAGTCTGCCTTTTTCAGATTTAGGCTATATGAAAATGTTCAGCTAATAAATTGAGATAAAATAAGCCTATGATGAGTTATTGTCCTGAGTGTGACTGTCGGGTGTGTGACTGTGACTGGAGCGTGGTGCATGCGTAAAACTTTGCACCTATTGACGCTCCGCGGTTCACGACGGATGAAGACAGCGGAGAGTGGACATGTCAAAGAGACGCTGATGTAAAAGAGACAGCCACGGTAGTGGCGCGGGGACGTCTGCTATTAGAGAATGCCACTGCAATCAAATGTCACGCGTGCATTAGCTCATAGCAGTAAACACGTTTTTGTGCCGCTTGTTATGTGTCTAGTTTTTAACCTTGAATCATAATTTTGGGCCTATATTCAGCTCCCGCGATTAATTAGAAAATGCCTCTTGTACAGAATCAACAAGCCGGAATAATTTTGACAGAAACTCCTATAGGTACGGTATGTGTGCGCGAGGTCAACGGCATGGTTGCAGGAAAAAAGATAGGCTACTTGGTGCAATATATGTTTGTCTGTAGCGTATTAGCTAGTATGGCTACTGTAGGTTACGCTGACTGTTTTTCTTTGTGTGCTGTTGTCAAAATCCTGAAGAAAGGTACAATTTGTCACATTGTCAGGATAAATAGATAGGATGTAATACTATCTCTGTGGGAATGAAATGTGTTTGACACGAGCAGGTCAGTGCTTGATTAATATGGGAAAGCCGCTAGTTTACATTAAGTATTTTCAGTTCTTCCTGCTCGGCCACTGCAGGTGTAGCCAGGCAGCATTAGATACAATCGTTGGCGATTCTGTTTTTGTTACTTTGCCAACAACATTCACACACCCACGGCACGGTTATATTGTATTTGTGTTTCTTACAAAGTAGTTCTATAAGATGTTATTACCATGCAATCATTAATTAATTACATGGTTATAACAACACGTGCACCTGATTCTACATCAGACAATTCGAGCGCTTGGACTATAAGGTTCTATCTGGATTTTTGTCGAAATGTAGTTATTGACATAGCCTTGTTCAGTTCAATTCTCTACCTATATAGCACTCTAAATACCCCAATTCATGTTCTTAAGTACAAAAGAATACTAGATAAAGCCAATTACCTCAGAATCAGAAACCTTATAGTCCTCTCGAATTGTTGATATCACGAAAATCACCATTAGGCCTATAAAATCAAAAGTAGGATCCAACAAGGCCCAGTATTATCAAAATGTATGCTACCATGCATCATCAACATATAATCGATCATGTTAATAATGAGAAGCAAATTATCAATGTCAAGATGATAAAATATCTCAACTACACATGCATGCATTTTTAATGGAATGGAGCGAGGGGAACAACATGGTTAGTTTAATCAAGGCCTTAGATTCCTTGGTTTATTACACAGCTAACCATAATACACTGCTATTGATATTTACCTATCAGTTGAAGAGGCGTGTGTTATGACAAACACAGGAATACTACTGTCAAAAACTATATTTTAGTACTTTGTTAATTACATCACTGTTAATACAATCCCAAAAAAGTGTCAGAGGCAGCAGTCAGGTTTTCAAGAGCACTTTCAGTACCAAGCAAAAACAGATATGATGATCTGTTTAAACTACCTGAATATTGAGGGTATATACATGTATATTGAAGGTATATAGAGGTATATTGAGGGTATATAGAGGTATATTGTTGGTATATAGAGGAATATTGAAGGGATATAGAGGTATACTGAGGGTATATAGAGGTATATTGAAGGGATATACAGGTATATTGAGGGGATATCCACGTATATTGAGGGTATATACAGGTATATTGTCTAACACTGTGTACAGTGGGGAAAAAAAGTATTTAGTCAGCCACCAATTGTGCAAGTTCTCCCACTTAAAAAGATGAGAGAGGCCTGTAATTTTCATCATAGGTACACGTCAACTATGACAGACAAATTGAGAGAGAAAAATCCAGAAAATCACATTGTAGGATTTTTAATGAATTTATTTGCAAATTATGGTGGAAAATAAGTATTTGGTCACCTACAAACAAGCAAGATTTCTGGCTCTCACAGACCTGTAACTTCTTCTTTAAGAGGCTCCTCTGTCCTCCACTCGTTACCTGTATTAATGGCACCTGTTTGAACTTGTTATCAGTATAAAAGACACCTGTCCACAACCTCAAACAGTCACACTCCAAACTCCACTATGGCCAAGACCAAAGAGCTGTCAAAGGACACCAGAAACACAATTGTAGACCTGCACCAGGCTGGGAAGACTGAATCTGCAATAGGTAAGCAGCTTGGTTTGAAGAAATCAACTGTGGGAGCAATTATTAGGAAATGGAAGACATACAAGACCACTGATAATCTCCCTCGATCTGGGGCTCCACACAAGATCTCACCCCGTGGGGTCAAAATGATCACAAGAACAGTGAGACCGAAGTAACAAAGCCTACCATCAGTAACACACTACGCCGCTAGGGACTCAAATCCTGCAGTGCCAGATGTGTCCCCCTGCTTAAGCCAGTACATGTCCAGGCCCGTCTGAAGTTTGCTTGAGTGCATTTGGATGATCCAGAAGAGGATTGGGAGAATGTCATATGGTCAGATGAAACCAAAATATAACTTTTTGGTAAAAACTCAACTCGTCGTGTTTGGAGGACAAAGAATGCTGAGTTGCATCCAAAGAACACCATACCTACTGTGAAGCATGGGGGTGGGAACATCATGCTTTGGGGCTGTATTTCTGCAAAGGGACCAGGATGACTGATCCGTGTAAAGGAAAGAATGAATGGGGCCATGTATCGTGAGATTTTGAGTGAAAACCTCCTTCCATCAGCAAGGGTATTGAAGATGAAACGTGGCTGGGTCTTTCAGCATGACAATGATCCCAAACACACCACCCGGGCAACGAAGGAGTGGCTTCGTAAGAAGCATTTCAAGGTCCTGGAGTGGCCTAGCCAGTCTCCAGATCTCAACCCCATAGAATATCTTTGAAGGGAGTTGAAAGTCTGTGTTGCCCAGCGACAGCCCCAAAACATCACTGCTCTAGAGGAGATCTGCATGGAGGAATGGGCCAAAATACCAGCAACAGTGTGTGAAAACCTTGTGAAGACTTACAGAAAACGTTTGACCTGTGTCATTGCCAACAAAGGGTATATAACAAAGTATTGAGAAACTTTTGTTATTGACCAAATACTTATTTTCCACCATAATTTGCAAAAAAATTCATTAAAAATCCTACAAAGTGATTTTCTGGAAAAAAAATTCTCATTTGGTCTGTCATAGTTGACGTGTACCTATGATGAAAATTACAGGCCTCTCATCTTTTTAAGTGGGAGAACTTGCACAATTGGTGGCTGACTAAATACTTTTTTTCCCCACTGTATGTCTTCCAGGATCATTCAAACAGAGGAAACGGAAGTCCATCATGGTCGCTATGATGTTGCTCATTGTGTCTGTACTCATCCTTATCTTTGGACTGGCAGCCACCACCAGGACACAGAACATCACCGTCGGTGGCTACTACCCTGGAGTCATTGTAAGTAGCAGTCTAACATCTTACTGTCTTAGAGACATGTCATACCTCAACGAAAAGAGGATAACACTACGAATGCATTTTGATGCAGTTATAATGCATCACAAGACTTGTCATGAGTATTTGACCCTCTTTTAATGGCTTATAATCATCTCGATCCTGACTAAATACCAGCCATTTTGAAACAGTTGAAATGTTGATACACAGAGTGACATAACATATTAAAAGCTTGATTCTTATAATACATTATAAATATTTTATACATGCTTATACTTGTATAATTAAATAATTATACAAGTTATAAACAAGAAATTCCGTCACAGGAAAAATAAATGTATTAGTTACTATTCCATTCTATTCTACTCTATTCTGTTCTACTCTATTCTATTCTACTCTAAAGCGCGTTATGCCTGCAGACTTTAAGTAACTTTATGTGTTGCCGAAAGGAGTACTGCATACCATCCAGGGTAATATGCTCTGGCTGATGTAAGCTCTCTTTTAGATGCTTTTGAGTGCTAATTTATGATGGACTCTCAGAGGGTGGCATTTCCCCCACATTCATTATTTAGCATTGTTGTCATTAGAGGCTGAAACATGTACTCATCATCCATAAATTGGCTTCAGAGACCCCTTCTATATAACCCTCAGCATTCTGCCTCAGGAGAAAGCAACAGTGGTGATCCTATAGAGCTTATGTTATTATATTGTAAGCCTTATTCTAAGACATTATAAAGACTCATGCATGCTTATAACAAGTTATAAAGAAGAAGCTCCCTAACAGGAAAAATACATTTCCTCTGTTTTATTCTATTCAGTGTGGATGATGATTAGGCTGTCTCTAAGAATAAATCATCTATGGTCATTCATCTGAAGAAAGACCAGTGAATCATATTTCAGATACAATAATAGGCCAGGTATTTAAGAACCGTATTGGCTAGGATAGATCAAGAAAATGTTATTGTGAACTTGTGTGAATAGAGCTGAGACTGGATGTACTTCCACCACATTCATCTTACTGGGTGATCAATATCACGATCATAGATATGGGCCCTGTTCGAATACTTCAGAAATGCATCCTTCCTTACCTTCCTACCAGTGATGTAGCGGTAAGAAATAGGTGGGTAAACTCTGATCACCGGTCGTGGTGAAAAAAGTAACACTCACTATACTTTGAATGGCTTTTTCCGCAAAAGGTGGGTAAACTGTTACAGATCTGTGATTACTTCCATGAAGTAATCACCGATCTGAATTTGTTTAATTGATGAAAGTAATAAGGTGGTGATCTTGAACACTTACCTCAAGGAAACAAGGAAGGAAGGATGCATTTCTACAGTATTTGAACAGGGCCATTTTATTATTTCTGGGGAAAGGTCATTTGGGTGAACCGAATGGAAGGGCCACTTCCTGATCCTGAGGGTCTCACAGAAGTGAAGTGTTGTGTTGTAATTGCTGTTGATCTCTATTACCGTTCAAATGAATTTCCTATTTAGTCCAGTTCCACTGGCGCCCTAACAACAGTCTGCTCTTTTTTCAGCTGGGCTTTGGCTCCTTTCTGGGAATCATCGGAGCCCATTTGATAGAAAACAAGAGGCAGATGGTAAGAGGATTATATTACGCCTGCACTTCCGTATCAGTTTCTATGCTACGGCTCTATATCTCTCTGCAGACATACACCACCAATAACCTAATTCAATTCTTCAAGCTGCATTCACTTGACATAGACAAAATCCAAATTGCGGTCTTCATGTGGCATGGGCACACAACCACAGCTACCTTCTCTAGCAGAATGTCACAGTTGGCTCACAGGGGTTTTAGCGTGGCTATCAGAACATAGTTCCTAGGCCTTCTTGTGAGATGCACCCAGAAATAGACATGTGTAAGAGGAGGAGGACAGATGTCCACGCAGGAATGTAGAGAAGGAACTGCAGATGAAGGGTGGTGCCAGGGGCATAGCCACTCCCCATAGCCACTCCCCATAGCTCCCGAAATGAAGAATGAGTGTGTAGCGTGACAGCCTTAACACACAGAAACTACAGGGGGAGTGGCTATGGGGAGTGGCTGGACGACCGGGAGACCCATGGGGCGGCGCACAATTGGCCCAGCGTCGTCCAGGGTAGGGGAGGGAATGGCCGGCAGGGATGTATCTCAGTTGGTAGAGCATGGCGTTTGCAACGCCAGGGTTGTGGGTTCGATTCCCACGGGGGGGCCAGTATGAAGAAAGAAAAAAAAATGTATGCACTAACTGTAAGTCGCTCTGGATAAGAGCGTCTGCTAAATGACTAAAATGTAAATGTAAAATGATACAGTGGAGCTGTTGCCACCCTAGTGCATTCATCCCACATAATACAGTGGAGCTGTTGCCACCCTAGTGCATTCATCCCACATAATACAGTGGAGCTGTTGCCACCCTAGTGCATTCATCCCACATAATACAGTGGAGCTGTTGCCACCCTAGTGCATTCATCCCACATAATACAGTGGAGCTGTTGCCCAAAAACAACATATGGATATATCCGGCACCATCCACACATGTATACATGATTTTAGAGAATGTCAACATTTGGAAATATTGTTGTTGTTGATGTTGCCAAGCATAGATGGAATAGATTCCCATGGAAGGAATCTTGGCTCAGAGACAAGTCCCTGCAGTTGCTGGTAGCTTTTGAATGTGTGGTGTCACTGGCTACTGCTTCCTTCCTATCCTCTCCTCCCAGGGAGGGCTGTAGAGTGTTGTAAAAAGGATGGGGTGATGTGTCATTGAATACATGCTGTCTTACTTTGAGGAGTGAAAGGACTTGAGGGTGAGGGTAGCGGTGCCTGAAAAGAGCTGGGCAACTTGCCACGTGGGGCGGGCATCGCAGGACCTAGGTGACAGTGAGAGCACTCTATCACTGTTGTCCTCTACCCACCCCCAATATACACCCCCACCCTCTCCCCTCACCAGGAACATTCATACTCACACACCCAGGGCACGCTGCGTTCTCAATGACTTGGTTTACACATGTCCTCACACGCTCATATACGAACACACGCACATATGCAAGAACACATTTCATGTGCGCATACACACACACATCATGCACACACACACATGCTGTAGTAGATCATACATAATGTAGTAGATAATACATAATGTAGTAGATAATACATACTGTAGTAGATAATACATAATGTAGTAGATAATTCATAATGTAGTAGATAATACTGTAGTAGATGAAACATAATGTAGTAGATAATACTGTAGTAGATAATACATAATGTAGTAGATCATTCATAATGTAGTAGATAATACTGTAGTAGATAATACATAATGTAGTAGATAATACATACTGTATTAGATAATACTGTTGTAGATAATACATAATGTAGTAGATAATTCATAATGTAGTAGATAATACATACTGTAGTAGATAATACATACTGTAGTAGATAATACATAATGTAGTAGATAATTCATACTGTAGTAGATAATACTGTAGTAGATAATACATAATGTAGTAGATAATACAAAATGTAGTAAATAATACTGTAGTAGATAATACATAATGTAGTAGATAATACATAATGTAGTAGATAATACTGTAGTAGATAATACATAATGTAGTAGATAATACATAATGTAGTAAATAATACTGTAGTAGATAATACATAATGTAGTAGATAATACATAATGTAGTAGATAATACTGTAGTAGATAATACATAATGTAGTAGTTAATATTAACAACACGGAGTGCCTGGATACAGCCCGTTGTCGTGGTATATTGGCAATATACCACAAACACCAGAGGTGCCTTATTGCTATTATAAACTGGTTACCAACTTAATTAGAGCAGGAAAAATAAATGTTTTGTCATACCCATGGTATAAGGGCTGATATACCACGGCTTTCAGCCAATCAGCGTTCAGGGGCTTGAACCACCCAGTTTATAAAATGTATTATACAACGGTGGGTCTAATCCTGAATGCTGATTGGTTAAAACCGCATTCCAGACGGTTTCTATTTAAGTGATAATGCCAGAGAAGCCGGTGTTTGGAGGATATATTGGCACGGGTGTTGTTAGGCCCAAGACAAAGTCGAGGGCTGGCAAACCGTGCCAATAGATCCTCCAAACACCGACTTCGAGGGCATTATCACTTTTATACAACAGGTTACCAACATATTCAAATAATGATTGACATATTTTCATTAAAAACTATTTCATCCTTCCACAAGATATAGTCCCGACACAAATCTAGGGTTGCTACCCAAGCCGGCTGGTCGTTCATTCTATCGGTTCGGTTGCTAGAGACGCGAGCAACATAGTCGTTCAGTCTTTTTGGTCTGTATCCAGTTGTTCGCTCTAAATGTTTCATTGCCATACTGGCTGGCAACGTTTTTATCCCTTGCTTGCTAGCTAGCCAACTACGGCTAACTTACAGTCACGTCAAAAAGTGCAGTCAGAAAAACAGCAAAGTAGCCGGATTTGCATTTGGTTTAAGCTGTTTTCTAGTGACATTTATTTACCAACAACAAATCTAACACATTCACTTCAAACTGAAGCTGGAAAGACTGCATACTAGCTGCACGTTTCATTTGTACCTTTTTTCAATTGACATTTCTTTGAATACTGTATATCCATAAAAATGATGCCAGCTGATTCATGATTTCGGCTGGCTGAGAAACGCTGCCTGCCTGTCTGACTGTCTCTTCCCGACTCCCGACACGTTCATTACTATGGGACAACTGGAGATCGAATTTGAATATTGGAACAATGTTGCAAATGTCAGAGAGACAGACAGCAAGGTTTATACAAATCTCCGCTGTTGAAAACTAAATGTTTGTTTAAAAGAAATGTGAGATAATGTCTCGATGCTTTTTATAGTGGAGCTCAAGTTTATAAATTGCTTGGCTGGGATGATGAGAAAGTGGATTGCACAGTCAGATGGAACAGAGTAAATAGGCATTTTAACGTCATAGATTTAGCCGGTGGTCATTTGTGTAATAGACACCGGTTGGAATGCGGTTTTAACCAATCAGCATTCAGGATTAGACCCACCTGTTGTATAATCCACAAATTACCACCGGCTAAAGAAAAGGTATAATCTTCGTAAATGATATCATAGGTAGGACTGGTGGAGTTATGTCGCACATGTTCCTAACAAAAACATATGGAAATGTCTGCTCTACCCAAAATTACAACCAAATAATTGCAGTATTACCGCAAAAATGGAAGAGGAAAGTGGAAGGGGGAAAAAGTAAGGAACTTGTCTGTCGGCCCTGCATTAAAGAACATAATTGGTTAAAGAAAATTGTGATACATAAAAACGTATACCAGTTTCATTTAAGGACCAAAGGATTGACAGCCATCCCATATAGATTGCAAAATAGTTGGGAAGAGATATTTGACGTAACGATTCCATGGCATAGTGTTTATGAACGGATACGCAAAACGACACCAGATTCAAAACTTAGAATTTTTCAATTTAAATTATAATACAAAATTCTTGCTACAAATAGAATGTTATTTATATGGGGGATGCAATCTTCCCAGTTCTGCAGATTTTGCTGCGAAGAGACAGAATCATTCGATCATTTGTTTTGGTACTGTCCATTTGTAGCTTGTTTTTGGACACAGGTCCAGGAATGGCTGAAGGATTGCAATATTTACCTGGAGCTAACCCTGCAGATAGCATTACTGGGTGATCTGAAAAGTCATAGTCAATCGATCAATAATATAATAATACTTTTAACAAAAATGTTTATTTTCAATTTACAATCTGTAGAAACAATGAGAATAAAAGGGTTCAGAACTTTTGTGAAACATCACAGTACAGTTGAAAAATATATGGCAAATAGAAATCCAATATGGATGGTGTTAAGAGATAGATGGGAGGTGTTGAATGGAGCTGAAGGATGGGACTAATAACAACTAACAACAACTAATAACAACAAGATAACTAATGTAAAGCATACTGTGTCCATAATAAGTATATAGGTTATAGGTTGAGAGCTTTTGTGAAAGAGCACAGTTAGAAAGATATGGCATATAGAAGCAAACAGGATGGACATCATGAAAATGATCGGAGAGGTTGAGGGTAGAGGAAGTTCAGGAGTAAAAACAAACAAAATAGAATTATTGTAAAATTGACTGTGTCCATAAAATGTATATAGTATGTATAAGCTGGAAGTAGAGGCCTAAGCATTGTTGTTCACTAGTTTACTCCAATTAGGGAAGGGGTGGTGGGGTTGGAAAGTAATAAAGGGAAATATATGTTTTTTTAAAGGATATGTATATATATACACTGCTCAAAAAAATAAAGGGAACACTAAAATAACACATCCTAGATCTGAATGAATGAAATAATCTTATTAAATACTTTTTTCTTTACATAGTTGAATGAGCTGACAACAAAATCACACAAAAATTATCAATCGAAATCAAATGTATCAACCCATGGAGGTCTGGATTTGGAGTCACCCTCAAAATTAAAGTGGAAAACCACACTACAGGCTGATCCAACTTTGATGTAATGTCCTTAAAACAAGTCAAAATGAGGCTCAGTAGTGTGTGTGGCCTCCACATGCCTGTATGACCTCCCTACAACGCCTGGGCATGCTCCTGATGAGGTGGCGGATGGTCTCCTGAGGGATCTCCTCCCAGACCTGGACTAAAGCATCCACCAACTCCTGGACAGTCTGTGGTGCAACGTGGCGTTGGTGGATGGAGCGAGACATGATGTCCCAGATGTGCTCAATTGGATTCAGGTCTGGGGAACGGGCAGGCCAGTCCATAGCATCAATGCCTTCCTCTTGCAGGAACTGCTGACACACTCCAGCCACATGAGGTCTAGCATTGTCTTGCATTAGGAGGAACCCAGGGCCAACCGCACCAGCATATGGTCTCACAAGGGGTCTGAGGATCTCATCTCGGTACCTAATGGCAGTCAGGCTACCTCTGGTGAGCACATGGAGGGCTGTGCGGCCCCCCAGAGAAATGCCACCCCACACCATGACTGACCCACCGCCAAACCGGTCATGCTGGAGGATGTTGCAGGCAGCAGAACGTTCTCCACGGCGTCTCCAGACACTGTCACGTCTGTCACGTGCTCAGTGTGAACTTGCTTTCATCTGTGAAGAGCACAGGGCGCCAGTGGCGAATTTGCCAATCTTGGTGTTCTCTGGCAAATGCCAAACGTCCTGCACGGTGTTGGGCTGTAAGCACAACCCCCACCTGTGGACGTCGGGCCCTCATACCACCCTCATGGAGTCTTTTTCTGACCGTTTGAGCAGACACATGCACATTTGTGGCCTGCTGGAGGTCATTTTGCAGGGCTCTGGCAGTGCTCCTCCTGCTCCTCCTTGCACAAAGGCGGAGGTAGCAGTCCTGCAGCTGGGTTGTTGCCCTCCTACGGCCTCCTCCACGTCTCCTGATGTACTGGCCTGTCTCCTGGTAGCGCCTCCATGCTCTGGACACTACGCTGACAGACACAGCAAACCTTCTTGCCACAGCTCGCATTGATGTGCCATCCTGGATGAGCTGCACTACCTGAGCCACTTGTGTGGGTTGTAGACTCCGTCTCATGCTACCACTAGAGTGAAAGCCCTGCCAGCATTCAAAAGTGACCAAAACATCAGCCAGGAAGCATAGGAACTGAGAAGTGGTCTGTGGTCACCACCTGCAAAACCAGTCCTTTATTGGGGCTGTCTTGCTAATTGCCTATAATTTCCACCTGTTGTCTATTCCATTTGCACAACAGCATGTGAAATGTATTGTCAATCAGTGTTGCTTCCTAAGTGGACAGTTTGATTTCACAGAAGTGTGATTGACTTGGAGTTACATTGTGTTGTTTAAGTGTTCCCTTAATTTTTTTGAGCAGTGTATGTATGTATATGTATTTATATGTGTGTATGTGTATATATATGTGTATATATGTATATATATATATATATATATATATATATATATATATATATTTGCGAGAAGAAAACAAACATGGGGGATTGGAAGTGATGCAATTACATTGATTGAAGTTACAATCTATCTGCAATATTAAAGCTGATCTACCTCCTATAATTAACACAAAGAAGAAAAAAAAAGGTCAAACGAAACGAAGTGCAGCCAGTTTGCAGTCTTTCCAGCTTCAGTTTGAAGTGATTGTGTTAGCTGTGTTGTTGGCTAGCTCCTCTGAATGTCACGCCCTGGCTCTAGGGACTCTTTTAAGTTGAGCCAGGGTGTGTAGAGTTTATGTTTTGTGCTTGTTGTGTCTAGTCTAGTTTTTGTATATCTATGTTGGCCAGAGTGGTTCTCAATCAGAGGCAACGAGTATCAGCTGTTGCTGGTTGTCTCTGATTGGGAACCATATTTAGTCAGGTGGTTTTCCCACAGTGTTTGTGGGATCTTGTTCCGTGTTGGTTTGTGTTTTGCACCTGTGGACGTCACGTATCGATTTGTTGTTTTGTTCGTGTATCATTTAATAAATAAGTATGTTCACCTTCCACGCTGCGCCTTGGTCCTCTATATCCGACGATCGTGACAGAAGATCCCACCAATACAGGACCAAGCAGCGTGCCCAGGCAGGAGAGGAGAAGCGGCACCAACCGGGCAGTCGTCGGACAGGCGAGGGGCACCCCCAAGAAATGTTTAGGGGAGGGCACATGGCAGGGACGACGGGGCCACTGGAGGCAGATAAGGGGCGAGTTGGTGGACGAGGAGAGAAGGCCACCGGGTTACGGGAGCCATTGGTGTATAGAGGGAAGGAAAATGTAGAGGCACGGCGAGAGGTACTGAAGTGTGTTGCCAGTCCGGTCCGGCCCGTTCCTGATCCCCGTGTAAGGCCAGTGGTGTGTGTTCCCAGTACGGTCCGGCCTGTTCCTGTCCATCGCGCCAAGCCTATGGTGCGTGTCGCCAGCCCGGCCTGTTCCTGCCCCTCGCACCAAGCCTATGGTGCGCGTCGCCAGCCCGGCCCGGCCTGTTCCTGCTCCCCGCACCAAGCCAATGGTGCGCGTCGCCAGCCTGGTCCGGCCTGTTCCTGCTCCCCGCACCAAACCTGTGGTGCGCATCGCCAGCCCGTGCCCGTTTCACCGGTGCCTGGTCAGGTACCGGTCAGCTGCTCCACACCGGAGCCTGAGCAATCCGCTCCACCGAAGTCCAGTCCAGCTCCAGCCAGTGGGGCTAGACCAGACCAGGGGCACTACGGGGGGGTTAGTAGAGGGTGGTGGTCAAGCCCGGAGCCGGAACCGCCTCCGAGGAGGAATGCCCACCCAGCCCTCCCCTGTTCGGTGATGTTTAGGCGCGGTCGCAGTCCGCGCCTTTAGGGGGGGGTACTGTCACGCCCTGGCTCTAGGGACTCTTTTAAGTTGAGCCAGGGTGTGTAGAGTTTATGTTTTGTGCTCGTTGTGTCTAGTCTAGTTTTTGTATATCTATGTTGGCCAGAGTGGTTCTCAATCAGAGGCAACGAGTATCAGCTGTTGCTGGTTGTCTCTGATTGGGAACCATATTTAGTCAGGTGGTTTTCCCACAGTGTTTGTGGGATCTACTTTGCTGTTATTCTGACTGCACTTTTTGACGTGACTGTAAGTTAGCCGTAGTTGGTTAGCTAGCAAGCAAGGGATAAGAACGTTGCCAGCCGGTATGGCAATGGAACATTTAGAACGAACGACCAGACGGCTTGGGTAGCAACCCTAGATTTGTTTGGGTAGCAACCCTAGATTTGTGTCGAGACTATATCTTGTGGAAGGATGAAATAGTATGAATAAATTCATCAAAATAATGTTTTTCATGAAAATATGCCAATCATTATTTGAATATGTTGGTAACCCGTTGTATAAAAGTGATAATACCCTCTGAAGCTGGTGTTTGGAGGATATACACCCGTGCCAATATATCCTCCAAACACTGGTTCTCGGGCATTATCACTTAAGTAGATAATACATAATGTAGTAGATAATTCATAATGTAGTAGATAATACACAATGTACAACATTAGATGCAGAACAACAAACACAATCATTTATTCATGGCATGAGAAATTCTTTCCTGAGATGACTTTCCAATGCAAGGTAGTAAGTCAAAGGTCTGAGTGGATAACTCTTTGTTTCTCTCCTCACTCATTGTTTCTCTTACAGCTGGTGGCGTCCATTGTGTTCATCAGTTTTGGTGTGGTGGCTGCATTCTGCTGTGCCATTGTGGATGGGGTGTTTGCAGCAAGACACATAGTGAGTAGCAGTACCAAGCAGAGCCAATAAGCTCTAATGGACAGATACCATGCTGTCATATGGAATATCAATGTTTTGGTGTTATTACACAGTAACCACACTAGTAACTGATTTCATATATCATCTGACCATTGCCACTTATTTTCAATTATATCATTGTTTTTGTACCTTTTCTATATTTTCCATGATAAATTATTAATTACATACTGGTTACTAACGTATAGAGTAACTATATGACATAAGTGAATTTGAAACTTGTGTTGTTGCAGTGTATTCTGCTGGTGTGGTTGATGCTGTTGTTTCTTCTCTAGTGATGTGTAAAACCTAAACAGTAGGATGAAATGTTTGTATGTTTTGTTACGCCCCAGGACCTTAGACCTTACTATGCCGGCCGCTGTGATTTCTACGCCAATTCAAAATCCTCTGTGGATTATGAGGACGTGAGTGCACACTTATTTCCTGTTGACTGTTCCTGTCCTCATTGTTGAAAGGTTGCCTTAAAGTTGTTTATATGTTGCCTTAAAGTTAAAAAGTTGCCTTAAAGTTGTTTAAACATTGCCTTAGAGTTGAAAATCCATCAGTTTCCCAATATAGAGAGCATGATCCATATGCGTTACTATGTGATAACAGTGACTACTTGTGTGAAATCTAGGTTCACTGCCAGACAGCGTCCCGCGCAACCTGTAGCCTACGTGTGAAGTCCAATACCTGCTACTGCTGTGACCTCTACAACTGTGGCAAGTGAGTTTTCCAAGCCTCTTTCACAAACTACCTGAGGGGCAGCTAAACTCAGCTCAATTTGATTGTTTTCTTAGTTTGATTATTTCCTTGTTTGCCTCAGATTAAGGTCATCACTGTTGGAAAAATGTAATTGTAAAAACTTTTTTGGACTTATGTTTCAGAGAACATCCTCTTTTGGGACATGCGAATAAAGATGTTTTGAAAAAGTTTAGGAAAACGTCCATGATTTGGAAGTAGGTCCCTTTCTTTTAGCCTCTTGAGAATCATTAACAACCCATTTTCTGTTGTTGTGGTTGATTTTAACAGTAGCTGTATAGTCTTCCTGCTTGGAACACACCATGGGAATGAGTGGGTGCCCTCTCCTCACTCCTGCATGAAGACCAGTCCTCCTACCTGTCCCCTAGCGCTTACTCTCTAGTAGTTGTAGCTAGTTCCTCCATTGCAACTCAATTTGACAGCCAAAGGCCAACTTATTTTCATGTATTTATATTCTGTTGTCATTTTATATCGAAGAGTTTACACAATGAATGTGGTACAAAAAAAAAAACTTCTTGTGTCTCAAGAAGGTGTTTCTTACTTACTTCTGTATGTCTTAACTCTTTGTCCTTCCTGATCTTGTCCACCCACCTCTCCCACACACTGGCCCAGCCGTGTGGAGCTGATAGGGGGCTACCACGAGTACACGGAGGTGGGGAGCTGCGAGGACGTGGTACACCTCTACCACCTGCTGTGGTCCGTCACCATCCTCAACATCGTCGCTCTCTTCCTGGGCATCATCACCGCCGCCGTGCTAGGAGGCTTCAAGGACATGGTGAGACAAGCAGCAGGCCACATCTGGGTTGTGTTCATTAGGCCACATCCTAGCATTACGTTTTAAAGCAAGCAAGCGGTTCTTATTGGACAAGTACAGGTATTCCCTCCTGTTTCAGTCCGCTTTCTTCCATTTGGTGCCTAATGAATACGACCCTGGGACGTATATAGTGTACTTAGTTATGTCAAATTGTTTGAAATACTTGAGCTGCGCTTGATTGAGTTTAACTTGGTACAGTGGAAGCAATGGAATAGTCCCAAACATGCAAACCTTAAGCTAAATCAATTTAAATGTATTTATTGGACTTATTTGACCCAGAGATGGAGGAGCAGACATGGTATAAGATACTGACCCAGAGATGGAGGAGCAGACATGGTATAAGATATTGACCCAGTAGGCAGAAACTAACAATTCTTAAAAAGTTGGCCAACCATTCTTAAAAGGTTGAAAGATGTTAATTAGTCATTTTAGGCATTTGATTTACTTAGGGTTTGCTCAAGATGAAAACGTAGCACCTTGGCCCTTAGTGTGGCCCTTAGTGTCGCCCTTCGTCAATCATTGGTGCGTGTGTGTGTGTGTGAGAGAGAGTGTGTGGGCACACCACTCATTGTATCTGTATGTGTTTTGGTCAGACGCCCATGCTGACCACTGACTCGTGTGAGTCAGAGCCCCTCCCAGCAGCCCCTGTCCCCACAGAGCTTCCAGCTCCCAGCACCTCCTCCTTCAACTGCTACTACAACACTGCCCCCTACCTGCCACCCTACACTGCCTATGACCTGCAGGTAATAAGCTACTAATACCCATCATTCATTATCCCCCACAAAGCCACAACTAACAGGAATAATGCATTAGGACGGAAGACTAACTTAAACTATGTGTGGGTAACTCCAACTCTTGAGGAGATCACGCGTTTATGTCAATGGTGAATATGCACGAAAATTCGAGTTACACTGTTGGATTTGAAGTTATGATTTTGTCCTCACTGCTTGACCATAGGATGAGTACTGTAGAAACCCCGGCTCATCTTCCCCCTCCTGTCTCTTCAGGGCTCCAGCATGATGTTCCCTGACTCTTCTGGCCTGTCTGATGAGTCCCAGTCGGGGGCCAGCCACATGTGGCCCACCCTGGTCCCCCCGTGCTACTCTCCACCTTACTGCCCCCCCGACGAGAAGCCCCCGCCATACAGCCCCTAGGAGAGAGGCTGGACCTGGGAAAGAACAGGGGAGGGCATCCGGTATCGTCTCCACTTTTGCCAGCTACATTGGCAACAAAGGGCAATGGGCATTGATGGGTGTTAGTGGACCTTGAATATTAACCTGTTTGAATGCGAGCTGCTGCTGCATCTAGCGCTCCAAACTGTTCCTGAGCAGCCAAGCCTGCCTGAGCTGTGTGGAATATAAAGATACAAGGAGTTAGTGGAAGAAAGAAAGAGCATGAGTCACTGATGTGACTAGAAGCCAGTGCTGTGAGGTATAATTCATCCCCCAATAAGTATAGCCTGTTAGGATTCAGCCCGACCTGGATGGAGCGGGGGATATTGCAAGACCCTGCTTGGCCTACACACCCTTTGCTCAGCAGACTCTCTCAGTTGGTGCCAGTTTGCTCCCTACTTCTTCCCCTTGGTCCTAACTCTGCCATGTTTTGCATTTCTGAGGGATCTGGATAACTATAAGCAGTGTAGTGGGTAGCCTACATCCTATTGTTTATACCTTACAGATCTGCAAACATCAAAGGGTTATTTTATTTAATTTCATTAGGATCCCCATCTAGTCTTCCTGAGGTCCAACACATAACGAAAAAAAGACATTACAGACAAAAATACTCTAATTTACATACCTTTAAAAATATTAACACTAGCTAGGTTTCCATCCAATTGAGGACAGATTTTCATGCAAATATTCTAGGATCTGCATAAAGAAAATATGCTAATTTTCCCCCCAGAGGTGTGTTTCCACCAAATGGACTTGTTGCGGATAAAAATCAGTGCGTGATGACAATTTACTTTTTCACTTAAGTTTACTGAATACATTTTTTAAGTTCAATGTGTTTCCATCGCATTTTCAACTATACCGATAGTTTTGTCACAAACACTGTTGCGTTAATGTGCCTACTCTGGTCTTGGCACGTGCGCTCTAGCCAACAGCTCGCAGATACAGTGCGGGTAGGCTAGTCTACAATTATGAGATTATTATGGCAAGAATATTTGTATTTGTCAAATGGCAGTCAAGCATCGATCATCATGTCACCAGTGTAAGACCCTCGATAGTTATTGGAAAGGAGCATCAAGATCACCATGCACTTTCACCACCCTGTGAAGTTCATCATAACTTATTTCATCTGTAGCCTAATAAACTGCATGGTTTTTACGAGTCGTAGTGGGAGGACCACACACCATATCATCGCGTGACTCCAAGTTTACTTTGATATATTTGCGCATAAAAGCGTTTCCACTGCCATTTCTCACATAATTAATTTTACAGACACAAAAAGATCCCACCATGTCGAACAAAGAAATGATCTGGCGGCATTCATACAATTGTACTGAAACATCCTGTTTCCTTCATAGCTGTCATGATTGTTTTTTATACAGTATGACTTTATACGCATAAAAACTGTGGATGGAAACATGGTTAGTGACATTACAGACTTGTATATAAACTACAACTAAAGACACATTTAATAAAACGAAATAATAATAATGTGTGGGTGTGTGTAGAGTGTGTGTGTGCATCGATCAGTTACACATACATGTCAGTACATACACACAACAAAGTAGGTCACATGGGGGAGAGGTGTTGTGCCGTGGCAATCATGGCTCTATATAATACTGTATGTTTCCTTTCATTTGTTCTGGACCTGGGAACTGTGAAGAGACCCCTGGTGGCATGTCTGGTGGGGTAAGTATTTCTGTCAGAGCTATATGTAATTGATGCAGTCAATCTCTCCTCTATTTTGAGCCAAGAGAGACTGACATGCATACTGTTGACATTAGCCCTCTGAGTACATTGAAGGGCAAGACGTGCTGCTCTGTTCTGGGCCAGCTTTTCTAGGTTCTTATTTGCTGCACTTGACCATATCACCGGGCAATAGTTAAGTGATTAGATAAAACTAGAGCCTGCTGGACTTTTGGTCAACTGTGATGTTAAAAATTCTGAGCATCTCTTTATCACAGACAGACCATCTTTACAACAGTTTAATCAATGTGCCTTGACCATGACAATTTACAGTCTAGGGTGACACCGAGAACTTCAGCCACACCATTCGTTACCAGATTCAGCTGAGGTCTAGAACATAGGGAATGATTTGTACCATATATGTGTTATGGCTTTACATCCTATGATAAAGGATGTAGAGACATAACATATACATTTTTCCAACAACAGGTTATGGTCAATAATATTAAAGGTTGTACTGAAGTCTCTCCCACCATCTTTTTATTATCCATTTATTTCAGCCAATCATCAATAATTTGTGTCAGTGCAGTACATGTTGAGTGCCCTTCTCTGTTGTTAATTAGATAACAGAGAAATAGCATTGTATTTGGTCAAACACCATTTTTTCCAAAGGTTTGCTAAGAGCTGGCAGCAAGCTGATTGGTCAGCTGTTAGAACCAGTAAAGGATGCTTTACCATTCTTGGGTAGCGGAATGACTTTGGCTTCCCTCCTGGCCTGAGGACAAATAATTTTCTCCAGGCTCAGATTAAAGATATGGCAGATAGGAGTGGCTATAGATGTCACGGTTTAAACTGAATATGAACCCAAATGCAGACAACTACACCGAGCCAGAGAAGGTTTAACAGGTTTATTTCAAAGTTAAATTGTCCAGGTTTCCAAAAATAGGGGAAGAGCAAGTCCAGGTCTACAGGGAGGGTAACAGATCCAGGGTTCTGAGCAGGAGTGGTACCGTCCTAGTGTCCGTGGTGAGTCCAAATGTGAGGTCCAGTAGTGGAAAGCAGGATGGTGGTGGCAGGAGTGAAGCGGAGGCAGGAGTCAGGTTCCAATAATCTGTGGCACAGGAGAAATATAAATAGAACCGGCCAAAAACACAAAGAGCGAAAACAAGCAGGTTGAGTCAGCAGCGAGACTAACATGGTCGTCTTGACTATGATCTGACGATGAGTGGCAAGTTTGACCGGGTCTTTAAGGCTGAGGTGATTATGGTGAATGAGCTGCAGCTGGAACCCTGACTCCCGCACACCAGACTTCACTCCTGCAATTAAGAACAGACAGAGGGGAGGGGGAGAGCAGAGAGAGAGAGCTACCTAGCAGCAGTAGGCCTAACAATAGAGTCAGCTACCATCCTCAGTAGCTTTCCATCTAAGTAGTCAATACCAGGTGATTTCTCTTTATTGATGGATAACAATTTTTCAACCATGAATATGATGGCTCACAGTTTGTTTTTGGCATTTCTGAGTTTGCCAACTTTGCCAATGAAATAGTCATTAAAATAATTGGCAATATCAAAAGGTTAGAGCCAAGGGGAAGGGGTAGGGAGCGAATTGGGATTGGCTGTACGTTTTTCTTAAACAAGCTGACCTCTTAAGATGCCAGGACTGTCTACAGATGTGCCTCATCCATATCTGTCAACTCAAGAAAAGCACCAGTTATCCTGGCCAGATGAGAAGCTTTCCTCCTTGGACAATGTGCTCTCCTCCTTGGACAAAGTGCTCTCCTCCTTGGACTATGTGCTCTCCTCCTTGAACAATGTGCTCTCCTCCTTGGACAATGTGGTCTCCTTGGACAATGTTCTCTCCTCCTTGAACAATGTGGTCTCCTCCTTGGACAATGTGCTCTCCTCCTTGGACAAAGTGCTCTCCTCCTTGGACAAAGTGCTCTCCTCCTTGGACAATGTGCTCTCCTCCTTGGACAATGTGCTCTCCTCCTTGGACAATGTGCTCTCCTCCTTGGAAAATGTGGTCTCCTCCTTGGACAATGTGGTGTCCTCCTTGGACAAAGTGCTCTCCTCTTTGGACAATGTGCTCTCCTCCTTGGACATTGTGCTCTCTTCCTTGGACAAAGTGCTCTCCTCCTTGGACAATGTGCTCTCCTCCTTGGACAAAGTGCTCTCCTCCTTGGACAATGTGCTCTTCTCCTTGGACAAAGTGCTCTTCTCCTTGGACAATGCGCTCTCCTCCTTGGACAAAGTGCTCTCCTCCTTGGACAATGTGCTCTCCTCCTTGGACAATGTGCTCTCCTCCTTGGACAATGTGCTCTCCTCCCTCTGACTCTCGCCTCCGTCTCTCTCTGATATGAATGCTTCCTGTCCTAAGTGGCACGGTGATTGGTCCTTATTTTTTGCCTTTTATCAAGTGGCATGAGACTGGTGTCGTGGTGTGGGAATGGTTTGTCTGATTTTGATTATTTGGACTGATTGATACGCCTTGGAAATCTCATGTTGAACAGTATTAACACTATGTTAGATTGCTTTACTTTTGGTCAGCTATAGATCACAAGTGCAGAGACTAAAAGTGTATAGCCTGTAATGTACTGTACATCATCATTATCACCATCATTATCACCACAGTACAAGAAATATCAGCTGTAATGGTGCTTGGATTTATGTAAAGGTACACAATTTTCTTTAGTAGTGCAATGGAAAATGAAGGTATTGAAGAATAGATTTTGTAGAGCACAGTTCACCTTAATACTATATCTCGCATTATTGTTGTTATAGATTGTGAGCAGGGTTATAGCAGAGCCAATAATGACAAAATACTGTGTCTGTTTGTTGTGAGGGGTGGATCTGAAACATAAATTATCACTCCTAACGTTATGTAATGTATTTTATAAGTTGCAAAGGGACTGACTAAACGCTAAACTCGTCTGTTTCTTTCTAGGTGTGATATAACAGTCTTTTACACTTGAATATAGCAAAAGAACAGCCTTGTGTGTTGCATCTTAAACAAAATAATATAGACCTCAAAGTAAAGAGCAGCCTCTTGAGATCATTGATTAAAGTACACAGCTTTGTTTTTGCATAATTTTTTGGAACAGCACTTTCTCAACAGCTGAAGATGGACTTCTGCTGACTGGAGTGGATTGAGTGTCTCGCCATTAAAAGTATTTTTTTTGAAAAATGCTTGTACGGTGTTACTTTCCATAGACAACATACACTGAGTATACAAAATATTAAGAACACCTTCCTAATATTGAGTTGCATCCACTTTTGCCCTCAGAACAGCCTCAATTTGTCGGGCATGGACTCTACAGGGTGTCGAAAGCGTTCCACAGGGATGCTGGCCCATGTTCATTCTAGATACACACGGGAGACTGTTGAGTGTGAAAACCTCAGCAGCGTTGCAGTTCTCCTACTACCATACCCTGTTCAAAGGCACTTAAATCTTGTGTCTTGCCCATTCAACCTCTTAATGGCACACATGCACGATCCGTGTCTCAAGGCTTAAAAACCCTTCTTTAACCTGTCTCCAACCCTTAATCTACACTGATTGAAGTGGATTTAACAAGTCACATCAATAAGGGATCATGGATTCCACCTGGATTCACCTGGTCAGTCTATGTCATGGAAAGAGCAGGTGTTCCTGATGTTTTGTAGTCAGTGTATAGGTTAAATAAAGTCAACAAGCATCATCCGGTGTTGAAAACACAACTCCCAAGGAGCATTTGATTTTCGTTTCTTTAAATAACAGCATCAACTGGGGGTGGCGGAATGCCAATGCAGGGGCCTTCTTTACTATGGGAGTTAGGACAACTACCACATTTACCCTCCTTCATTACTATGGGAGTTAGGACAACTACCAGATTCATCCTCCTCCATTACTATCGGAGTTAGGACCACTACCAGATTTATCCTCCTTCATACTAAAAGGACAGTCATCTCAAGCTATAGATTTCTTCCCTTCTGTGAAATGAGACACACTTCGGTTGTATTTACTTTATTAACATTTGTTTAGCACTAAGACCTAATAAATACATTATTTAAACAAAGAAATTGTTAAAATGGAAAAGGTATTTAGCACAATTTTGTAGAAGACACCACTGTTAATTTTGTAATGTTTATTTTAGCCATAAAAGCCAGAAGTGCCTTTATTGAAGGACATACTGAAGCAGTATAAAATGTCAAGTTAACTCTACAGTCCAACTCAATTCAACTACATACTGACAAGACTGGGAAGAAAAAATAACATGATTCCAATGAGTTACATGATTCCTATGATACACTACGTAGGTAAACTTTATACATACAGAGTAGGAGGCAGCTTCTGGCATCCTTGACATATGACTTTCAGAAAGACTGCAAAATATATGGCCAGCATATGAAAGGAAAGAAAAGGTCCCAACAAAAGAGTAGACCATATTGGGCAAGTCATGATCAAACCATTTGAAAGGACTTCAATATTTAATGGACATAATTCAATCTTAAATTATAGCTTTGTGCAACCAATTTGAACACTTTAAATAATTATTGCAATTGCGTTTCCCTGCAACATTGGGCAGAAGTGGAATAACCAACCATGAATTACTAACACAGCAAAAACAGTCATTTGTGCTCATTGCCTTTTCATTTGTAGCACAAAAATAATCCAATAGAAAATGGAACAATCCAGATTGAAATCAATACATATGGTATTTGAAGCAATGTATCCCGTCAATGAGCTGGTATCTGAATCCCTGTGCGCAGAAAGAGCATCATTTCAGTATCATTATTTAATGTCAATGAGATTAATGACATCAATTAATTCCATCAATATCCTGATCCAATCTCTGTTTGTGGTTTGAACATCAACTGTACATTTTATCTTCTCAAAGGCATAACATAAATAAAATACGTACTAACAATAAATACATGTATATGACTAGATTGAGGGTCCTTCTGTTGAACAGCATGAGCACTCCAAAGTACTTGGAAATATTTACCATTAAAAGGGTCAGTAGAAATACAATGAGAGACAATACACAGTTCAATGACAAGAGCTTGATAAGGACAAAAGTTGCACTACACTCCAGATGGGTTAGCTAGAGCACATAGGAACTTCCTACAAAACTGTTGAACATTTGAAAAAGACAACATGAATGACATTTGACATGGACCCAGGAAACATAATTCAAAAAGGGGACCCCACTGACAAGGCACAGATCACAGATCGGTGAGCCACCCTGCTCAGTACGTCTCTGGTATGACAAACTCAAACTCAGACGAGCCTGGGGGAGGTTGGATGGGGTGGCTCCCTGGTTGGTGGGCGTGAGCACCTGGTCGAGGATGTGCCTGAGGCTCCACAAATATGTCATCCCAGTTCAACATCTTGCCCTGGGTGGACTGTAACGGTAGTGGGTTGGACAGCTGCCCCCTTCCAGGGTTAATGTGCTGGACGCTTCCATCCTCTTGGATAATAGGGACCCCTCCTGGATCTGAACCGTCCGTCTCATATGAGTAGGTCTTGAACTGCACCGTTTTGCAAGGGAGCAGGCGGTACAAGTTGTTGTCGGTGTCATCCTTCTGTTTCCTCCCAGACGGGTCCTGGTTGTGGGCCTGTTTGCAGTGAGTCGACAACAGCTGGTAGTTGATTAACATCTCGTTGCACAGCAGGCACTGGTATCTCCGCTCACCCGTGTGGTGGATCTCGTGTTTGGTCCGGTACTCAGCCAGGGCAAACACCTTGTCGCAATAGTGGCATGGGTACTTCTTCTCCCAAGAGTGGGTGTTGAAGTGGCGCCGCAGGCTCGTCAGGCACACGTAGGGACGCTTGCAGACAACGCACACAAAGAAGGTCTTCCCGTCCATGATGAGCTCGTAGTGATCTTCCTGCTCCGTTTTGGCCTTCTTCTTGCTCAAGGCACCCTGTGGCAGTTGAGAGGTGTTGAAAGGTTGAAGAGGTGTGGCCATCAGAGACCTCTTTGCCCCTCTACTGTTTTTAGAATCTCCCTCCCCGGGATCGTCCTTCATGGGGACAATGTCATATGTGTTCTCCCCGATATTGGCGTACACCTTGCAGCCTGGAGAAAGTGAGCCGAGCTCTGAGGCCTTATCTAGCGTGATTGTCTTTTTCGTAGCTGCAGCCGTTTGGGGAATGCTAATGCCTGCCTCGTTGATGAATCCACCTGGTGACGTCATATCAGAGAGCTTGATTTTTAAGTTGCCCTTTCGAGCTAGTGTGACCTGCTTCTTATGGATCCCTATTATCTCTGGGGTTTCTAAGGGCAGGGAGGTGCTGTGTAGTTCGGGGGTGAAAGTGCCAATTCTAGCCGGCGTTGTGGATGTGCTGCAAGAGGAGGCTACAGCGGGTGAAGATGGAATATTGGAACTGGTGTCAGGGGACACCATGGGGCTGCTCAGAGGACTGTGGTCTCGCAGGGTTTGAGAGGAGCTGTTGAGGTGCGGGGCTGCTTTGACCGTTTTCTCTTGGTCCTTTGTCAAAGTGGGGGGTCTGGCCTCTACCGGTTGCTTTGTCACAGAGGCGTCCTCTGTATCGGGTGCATCCAAATCAATGATTTCAGAGGGCTTGCATTTCTTGATGGCGTCCGTTTTGGACACAAACATGAGGTCATCGTCCGAGTCCTGGTCTGCACTTCTGTCAGTCTGACTGAACTCCTCTGCAGACAGTGAAAAGGACTCGGTGATAATGGGCATTGTTGGCTCTGTACTGCTTTTGTCCACGGAGCTCACCTCATTGTTTTCTGTGTCTTTGGACAGGCCAGGTAGGCCCTTGACTTGTGAGAGCGGTACGCCTAGATTCGCAATGAACTTCACCCCCAACATCTGCCCAGCATTGATAAGCTCCTTGAGCATGTCAGAGCGAACGCGGACAATCTTGGAACTGTAAATGTAATTCAGGATTTCCTCAAAGATTTCCGCCTTGATGAAATTCAACTCGATCACCTGTCCAGCCACTGAGAAGAGTTGGTGGAAATAAGTGCTCGACGCCGACAAGATGTTTTTGTGCGCTCGAAATTTACGGTCCTGTATAATTATGGTGACATCACAGAACAAGCCATTATTTCGCTGTCTATTCATCGACTTCAGCACCGTTCCTGAATACCGGGTGTCAGTTGCAGAGATCAGCTTTAGGCCCGACATCCCTGTGGAGTGAAGACAAAAGCAATGAATAAAGGCATTAACTTGACAGTCTATTAGAGCAATCTTTTTCTTTTTCTTTTTTTTTTTTTTAAAGGTCCTCCATCCCAGTAGGTCTTACAGTTGCTTAACTGCCCTACTAGCGGTAAATTGCAAATCACCTTTCACTTCTTGTTAGGTGACCTCATCATGCATTCGTAGTAGCTTATTGTTTTAAAGGCAGAGGGAGTCAGCAAGCTACTCATTATGCTGGATGTTGTGGTGAATAAAATAGTTGGCAAACTAGCTACATTGCTTGCTAGCTAACGAACTAAAGCCTTAATTGATAAAAGTCCAAGTCTGTACAATTATTTTTTGGGGAGGAGTGCACGAAAACGAATATGCATCGTTTGTAACTTGCTAGCTAGTTAGCCTAACACCATTCACAAACACAAGGCCGGTCTCAATAGTATTGCATGCCAATGACATCCAATATATTTTAAAATAAAAAGCTATTATGGTAGTGATTTAAGGTAGCCTAGTATCTATACAATGTATTATTTTACATTAGGGAAATGCAGATTCATATTGATTGATTATATGAAAAGGATCTAGCTTAGCTAGCTATTAACAGTAAGGGGTACGGATGTTCCCTTCCTGGTTTGCGGCAGGTTCGCGGCCTTTTGGTAAGAGTTGATCTTCCATTATTACAAAATTATTGGATGGGGCCAATATATGATGTGGGCTTCTACAAGTAGCTAACACTTGTTATTTACCTGCAACGCCAAGCCTTATGATTGAGGTTCTCTTTCCAAACGAAGTATCGGTAGATGGCTGTAGACAACAAAACGTCAATCTCCTTGTTACTGTCGGAGCGACCTACTGCTAGTTCATGCATGGCCAACAGGAGTCGCAACAACTGTGTCAAGAGTTCCATGTGGTGAGATCTACACATTTGCTGCAGTTCAAACGTTTGAAACTAGATATGTTCAACGGCATTACATGAGATAATTAATACAGCCCACAAGGAAAACAAATTTAAACCAGAGACATTGCTTGAACGACTACTAAAAGTCGGTTCCAGTCTAACATGTATTATTATTAACATACTACGCGGAACTAAGAGCATTGTGCTGCATGTTTCAAGGGGGACCTGTTTACACTCGCACCCCATCATTTCCTGTTTCTGAAGCTCGCGTATAAACAACGCAGTATGACCGAAACAGCAGGTTATGTAGTCAGTTCTGTTTATTCTTTACCTAGCTGTCGAATTTAGGCTGTTCGCATTTGCGGGCATAAAAAACGGTAACTATGCCTCTGTCCGATCAAGAACAGAGAAGCCCCAGAAGAAAACGACGGAGCCGATCTGGCAGCGGCAGTCGATCTCGCGACTCCAGTCCAGTCTTTGGTCCCATGCCCAAGGCCCCCAAATATGAAGAAGACCATAAACCTCCTCGAATGTCCGACAGGGAGAGAGAAATGAGAGCGAGAAATGCCAAAAGGTTTCGTACGGAAAACCCCCGCGAGAGGTACAATAACCACGGCTGGTCCGATCAGCGCGGCGATGGCAGATATGGAGGTGGCGGCAGGAATGATTACTACGAACGGGATGATGCTCAATGCCAGAGACAAGACGCCTTCATCTCGAGGTAAATGTAGTTCGCGCGCAAGTTAATTAGTTACCACCTGGTCTCACAGCTGTGTAGCCCTATTTATGCACAACTAGCTAGCATCCGTGCAAATACATTGTCTGGCTCACACTATCTAACGACATTGTTTCAAGGGTTTGTGAAATCATGTTTAAAATGAGCCAAAGCTGGTCCTGGGCCACAGATAGTTGGCTTTCGTTCAAGCCCAAGATGCCAAGACACCGGACTCAACTAATCCCAGCCTTGACAATTTGATTCAGGTGTGTTAACTCTGGACTAACCTAAAGTAGTAGGCGTAAAATAAACTCCTGAAACTAGAGCCCCAACATACTAAAAACTGTTGAGGGAGGTTCTCTTCTGCACTTTTCAACCAATCCTGTAAATGTGGAGGAGAAGTTAAAATGTATTATGAACAGGGTGGTTCGAGCCCATAATGCTGATTGGCAGAAAGCTGTGGTTAATCAGACCATATACCACTAGTATGACAAAAAGTCTTTATTGTTCTAATTAGTTTGGTCCTGGCCTGGCCTCCTCCCTATAGGCTGTATCATCTGTTGTCGTCAGCAAAATTAATGATGGTGTTGGAGTCGTGCCTGGTCATGCAGTCATGGGTGAACAGGGGAGTACAGGATGGGACTGAGCACGCACCCCTGAGGGGCCCCCGTGTTGAGGATCAGCGTTGCAGATGTGTGGTTACCTACCCTTACCACCTGGGGAAGGCCCGTCAGGAAGTCCAGGATCCAGTTGCAGAGGGAGGTGTTTAGCCTCGACTGCGCGACAAATGTCATACATTTTGGGCAGCAGGCGTGTCAGTATAGCTTCTCCCTCGGCAGAGGCTAGCTCTGGACTAAGTGGATTCCAGGCTGTTGGAACTTGTACATCCTGTGTCTCTAGCCTAGGACCACAATTGGTCATCACTCAATTGGTCACAAGGTTTAATGTATTTCTTGTATATTTCTAATTATATGAATTTCATTCCAGGCGGCTACAAGAGAGGGAGAGAATTGGTGAACTTGGATCACCTGAGGTCTGGGGCTATTCACCAAGAGTAATGGCGCCAGAGTAAGTAATTGTTATGCATCTTATCGAACTAATCAAGTACAGGATTTTGAAGAGTTGTGCTATACACACCAACTATCAAATAATCTACATTTAGATCATTTTGTGACCTTTTTCAATAAGCTCTGATGAACATACACCAGTTGAAGAGGATGTGAAAAACAGCAGCTCAGATTCAAGCTCATCGGGTGAGTATGCTGAATTAGCTAGTAGTCTTTATAATAATCCTTCTATGAAGGTCTGTCCTGAATTAGCCTATATCTGACTGAATGACATGCATTGACTAGTCAAGAACAGTGTAAACTGGGCATATTATATTATGTGCAGGACCAGTCAAAAGTTTGGACACACCTACTCATTCCAGGGTTTTTCTTTATTTTTACTATTTTCTACATTGTAGAATAATAGTGAAGACATCAAAACTATGAAATAACACATATGGAATCATGTAGTAACCAAAAGTGTTAAACAAATCAAAATATATTTTATATTTATAGATTCTTCAAAGTAGCCACCCTTTGCCTTGATGACAGCTTTGCAGGTGTGTCCAAATTTTTGACTGGTACTGTAGTAAGTCAAATGTATGATCTGATTACACCCTTGAATTGGGGAGAGATCAAGACAAGTGCACTCTAATTCGTAGACGATAAGAAGAAGAAGAAGAAGAAGAAGAAGAAGAAATCCAAAAAGAAGAAGAACAAGAAACACTCCGATGATAGCGAGTCAGAGTCGGACTCCGGTGGTGAGAAATGTTTCACCTTAAAAAATGTTAAATTCAATTACAAAGGCTGCTTGTCCGGCTAAGTTTATTTCACCCTCTGTTTTCTTTCAGACGAAGAAGTGAAAAAGAAGAAGAAGAAGAAGAAGAGCAAAAAGTATGTTAATCTACGTTCTACCTCTAGTCAACCGTACCTAACATAAATACTTGACATACCTATACACTACAGTGTCTTCCCATACCATGTTTTGTCACAGGTCAAAGAAGTCCAAGAAGAAGAAGACTAAGAAGAACCGCAAGCAGTCCGTGAGTGACTCCAGCAGCGACGGGTCGGAGGAGGAGGACGCCAACGGGGATCTGTGGGTGGAGAGGACCTGCATTGACGAACACATGGTGGGCCCTGAGGCCCCACTCACCCACCTGTCCCAGGACGACAAGCCTCTCGAGTAAATATACATAGAAGGATCTTTCTTACATTCAATAATCTACTCTGTGCTGTGGCTGGGGTTATGCCATTGCAAAGTTATGGAAACAATTTGAAATTCCTCTCAGATGTTGTTATGAAGTTATAATAACCTTATTACAACGTTTTATTTATTATGACGTTAGAGATGTTAGTATCTTACTATTGTTAACATTGTAAGGGATACTCCATACTGTCTGCAACTCTTGTAATTATGTGGCATTAGGTAGAAAAGGGTCGTATTAATTAGTGCACACCGTAGCCAAATCTTAAGCACTTTAGCAGAACGGTTTGCAATGGAAAACGAAAACCAGCATTTCTTATTGGACACATTCAGGTAGCCCAGTTTATTTCCTAGTGAATATGACCCAAGCACATAAATTTTAGGGCGCTGCTAGGTACATACAACTTGCTTCCACAGTTTGTCATGACATTACCAGCTTTTAAAATGCAGCTCTAGTCTTTATTTTTTATTATCAATGAATGGCTGATTTATTGATTTACATAACTTTTCCCTTTCCCCCTAGTTTTGGTCATGCACTGCTGCCAGGTGAGGGTGCTGCTATGGCAGAGTACGTCAAAGCAGGCAAGCGTATCCCAAGAAGAGGTGAAATCGGGTTGACCAGTGACGAAATCGCAACCTTTGAGATGTCTGGCTTCGTGATGAGCGGTAGCAGGTACATTAGTACTCTTCTGTTTTCATTTTGACATTTGAAATATTTTATCATATTTTACACATTTGGTTGACTGCTTTGTAACGCTCATTGCAATTTTGTAACCCCCAGACATCGTCGTATGGAGGCTGTGCGTCTGAGAAAGGAAAACCAGATCTACAGTGCGGATGAAAAGAGAGCCTTGGCATCCTTCAACCAGGAGGAAAGGAGAAAGAGGGAGAGCAAAATCCTCTCCAGCTTCAGAGAAATGGTGTACAGGAAAACTAAAGGCAAAGAGGACAAATGAGGCTTTTTGTTCCTCCCCTTTCGGAACTTTCTGCTTCTGAGAACTTTTTCTCCCAACATTATCTTTTGTTGTGTTTATTTTCTCATCGTTTCATGATTTGAGAATGTTATTTTTTTCCTCTTTGTATTGGGAATTAGACTAATATATTACTTATATTTTAAAGCATCTCTGACACAGTGGACTATTTTGTTTATTTAGAAAGTAGTCCATTTGATATTGGAAAGTGCTTGTTTGTCACAAAGCAAACGTATTCAAAAACGAGCACAAGACTGGACCATGCAGATGTATGGTGTATAGATTTGGAGAGCCATTTTGTATTGGGCTATTACAATATTGTGCATCCTAACATACACTGAGTGTACAAAACATTAGGAACACCTACTCTTTCCATGACATACTATCTAGGTGAAAGCTATGATCCCTTATTGATCCACTTCAATCAGTGTAGATGAAGGGAAGGAGACAGGTTAAAGGAGGATTTTTAAGCCTAGAGACAATTGAGACATTGATTGTGTTATGTGTGCCATTCAGAGGGTGAATGGGCAAGACAAAAGATTGAAGTGCCTTTGAATGGGGTATGGTAGTAGGTGCCAGGTGCATTAGTTTGAGTGTCAAGAACTACAACACTGCTGTGTTTTTCATGCTCAACAGTTTCCTGTGTGTTTTTTATATATTTTATATTTTTTTCACCTTTATTTAACCAGGTAAGCCAGTTGAGAACAAGTTCTCATTTACAACTGCGACCTGGCCAAGATAAAGCAAAGCAGTGCGATAAAAACAACAACAACACAGAGTTACATATGGGATAAACAAAACATAGTCAAAAATACAACATTAAATATATATACAGTGTGTGCGAATGTAGTAAGTTATGGAGGTAAGGCAATAAATAGGCCATAGTGCCAAATAGTTACAATTTCGTATTAACACTGGAATGATAGATGTGCAAAAGATGATGTGCAAATAGAGATACTGGGGTGCAAATTAGCAAAACAAATAATATGGGGATGAGGTAGTTGGGTGGGCTAATTTCAGAATGGCTGTGTACAGGTGCAGTGATCGGTAAGTTGCTCTGACAAATGATGCTTAAAGTTAGTGAGGGAGATAAGTCTCCAGCTTCAGAGATTTTTGCAGTTCGTTTCGGTCATTGGCAGCAGAGAACTGGAAGGAATGGCGGCCAAAGGAGATGTTGGCTTTGGGGATGACCAGTGAAATATACCTGCTGGAGCGCAGACTACGGTGGGTGTTGCTATGGTGACCAGTGAGCTAAGATAAGGCGGGGATTTGCCTAGCAGTGATTTATAGATTACCTGGAGCCAGTGGGTTTGGCGACGAATATGTAGTGAGGGCCAGCCAACAAGAGCGTACAGGTCACAATGGTGAGTAGTATATGGGGCTTTGGTGACAAAATGGATGGCACTGTGATAGACTACATCCAATTTTCTGAGTAGAGTGTTTGAGGCTATTTTGTAAATGACATCGCCAAAGTCAAGGATCGGTAGGATAGTCAGTTTTACGAGGGCATGTTTGGCAGCATGAGTGAAGGAGGCTTTGTTGCGAAATAGGAAGCTGATTCTAGATCTAACTTTTGATTGGAGATGCTTAACGTGAGTCTGGAAGGAGAGTTTACAGTCTAACCAGACACCTAGGTATTTGTAGTTGTCCATATACTCTAGGTCAGACCCGCCAAGAGTAGTGATTCTAGTCGGGTGGGCGAATGCAAGCAGCGTTCGGTTGAAGAGCATGCATTTAGTTTTACTAGTGTTTAAGAGCAGTTGGAGGCTACGGAAGGAGTGTTGTATGGCATTAAAGCTCGTTTGGAGGTTTGTTAACACAGTGTCCAATGAAAGGCCGGATGTATACAAAATGGTGTCGTCCGCATAGAGGTGGATCCGGCAGCAGCAAGAGCGACATCATTGATATACACAGAGAATAGAGTCGGCCCGAGAATTGAACCCTGTGGCACCCCCATAGAGACTGCCACAGGTCCAGACAACAGGCCCTCTGATTTGACACATTGAACTCTCTCTGAGAAGTAGTTGGTGAACCAGGCGAGGCAGTCATTTGAGAAACCAAGGCTATTTAGTCTGCCAATAAGAATGCGGTGGTTGACAGAGTCGAAAGCCTTGGCCAGGTCGATGAAGACTGCTGCGCAGTACTGTCTTTTATCGATCGCGGTTATAATATCGTTTAGGACCTTGAGCGTTGCTGAGGTGCACCCATGACCAGCTCGGAAACCGGATTGCATAGCGGAGAAGGTAGGGTGGGATTCGAAATGGTCGGTGATCTGTTTGTTAACTTGGCTTTCAAATACTTTTGAAAGGCAGGGCAGGATGGATATAGGTCTGTAACAGTTTGGATCTAGAGTGTCACCCCCTTTGAAGAGGGGGATGACCGCAGCAGCTTTCCAATCTCTGGGGATCTCAGGCGTTACGAAAGAGAGGTTGAACAGGCTAGTAATAGGGGTTGCGACAATTTCAGCGGCTAATTTTAGAAAGAAAGGGTCCAGATTGTCTAGCCCAGCTGATTTGTAGGGGTCCAGATTTTTCAGCTCTTTCAGAACATCAGCTGTCCGAATTTGTGTGAAGGAGAAGCGGGGAGGGGGCATGGGCAAGTTGCAGTGGAGGGTGCAGAGCTGGTGGCCGGGGTAGTATCAAGAATGGTCCACCCCCCCAAAGGACATCCAGCCAACTTGACACAACTGTGGGAAGCATTGGAGTCAACATGGGCCAGTCTCCCTGTGGAACGCTTTCGACACCTTGTAGAGTACATGCCCTGACGAATTGAGGCTGTTCTGAGGGAAAAAGGGGGTGCATCTTAATATAGGGAAGGTGTTCCTAATGTTTGGTACACTCAGTGTAAATCAAATCCAATCAAAACTCTGTAAACCTGATGTTTTTTCATCAGGTTTTCAACATAATGAGCAGTAACTACACGAAGAAACTGGTTAATTCAGACAATTTATAACTTTATTAATGTACAATAAATTCTGACAAATCCATTCCATAGGTGAGATCTGGGATCAGTGGATATTCTCAAGTCCCTGTAAAGAAGAGAAATATTTAGGTAGGCCTAAGCAATGCCTGACAGACAGTAGTAATATAATGTTACAGTACTTCGTTACTGCATAAACATGTGAATTCATTGCCTGTTTACCTTCGATTTGTAATACAAATCCTCTCCTGACACTCGTCTGTCTCTCTCCATCAAATACCACTGGTATGGAACCCGGGCGATTCTCTTTTCCTGAACAAATGTCAAGGAGAAGAAGTGTTAGCACAGCTAATTTAGTATATAGAACTAGCTAATGGTATTACTTCAACCAGTTAAAAACTTCACATTTAACTAGCTAGCTATTGCAGTCATTCATCACATTGGTAAGCAACAGTCTCTCACCTTCCCCCCGTTGGTGAGTTTGTGGATCTGTGCAGTGAAAACCCCAGGAAGGATGAGACAAACGGTCATGACCCCGAGACCGGGAAGAATTTCGTACCACATAGTTGCAATGTGGTTGACGCAAGTGACAAAGCGTTTATTTGTCAGACGGCAAATACGACAGTTTATTTTGATAACTTGCTAAGAAAGGCTAACAAAATGTCGACCGACATGAAGGGTTGACGGTCATTCGTTCACTTCCGGAAGTTGGGGGTTTTGACATAGAGGAAGAGGAGGAGAGAGGCCCAACTCGGCGGAAAATCTGTCTCCCTCCAGCAGGTAGCGTTTTTTTCGTTGTTTCGCCCAACAAGCAAGGAGTGTTGTATGTAGGTCGATGAGTGTCGAATTTGGTCCCCCCAAAAATGTATGGCTTATTTGCTACGTGAGGTTTATTTTATCGAATATAATTTTCGTAATGCTTAAGTTGTTACGAGTGTACTGTTGTAAGTAGGACACGTAACATCCCGCAACTTTGAGAAAAACAATTTATATTGGAGTTGTCTCAAGATGGCTATACATATTCATGATGTTAGTAGCATCTCAATTGAATACAGGCGGTTGACGTCAACAACCCTCATCGAATATTCAAAATAAGATTACAATAATGAGAGGTATTTACCAATCCAACGAAAGGATAGGCGGGAGCTAGACAGCCCGGCGTGCCGCTTTGTGGATAACTGCTCCCATTGTTAGGGCGGAGAGACGTATCTTGTCAGTATATCGATAATCTTTGGTCTCCCAAAAGCCAATCAACAACCGGTTTTTGTTGTTGACTGCTAGCAAGTTAGCAATCAAGCAAGTAAAAAAAAAGTTGATACAGGACTGCAGATTGCAACAAGTTTATGGCATAAAGATGAAAGAGGACAAAGAAAACACTCGTCCGATGGAGAAAATGATGGAGATAAAATGCGAAGATACTGAAAAAACGGAGAAGCCAAAGCCGGAGAAGAAAGAAGCAATGACGAAGGTACGCCAGCTAACAACATCAGCTAGCGAAGCCAACATAGCTAGCTAGCTACTCCTGTATTGCTGGCAAGCTAGCAAGTTGAGCTGGCGTGATTAGCCTTTATAATTTAACTTAGTTAACGTTAGCTAGCTTTTGAATGTTGCATATTGAAGAGTAACGTTAACAGAGATGTCTGTAAATTATACTGAACAAAAATAGAAACGCAACAATTATTGATTTTACTGAGTTACAGTTCATATGAGGAAGTCGGTCAATTGAAATAAATAAATGTGGCCCTAATCTATGGATTGCACATGACTGGGAATACAGATATGCATTTGTTGGTCACATATATACCTCTTAAAAAATGGGCCTCTTGATCTCGCAACGGTATTTTTGTGCATTAAAATTGCCATCGATAAAATGCAATTGTGTTCGTTTTCCGTAGCTTATGCCTACCCATACCGTAACCCCGCCGCCATCATGGGGTACTATGTTCACAACGTTGACATCATCAAACCTCTTGCCAACACGAAGCCATACACATGGTCTGCGGTTGTGAGGCTGGTTGGAAATACTACCAAATTCTCTAAAACAATGTTGGAGGCGGCTTATGGTAGAGAAATGAACATTCAATTCTCTGGCAACAGCTCTGGTGGACATTCCTGCAGTCAACATGCCAATTGCACAATGCAATCTGTGGCATTGTGTTGTAACAAAACTGCACATTTTAGAGTGGCCTTTTGTCCCCAGCACAAGGTGCACTTGTGTAATGATCATGCTGTTTAGTCAGTTTCTTGATATGCCACACCTGTCAGGTGGATGGATTATCTTGGCAAAGGAGAAATGCTCACTAACCAGGATGTAAACAAACTTGTGCACAAAATTTGAAAGAAATAAGGTTTTTGTGTGTATGGGACATTTCTGGGATCTTTTTATTTCAGCTCATGAAACATGGGACCAACACTTTACATGTTGCGTTTATATTTTTGTTCGGTGTAGTTAACTAGTGAGCCTGTTAAGTTACCGTTAGCTAAGTTAACCAATACTTAGCTAAAAACCGACGCTGCTATTTTAACCATCTGGCTTTGTATGTTTGGATTTTCAATTGCTAAGTTAGCTAACATTTGAGTGTCTTATTTTTCCACAGATCATTATCCGACGTCTGCCTCCTAGCATAACCAAGGAGGAACTGGAGGATCAATTGCAGCCACTTCCAGAAGTGGACTACCTTGAATTTTTCTCCAATGACAGCAGGTGCATATAGCCTGCTGTTGATGAACCATTGTCTGTCAGAATCACATATTTGGTACCCTGGTTACTTACTTAGCATTTCTCCTGTACAGCATGTACCCCCACGTCTTCGCCAGAGCATACATCAACTTCAAGAATCAGGAAGATATTGTCCTTTTCAGAGACCGGTTTGATGGATATGTGTTCATTGATAATAGAGGTGTGATTCATTTCAGTTCATTAAGAGATTGACGTCTAATAAGAACATAACATAAGCCTACATTGCAGCAACTTCTGAGTGAATTATGTATTAATGTTGTCCCTTATTTTGTTTTCAACAGGGCAGGAGTATCCAGCCATTGTTGAATTTGCTCCTTTTCAAAAGATTGCCAAAAAAAGGAGTAAGAAAAAGGATGCCAAAAGTGGAACGATCGATGAAGGTGAAAATGTTACATTAGTCACTTTATTGTAGGTTGCAAATGCACACCATGTACAGTGCATTCGGAAAGTATTCAGACCCCTTTACCTTTTCCACATTTTGTTACGTTACAGCTTTATTCTAAAATGTATTTTTTTTTATCCTCATCAATCTACACGCAATACCCCATAATGACAAAGCGAAAACAGGTTTTTAGAAATGTTAGCACATTTATTAAAATGTTCCATTCGCACAAAAAAAACGTATTTTGCTCAAATTTTGTGCAAAAATTTGTTTACATCCCCGTTAGTGAGCATTTCTCCTTTGCCAAGATAATCCATCCACCTGACAAGTGTGGCATATCAAGAAGCTAACCATGCCAGCCCAGGACCTCCACATCCGGCTTCTTCATATGCGAGATCGTCTGAGACCAGCCACCCGGACAAATGTTGAAACTGGGTTTGCACAACCGAAGAATTTCTGCACAAACTGTCAAACCGTCTCAGGGAAGCTCATCTGCGTGCTCGTCATCCTCACCAGGGTCTTTACCTGACTGCAGTTCGGCATCGTAACTTCAGTGGGCAAATGCTCACCTTCAATGGCCACTGGCACGTTTGAGAAGTGTGCTCTTCACAGATGAATCCGTTTCCACTGTACCGGGCAAATGGCAGACAGCGTGTATGGTGTCGTGTGTGCAAGCGTTTTGCTGATGTCAACGTTGTGAACAGAGTGCCATGTGGTGGTGGGGTTATGATATGGGCAGGCATAAAGTACGGACATTTTATCTATGGCCATTTTAATGCACAGAGATACCGTGATGAGATCCTGAGGCCCATTGTCGTGCCATTCATCCGCCGCCATCACCTCATGTTTCAGCATGATAATGCATGGCCCCATGTCGCAAGGATCTGTACACAATTCCCGGAAGCTGAAAATGTCCATTCTTCCATGACCTGCATACTCACCAGATGTCACCAATTGAGCATGTTTGGGATGCTCTGGATCGATGTGTATGACAGCGTGTTCCAGTTTCTGCCAAAATATCCAGCAACTTCGCACAGCCGTTGAAGAGGAGTGGGACAACATTCCACAGGCCACAATCAACAGCCGGATCAACTCTATGCGATGGAGATGTGTCGCGCTGCATGAGGCAAATGATGGTCATACCAGATACTGACTGGTTTTCTGATCCACGCCCCTACCGTTTTTTAAAGGTTTCTGTGACCAACAGATGCATATCTGTATTCCCAGTCATGTGAAATCCATAGATTAGGGCCTAATGAATTTATTTCAATTGACTGATTTCCTTATGAACTGTAACTCAATAAAATCTTTGAAATTGTTGCGTTAATATTTTGGTACAGTGTAGATCCTCTAGCTGAGACACTGTTTGTTCTTTAGATGCTGACTACAAGAAATTCCTGGAGATTTATAATGGTGATGATGAAAAATTTACATCCACTCCTGAGACGCTACTGGAGGAAATCGAGGCTAAAACAAAGGAACTAGTAGGTATGGAAACATGGAGGGGAAACATTTTCTGGTTCCATTTGGTTGAAATCCAAGCTAGAAACACGCTAGATGAGTGTTAATGTGAGATCAAGAAGTCTGCCAAATGGGTATTTCAGTAATAGATTATTTTTCTTATTTTCCCCACCTTTAGCTAAGAAAACGACTCCCCTCTTGGACTTCTTGAAGAACAAACAGGTATGTGTAGCCTGTTGGAAATGATGTATTTTAGCTGTGCTTATTCTTGCATGGTATATGATGCTGGACAGACTATTCATGTGGCGTTGTCTGCTGATGGTCAGAGAATCCGTGAGGAAAAGAAAGAGGAGAGGAGGAGACGGGAGTTAGAACGTAAGCGCCAGCGGGACGACGAACGTCGGAAGTGGAGGGAGGAGGACAGGAGGAAGCGCAAAGAAGCCGAGAAGTTCAAGAAAGGAGACAAACCTGCCGAGAAAGATAAAGACCAGGCGAAGGAGGAGCCAAAAATCAAGGTATGGAAAGGAGGAGAAATCCTGTCTAACTACTCAACTGCGTGATGATACAGGTAATCCCGAAGAGATTGTAGCAGAATAACAGACTGCTCTTTTCATGTTGGTAATGCGTTTGTCTCTGTTCAGCTCCTGAGAAAACCAGACCGGGGAGATGACGTGGATGTGGAAAAGCCTAAAGAGAAGTCAAAGAAACCTGAGAAGGACAAGATGAAAGATGACAGAGCTCCAGGGGGTCCTGATATGAAGAAGCGCCAAAACCACGAAACCAGGGAGGATAGGGGATCACGGAAGTAAGTTGTCACCGCCATTTTTCTCATGGATGTTACAGGTCTTTAACTTAAAGGCTTCTATTGCATTCATATTTTTTTTATTTTTTTTGGTCATTTAGCAGACGCTCTTATCCAGAGCGACTTACAGGAGCAATTAGGGTTAAGTGCCTTGCTCAAGGGCACATCGACAGATTTTTCACCTAGTCGGCTCGGGGATTAGAACCAGCGACCTTTCGGTTACTGGCACTACGCTCTTAACCACTAAGCTACCTGCCGCCCATGTTGTTAGGTTCTGAACAAACTGAGTAAAAACTCAAATGGACAAAAAAAGCTCAAACCAAGTTTATTCACCCACTGGGTCATACAGCTGCAAAGACCAGGCATGATTACACAAGCACATATATTTATAACCTTTAATAGGCGTGGTCAACTCCTTACACATCTAGACAACCAATATATCTATGTTGCTAGGCAGGAATTTAATTGGTTCCTCTCACTGGTGTAGTCACAGCCCTGCCTGTTAGTAAAACCTTTGTGGGTGTGGAAAGTATGTGTGAGAAGGTTCTACAACAGGAGTGACATTGTGGTGGGCCTCTCTGGCCCCCCTCCCAGAGGTTTCTTCTCACTTTATCTGTTGATTTGACCTTGAGACGCATTCCTCACTCCTTCCTAGTTCCGCAGCCGGCCTGCCTTATCAGAGACAAACAATTGCCTTTCATCTCTCTCCTCAGAAACCTGGAACAGAATATGAAACTTCTGCTCTCAGTAACTTCCCATATTTCTAGTCCCATCAACCCTTCATTGACCCCAACATATACAGTACCAGTCAAAGTTTGTACACATCTACTCATTCAAGGGTTTTTCTTTATTTTTACTATTTTCCACATTGTAGAATTATAGTGAAGACATCAAAACTATGAAATAACACATATGGAATCATGTAGTAACCAAAAAAGTGTTAAACAAATAAAAATATATTTTAGATTCTTCAAAGTAGGGACCCTTTGCCTTGATGACCGCTTTGCACACTCTTGGCATTCTCTCAACCAGCTTCATGAGGATTGCTTTCCAACAGTCTTGAAGGAGTTCTCACATACAGTGGAGAAAAAGTATTTAGTCAGCCACCAATTGTGCAAGTTCTCCCACTTAAAAAGATGAGAGAGGCCTGTAATTTTCATCATAGGTACATGTCAACTATGACAGACAAATTGAGACATTTTTTTCTCCAGAAAATCACATTGTAGGATTTTTAATGAATTTATTTGCAAATTATGGTGGAAAATAAGAATTTGGTCACCTACAAACAAGCACGATTTCTGGCTCTCACAGACCTGTAACTTCTTCTTCAAGAGGCTCCTCTGTCCTCCACTCGTTACCTGTATTAATGGCACCTGTTTGAACTTGTTATCAGTATAAAAGACACCTGTCCACAACCTCAAACAGTCACACTCCAAACTCCACTATGGCCAAAACCAAAGAGCTGTCAAAGGACACCAGAAACACAATTGTAGACCTGCACCAGGCTGGGAAGACTGAATCTGCAATAGGTAAGCAGCTTGGTTTGAAGAAATCAACTGTGGGAGCAATTATTAGGAAATGGAAGACATACAAGACCACTGATAATCTCCCTCGATCTGGGGCTCCACGCAAGATCTCACCCCGTGGGGTCAAAATGATCACAAGAACGGTGAGCAAAAATCCCAGAACCACACGGGGGGACCTAGTGAATGACCTGCAGAGAGCTGGGACCAAAGTAACAAAGCCTACCATCAGTAACACACTACGCCGCCAGGGACTCAAATCCTGCAGTGCCAGACGTGTCCCCCTGCTTAAGCCAGTACATGTCCAGGCCCGTCTGAAGTTTGCTAGAGTGCATTTGGATGATCCAGAAGAGAATTGGGAGAATGTCATATGGTCAGATGAAACCAAAATATAACTTTTTGGTATAAACTGAACTCGTCGTGTTTGGAGGACAAAGAATGCTGAGTTGCATCCAAAGAACACCATACCTACTGTGAAGCATGGGGGTGGAAACATCATGCTTTGGAGCTGTTTTTCTGCAAAGGGACCAGGATGACTGATCCGTGTAAAGGAAAGAATGAATGGGGCCATGTATCGTGAGATTTTGAGTGAAAACCTCCTTCCATCAGCAAGGGCATTGAAGATGAAATGTGGCTGGGTCTTTCAGCATGACAATGATCCCAAACACACCGCCTGGGCAACGAAGGAGTGGCTTCGTAAGAAGCATTTCAAGGTCCTGGAGTGGCCTAGCCAGTCTCCAGATCTCAACCCCATAGAAAATCTTTGGAGGGAGTTGAAAGTCCGTGTTGCCCAGCGACAGCCCCAAAACATCACTGCTCTAGAGGAGATCTGTATGGAGGAATGGGCCAAAATACCAGCAACAGTGTGTGAAAACCTTGTGAAGACTTACAGAAAACGTTTGACCTGTGTCATTGCCAACAAAGGGTATATAACAAAGTATTGAGAAACTTTTGTTATTGACCAAATACTTATTTTCCACCATAATTTGCAAATAAATTCATTAAAAATCCTACAATGTGATTTTCTGGATTTTTTTTCTCATTTTGTCTGTCATAGTTGACGTGTACCTATGATGAAAATTACAGGCCTCTCTCATCTTTTTAAGTGGGAGAACTTGCACAATTGGTGGCTGACTAAACTTTTTTTCCCCACTGTATGCTGAGCACTTTTCCTTCACTCTGCGGTCCAACTCATCCCAAACCATCTCAATTGGGTTGAGGTTGGGTGATTGTGGAGGCCAGGTCATCTGATGCAGCACTCCATCACTCTCCTTGGTTAAATAGCCCTTACAAAGCCTGGAGGTGTGTTTTGGGTCATTGTCCTGTTGAAAAACAAATGATAGTCCCACTAAGCGCAAACCAAATGGGGTGGCGTATTGCTGCAGAATGCTGTTGTAGCCATGCTGGTTAAGTGTACCTTCAATTCTAAATAAATCACTGACAGTGTCACCAGCAAAGCACCATCACACCACCTCCTCCATGCTTCACAGTGGGAACCACACATGCGGAGATCATCCGTTCACCTGCTCTGCGTCTCACAGACACAGCAGTTGGAACCAAAAATCTCAAATTTGGACTTATCAGACCAAAGGACTTATTTCCACCGGTCTAATGTCCATTGCTCGTGTTTTTTGGCCCAAGCAAGTCTCTTCTTATTGGTGTCCTTTAGTAGTGGTTTCTTTGCAGCAATTTGACCAAGAAGGCCTGATTCACACAGTATCCTCTGAACAATTGATGTTGAGATGTGTCTGTTACTTGAACTCTGTGAATCATTTATTTGGGTTGCAATTTCTGAGGGTGGTAACTCTAATGAACTTATCCTCTGCAGCAGAGGAAACTCTGGGTCTTCCTTTCCTGTGGCAGTCCTCATGAGAGCCAGTTTCATCATAGTGCTTGCTGGTTTTTGCTACTGCACTTGAAGAAACTTAGAAAGTTCTTGACATTTTCCAGATTGACTGACCTTCAAGTCTTAAAGTAACTATTGTTTCTATTTGCTTATTTGAGCTGTTCTTGCCATAATGTGGACTTGGTATTTTACCAAATAGGGCTATCTTCTGTATACCACCCCTACCTTGTCACAACACAACTGATTGGCTCAAATGCAGTAAGAAGGAAATAAATTCCACAAATTAACTTTTAACAAGGCACACCTGTTTTGAAATGCATTACAGGTGACTACCTCATGAAGCTGGTTGAGAGAATGCCAAGAGTGTGCAAAGCTGTCATCAAAGCAAAGGGTGGCTACTTTGAAGAATCTCAAATATAAAATATATTTTGATTTAACACTTTTTTGGTTACTACAAGATTCCATATGTGTTATTTCATAGTTTTGATGTCTTCACTATTATTCTACACTGTAGAAAATAGTAAAAATAAAGAAAAACCCTTGAATGAGTAGGTGTGTCCAAACTGGACTGGTACTCTACATTCCTTATACATGGAAAGCAATTAATGTGTTCATGTATGGTAACATGAATGAGTACATGTCAAACTAGAGTCTAACAATGTTAATGCGTTTGTCTTTCACAGAGCTGATGAAGACGGACACAAAGACTTCAGAGAGCGAGACGTAGAAAGAAACAGGGACCGTGAACGAGACCGGGAACGGCGGCAGAAAGAGAAGGAGCGCATCAGACGACAGGACGAGGATCGACGAAGGAGAAGGGAACGGCATGACGGAGAGAACTCGTACAGAAAGCCAGATGAGGAAGGGAAAAGGGAGAAAGGAGATCGTGTCTGGGAAAGGAGAAAGGGCGAGAATGCAGGGGACTCTGTAAGCCATACCGATAAGCCTAAAAAGTCTGAAGAAACCCTGAGGGATGAGAAAGCTAAAAGAGATCGTTTACGAAACAAGGTAGTAACTTCAGTCTTTCTTGGTATGTAGTTAAATATTCATTTTTCCGGATCAATCAATCATTTCTGTCCTGATGTTCTGACTTGGGGTAATTGGGATACTCTTTATTATATTTGTACTATTTTCTCCTGATTACCTACAGTTGAAGTCAGAAGTTTACATACACCTTAGCCAAATACATTTCAACTCAGTTTTTCACAATTCCTGACATTTAATCCTAGTAAAAATGTCCTGTTTTAGGTCAGTTATTTTAAGAATGTGAAGTGTCAGAATAATAGTAGAGTGATTTATTTCAGCTTTTATTTCTTTCATCACATTCCCAGTGGGTCAGAGGTTTACATACACTCAATTAGTATTTGGTAGCATTGCCTTTAAATTGTTTAACTTGGGTCAAACGTTTCGGGTAGCCTTCCACAAGCTCCCCACAATAAGTTGGGTGAATTTTGGCCCATTCCTCCTGACAGAGCTAGTGTAACTGAGTCAGGTTTGTAGGCCTCCTTGCTCGCACATGCTTTTTCAGTTCTGCCCACACATTTTCTATAGGATTGAGGTCAGGGCTTTGTGATGGCCACTCCAATACCTTGAATTTGTTGTCCTTAAGCCATTTTGCCACAACTTTGGAAGTATGCTTGGGGTCATTGTCCATTTGGAAGACCCATTTGCAACCAAGCTTTAACTTCCTGACTGATGTCTTGAGATGTTGCTTCAATATATCCACATAATTTTCCTTCCTCATGATGCCATCTATTTTGTGAAGTGCACCAGTCCCTCCTGCAGCAAAGCACCCCCACAGCATGATGCTGCCACCCCTGTGCTTCACGGTTGGGATGGTGTTCTTCGGCTTGCAAGCCTACCCCTTTTTTCTTCAAACATAACGATTTCTCCAAAAAGTACTATCTTTGACCCCATGTGCAGTTGCAAACCGTAGTCTGGCTTTTTTATGGCGGTTTTGGAGCAATGGCTTCTTCCTTGCTGAGCGGCCTTTCAGGTTATGTCGATATAGGACTTGTTTTACTGTGGATATAGATACTTTTGTACCTGTTTCCTCCAGCATCTTCACAAGGTCCTTTTGTTGTTCTGGGATTGATTTGCACTTTTCGCACCAAGGTACGTTCATCTCTAGGAGACAGAACGCGTCTCCTTCCTGAGTGGTATGACGGCTGCGTGGTCCCATGGTGTTTATACTTGCGTACTATTGTTTGTACAGATTAATGTGGTACCTTCAGGCGTTTGGAAATTGCTCCCAATGATGAACCAGACTTGTGGAGGTCTACCATTTTTTTTCTGAGGTCTTGGCTGATTTCTTTTGATATGGCCCATGCAAAGAGGCACTGAGTTTGAAGGTAGGCCTTGAAATACATCCACAGGTACACCACCAATTGATTCAAATGATGTCAATTAGCCTATCAGAAGCTTCTAAAGCCATAACATCATTTTCTGGAATTTTCCAAGCTGTTTAAAGGCACAGTCAACTTAGTGTATGTAAACTTCTGACCCACTGGAATTTTGATACAGTGAAATAATCTGTCTGTGAACAATTGTTGGAAAAGTTACTTGTGTCATGCACAAAGTATATGTCCTAACCGACTTGCCAAATCTATAGTTTGTTAACAAGAAATTTGTGGGTGGTTGAAAAACGAGTTTTAATGACTCCAACCTAAGTGTATGTAAACTTCCGGCTTCAACTGTATGTTGATCTGATCACATTCCTGAATACTTTTGTAAAATTTGTTTGCCTCTTAACCAGTCATTTTGTTCCCTTGTGCATCAGGATCGGCCTGCCATTCAGCTTTACCAGCCAGGTGCCAGGAACCGAGGAGCTCGAGGAGGTGGTGGAGGAGAATCTCATGCTGGAGAGAGAAAGTCAGAGGGCGAGACCAAGAGATCCCAAGAGAAGGGAGATGAATGATAAAAAATGACCACAAATAAAGAATGATAAAACAAGTGAGGAGAGGGAGAGAGATTTGCTCTGAGCAAAACAAACTGGTGCCAGAGAGGTGCCTGTAGTGATAATGCTGCAGAGCCACATCCTGTCCTCCCACTCCCAACCAGAGGCAGGGATGTGACCATGGTGCCCCCCTCAGTGCCTGAATGTGCCCGTCTTTTAGTTTTGTTTCTGAAGAAAATCAAGGGAAAGTTAGCACTTTCTTTTAATGTTTGCGAGAGTTCGGCTATAGGGCACAACGAGACAAAGCCAAAGCTTTCTAGGACCACGTGAATTTTAAGTGACCTTACTACTTTATTGGTACACAATCTGTGCTACACAGTTGCAAAGCATGGTTCATATATTGAATAGGCTTTCACTCTCATTGGTTGTGTATTCTCTTTTTATCACATATAATACAACATTCTCTACTTTTGGAACAGTGTAGGAGTCTACTGATTTAAAGATATCCTGTTGCATCTATAAAAATCTATTTTGTTAACTTTTAGGCATATTTTAGGTTTATACTCTGTACATTTAAAGAGCGACTGCCTTTAAAAAGTAACGAATCCCTTTGAAAATGGCCTATGTGGCATCGATATGAGTCAATAACAGTTATTCTAGTGTCAAACTGGACAAAGTGTAAATAGGATACATTTGGTCATAAAGTCAACCTCGTCTATAACGGAGTTTGGAACATCCGTGCTAAATGAAGGTTGGGTTTTGATTTGAGGAAGACAATTTGCCCAATGACATGGGGTGAACAGCTGCAGTGATTGCGCTCTATCCAATAGCATAGACAGTGCGACAGACCTGGCCAAACACCTTAGATGTAAAATCGCTCAACTAAAACGTCCACGGCAAAAACGTCCAAAAAAATAATTACAGATTTCAAGAGTTCTCTAAGATTCATTCTGGGGATTTTGAGGAAGTGAAATAGGCATCCGCGTCTACGGTGTCATGGGGGACAAACAACCAAACACGTATACAAGACTGAACTCTAGTTGTTCAAATGCGCAACAGAAATACTCTGTACAGGTAAACAAATAAAAATAATACAATATTAAGTTATGTTATTTCACCGATTCGGGAGAATGAAATAGCCATTTCATTGTACATATTAAACTGTGAGCTATGCCTTGATTTGAGACTACATGGAACCCCCAGCGGGTAACTATTAACCTGTGGCCTTCCCCGTCATACATATATACATCTTCATACATGAACAATGCTACTGTATGGTACAATTTTAATTGGAATAAACATACTTTTCTTTTCTGTTTCTTTCATAATTGATGTAGCCTTGCTAAACACTGAGGAGTTACAAATGACCGCAATAAATAATGTTTTGTTCTAAATTGTGTATGGGATTTATTCATTATTCCAGATTGGTCTGTACTGTAAATAGTTTCAAGAGAGATAAACCATAACTCGTACTTTTTACAAGTGGTACACAAACATGTTGATGCAATGCGGAAGGGATCCACTTGATGGCGCTGTGGGCGCGTAGCGCAAGAATTTGCTCCCCTGATTGGTTCGGATTGCATACATCACCACCGCTTCCCCTCCTTCTTTCTCTTCGGCCTCCGCCATTGTGGTGTAAGGACTGTGAACGAAATGGTAAGTTGAAATCTTATAACATCCTTGTCAAATTAAGTGAAATTCATACTTGTTCATGTCATTCGCATAGTGTTTTTCACGGCCACACCGAAAGCCTTTATATTGTCTCCGATAGCAGTATTCAGTCCTTAAAAAAGTACTTTTTAGGATCGTGTGAACCAAGCCGGTTTCTACTGAAGAATTTACTTAAGTTATGTAAGCAGACCTGCCAGTTAAGTAACACTAACTTCTTCATAAATGTAATGTAAAATTGTCTGACTTTTCTGCTTACAATCATCTACAGTTAACAGACGAGCAAAGCGCTAGTTAGCAGGCTTAACTAGCTAGCGAAAACACGTCAGTGACGCATTGCACTTGATGAAATAAATGCATGTTTAGCTAGTTAAAATGGGCCCCATCTCTTTATTTCAGTCGTCCCACAAGACTTTCAGGATCAAACGCTTTCTCGCCAAGAAGCAGAAACAGAACAGGCCCATCCCACAGTGGATCAGAATGAAGACAGGCAACAAGATCAGGTATGCGTGTATCTGCCTAGCCTCCCCCTGTACAGTGCATAATGGTGAAACTGGTGCTGAATGCATACTATGACAATTTTAAAGCAGGTCTGCAATTACAGTGCTTCCATTCAGTGGGAGTGGTGTCATTAATCCTGCTGAGAGTAACCACCTGCTTTGGAGTTTACACCTGGTCACATCACCTGTGACAGGGAATTTCTTTAGTAGTGACAGTGCAATGGAGACCACAGTATCATAGCTGTCTACTGAAGTAATGTGGTTCTTGTTTATCCGTTAGTAAGTTTGAATGTCTTTCAACCATATTGGAGCTGACATCCCCATTTGTGGCTGTAATCTATTGGCTGTACCTCTACCACATTTCCTTGCTTTTGAGCATATGGAATAAAGTCCATGGCATTGGGATATACTTATGCTGCACCTTCAGAAACTACAGATTTCCAGTAAAATACAGTTTAAGTATTTTCCAGTCTTGTGAAATGACTCCTTGGATGTCTGCTAAATTATTGTATAGATACAAGTTGGTGTTAACAGCTAGACAAGCCTAAGTACAGACTTTCTTAATACTAAGGCCCTTGAACTAATGCCACCATGGAGACTGATTGTGGTAGTTCCATTATCAGTACAAGTCATTCCTGGTTTCACTGTTCCAGGTACAATTCCAAGAGGAGACACTGGAGGAGGACAAAGCTGGGCTTGTAAATGCACAGGTCTTCAGATCTCCAGCGTCCACAGCATCTTCCACCTGCCAAGAGCACCACCTGCTGGGCCCTGATCTGGAGAGGAAGCCATACTATCTGGAACAGCAGTCTTTTTGTACAGATGCTCGTGTTTGACAATAAAAGATTTGTGATAAATGAGGTTTGGTTGTGCCATGTGTATTTTCTAAACTCAATAAATCAGTGTTTCCCAAACTCTGTCATACAGACTCCAAGGGGTGCACATTTTGGTTTTTGCCCTAGCACTACAACGCTGATTCAAAGCTTCATGATTAGTTGTCTACCTGAATCGGCTGTGTAGTGTTCGGGCAAAAACCAAAATGTGCACCACTTGAGGTCCCCAGGACCGAGTTTGGGGGAAACCCTGCAATCCTTTACTCTGGAACTGTAGAAAGCTTCTTGTGCAAGTGTCGCTTACACAATATTTGCCTGCGACACATCATTGGTGTTTCCTACTTTTCCAGGGTGGACAATGGTGCAAAGCTCTACATTTGATAACTGAAAGGCATCGCACTCTAGGGTCACAGGGCATATGACAAGTTTACTAAATTACTAGCTAGTGACCCTATCAGTGAGGACTCACTTCAGAATTGTTTCCCTTGCTTAAACAAATTAAGCTTGAAAAATATGGAATGGTCAGATTATTCTACTCTTAACCACCAGAGGGAGCATCGTGCCCTTTCTGCTGGCGCAATGCTTTTTGTCCACTACAAATGCATTACACTTAAGTGAGGCTAATGCATTGATCAGTGACTCAGACTTCCCAGAAACATTTGGAAGTCCAATCTAGTTTAATGCGGAATGGGTTTACAAGGGTGCAAGTCAAAACGTTATTAGGAAGTTCAATCCAAAGGAACCAAAGTGTGTAATTGAGTAGTGTTCGGCTTTATATAATCCTGCCACGACCATAACATATTTACATTTTTAGTAATTTAGCAGACGCTCTTATCCAGAGCGACTTAGTGAGTGCAGACATTTTCATACTGAAAATAACACCCTAAGCACAATTGTTACTTTACAAGTTCACTTTTAGAATGATTATTCTCAAATATAGCCTAACATGTCTCTAGTTCTATAGCACTTGCTATATCTATTCTTACACAACCTGCAGGAAGTGTCAAAATTAGTGTTGATCAGCATAACTCTTTTTTGTGTAAAAACCAAGAGCACACGCGTGCATGCCTTCAACTAGAACAGTGTATTTATTTAATGAGAATTTAATACAGTAAATTCTGAAGATTAAAGTAAAACAGGACTTGATTGTTTTGTGCAGAAAACTGTTCCACCACAGCCAATAATCAGTTTTTTCGCCAAGCCTAGGCCTACTGTGCGTAAAAGTCTTTACAAACGATGCTCAATGAGTCGATAATGCTTGATTTCGCGTGAAAAAATGTGTGGCTGTCTGACCTTTAACTTTTGTTCACAAAAGACACGAATGGAGCCAAAAACTTTTTGAATGACCCGCGCCAGCTGCAATTCCTTCGAGTCCGATCAAAGTAGACTGGATCGTCTCTCTCCTCATCACTTAATTCTGACTTGGGCACTAGTGTGGCACTGTTGTTAGTGTTCTGCTGACCCACACTACGGTGCTCATCATCCCAAGTGCCAAGAAGCTCCTTCATCTCATCAGGGGCGTTGCCCTTCAGATAATGCCACGGTTTCCTTCCATTGTAATCCATGGCATCGATATTGGCACTGAACGCACCGATTAGAATTTTTATTACCATGTATCGACTGTGCATAGCTGCTACGTGGAGTGGGGTGAGCCCCCCACTGCCCTTCAAATTCACGTTGACTGGAATCCCCTCCTTTTCAGCGTGCCTTAACAATTGTATTAGTGTCTCACCCTGGCCACTTTTGGCTAACCAGTGTAGCACTGTAAACCCACTGACAAAATCTTTCCTGGTTAGTAGACTAGAATCTTCAGAAAGAAAGTCCATGATGGTTTCATAGTTTCCATCTACAACAGACAACATCCATGCGTGTTCCATGGGGCACAGAGCCCAACCTCCCCCCCCCTCCTCCTCCTCCTCACCAACCTCCCTTGAAGACGCACCGGAACCTTTTGAAGACAGAACACTAGCAAATCCACCTGACGAGTTGTTCAATAATAAGTCCTTCAGGTATCTTTTACGCATGGCGGGTGTGAGCGAGCCTCTCTCGGGTGAGCTACTGCTGGTCTCCCACACCTCTGGCTGTCTCTGCAGCCTTGATCTGCGTGCCGAAGCATAAGTAGTGGCACTGGCAGGGAATGCCCGAACACCAGCTCTAGACAAGCGGTCCAAGACGTTAGCCTGTCCAGATTGCTTGATATGGGAGTCTTGTCCATTATTAGTTGGTTCAAATCCAGACTCCAATGCGCCTCCGTCTTGCAGTGGTTGGAAATGTGTCACAGAGTTATCTGTCGGCTCTCTAATGCTGGTGCGGTTATACATGTTGCCGGACTTTCTCGTTTTTCTCGTTTCCTCAATTTAGATAAGTATTTTGGATAGCATTACAAACAAGGAAATGCTTGTCTCCATTGCGCATTGGTCCTTCAATACTTGAGTCTCTGAAAAAACACAAATCGTTTTATTAGCCTATAGGCCACACATTTTGTAGCACAGGCTCGTCATATACATTTTGTAAAATACATGTTATAGGCTAAAACGTTTAATTCTATTCGGTTTTTGGAAAGAAAAAAAAGGAAGTGTAGACGAACTTCTCCCCAATAAAGTTATAGCCTATAGGTCTACATTTTTGTGCAACTTAAACATTTATTAAAAGAACCCTTCATCCCCCGAATATTGCTCGTTTGAAAACCAAATAAGATCACTCTCCTTTACTGTTTTCAGTAGCCCAATTACACAGGCTTGTAGACATTGGCTACATCGCTATAAGCACAGACAGTTTAGTGACATCTCTTGTAGACACACAAGTAAACAATGTGAACAATTATTTTTAAAAGGCTGCTTTTTTATATTGGATAGGTCATAACAGTTCCGCTCACCTGTAGTCAGTCTACCTGGTGTGCCAAGAGGCGCTTACCTATATCCTCGTAGCGCGCGTCATTTTAACTTTCTCTTTAACCAAAGTTATACAAGCTTAAACCTATTTTGTCAACAGCAACCACCCATCTACATTGATAGGCTCTCTGTAACTAACTATCTTGAAGTTGAAGTTCACCCTCCCACTTCCTATTCCCTCCTGTGCTCTCTCCCCCTAGCTCCAACACTGACACAAAGTTCAATTCTAATTCCTATGACTAAACCAACAGCGCTACAACCTCAAGCACACGTGACCACTAGTGGACTTCTCAAAGGGAGGGAAGTAAAACTTAGAAAAAAATCATTTTACAGCCAGTCACCATGCTGACTCACTCCCAATTCATCACTTATTAATACACAGAGATAAGGAGTTACCATTAGGTGTGGACTATACCACGTGGCCTACATGCAAGTAGAGAGTACATGCAATTACATCTAGCTTGTATTTTCATGCTCAATCTCTGGAATCAAGTCACCTGGCCCCAGATCTGTTTCTGCAGTCATGCCAACTCCCATGGCCATTGGGGCATCACAATTACCATAGGAGTTGACAAAACAGCAGCACAGACAGGTCTTGGACCAGGCAAGGAATCACTGACAGCACTGCTCACATATCCTAAAGGATTAGCCTTGAATAGGAATACACAATACTGACTTGAGACTACCAAGGGATCATTTCAGCATGATCATACTGCAAGTGTCCTAGATTTCTGATGGCCAACGTGACAAAAATAAAATTAAACTCAAACTATTCAGGCTTAAACTTTATTTATAAAAACAAAACAATTATACAGATTAAGTGTAAAACTGTACAAAGCTATAGACTCATTATTCATTCATCTCTAGGGGCAGGTCGATGGTCAGCTCGTTGATAGTTTGAAGGAAGGCATCCAATTCCGTAGCGCAATTGTCTGAGTAAAACAAAAGGAAAGAAACAGAAATATGACAAACTGACAATCCCAAAATGGAATTTAACCCCAAATCCTGAAGCGAACCTGCGCGTCGCAGGTCCTTCAATGGAGACAAACGTGTGTATGTCTCGAGCACTTCAAAGTCCTCTTCAGGCAGATATGGCATTTGTGGAAGACATCCCAGTCCTGGCAGAGCAAGCTGACTCAGGCAAACCACATCCTCTGGGATGACATATTTTTCAAACTCTAGAACCACATTGAAAAAAATACAAAATACATTAGTGGGAGTTATCAGAGAGGTGGAGGAATATCAAAAGGTAAAATACCAGAGTTGACTTACCAAGTGGGTCATACGGGATAAACCTCTCAATATCCGGGTATTCTTTTACTTTGGTCTGAGGGAGGGTTTTAACTTTGGTTTCCTAAAGAAGTGATAAAATGATGATTACTACACCGATATAGGCACATCACCTGGCTAACATTATTTGTGAAATTGTGAGTTTCTGACCTGTGTCTCAAGGAGTTTGTTCTTCTCTTGTCCATTTACAGTTGGAGTTGAGGTGATCTTGTTCACTACCCCCAAAGCCTTGCGACCAGACTGTAAAGGAACATGCAACTTTTTTCCTGTCAGAGGAGTCTTCAAGAGGTTTTCTGCAACCATACATTTTAAGTGGTAAATATGCTGAGTAAAGCATTAGGGCCATTGTTTTAATTGTTTACTGTCTCGGATGGTAGTGTATGCGAGTTCTCATGGGAATGAACTCAACCAATGTAGATTATGAAGCGTCACATACAGTTCTAGTAAGGTAGACAAACATAGGTCGGTAATTGACAATTGTGTGTAGGTAGGGCAGACTACCTGGAGCAGATATCAACCGCTGGCGCATCTTTAGCGCAGGTGTATGGAGGCTGGCATTTTCTCTCTCTGCGAAGATTATTGAAGCCATTTCCTGTTTGGGAAAAGTGGTAGCTAATTAGTAAAATATTGTTACCTAACTATTTCAGACAATTACCTAGGCTATTTATTATCAACTATCAGGGTATCAAAATACGCTTGAGGATTGTGACAACCCATAGAACAAACCCCGAGAGTAACATTAGTGAGGACAGCGTCCAAGTTTGTTCAGAAAACATTTGGGTTGGTTGGTGGCTAGCAGTTTCTCAACTCCACGATGTAGCTAACGTTACGTTACATCGTGAGAAACTATGCTAGTTAGTTAGCTGCAGGCATGTATACTTTTGTCATGCAAAAGCGCTAGCAAGCCAGTTACCTTGCTAATAATGTGCTAAATTCTACCGTGTCAAAGACTTGCCGTTTGGTGGCTAGTGGTCATATGAGTCCATCTTACCGTATTGTTGTCCGGTATCTTGGGCTTGTCCGTTTTGTTTTGATTTGGATAAGCGAGTCTTCGCGGCTTCCTTTTTAAACTGCGCCTCTACGTCATCCCATTGCGATGGTTTACGTGCGCACTGGGGAGCCAGTCACACCTTAGTGCTGTACGGGACCGTTGGCAAGTCCATACCCTAAACCCCAATGACCCTAACCTTAACCCGTACCTTAACCACCACGTCAACCGGGTAACGTCAGAGTTGGGACGTCCCAAGGAATCGAATAGCAAGGATAACAGTTAACTACCCCCCTGATCTGAAGAAACTATATTCTAGTAAACGCCTATGATCATAACGCTTTAAACTCAATCAAACCAGGCGCAGGCTATATATAGTAGTATAATATCGGCTACAGTCAGATTTTTGTAAATATCTTTTTATTTCACAACTTTTCAACAAAACTTGCAAGGTAACAATTTCCACGAAACTAGTGAATTGTCATTCACCTCTACTACAAACAGTGTGTTAAATGTGTTTTTTAGTGCCGATAATAAACTAGCTCTGTAATATCATAAATCAGTTGTTCACTTTATAAAACAGCCTGATATTATCACTTATGTAAAATATTTTCACTGATATAAAATTCCCTATCTCTTTTATCTATTCACCCCTTGATAAATCGTAATCCTCCTATTATATAGCTTATCATTTGATGGAAAGGCTATTGGCATTTTAGCAAAATGATAAGCATTTAATGGCATCTTACTGGTCCAGCCGGTCCAGCCTACTCAGAAGGTTCCAATGAAAATAGGGGTATACCATATAATTAAAGTGTGTGTTATGTATGTAATTGGTTGTTTATGCAAGCGTTATATTATAAGCTTAACATAGCGTATAATGATATGCTACCACCCGTTTTCAAACGTTTATATTTTAATTAATGATCTTACCATTTTGTACAAAATATATATCTGCGGACAAGTGGTACATTCTCTCGTGTATGAAGGCAACTTGTTGTATGCAGCTTCCTGCATAGGGTCTTCATCCCAAAAAATAACCATGGCGGCCACTGAAATAGCTAGGCAAGCGGTGAGTACTATAATTAAGGATGCTTTTCTTGCTCTTTTGGCTAGGGCACCGATGTAGCTTGCTAAAATTATTACATTTGAGTATTGGGTGAATTTAATTCTAACAGCATGGATACATGTTGGTGGAAAGCCCCTCTCCCCATGGATGTTGCATCGTTTTTTATAGGGTAGCTCCATATCAAATTACCTCTTTATTACAACGTTATTATGGCATTGATACAATGTATCTAGATAAATATCGCTCATTACGAAACCGCATGATTTATCAAAATAAAAATGATCGCGAACATTCGATTGTCTGCATTTAGGCTATTGCTCGCGTGCGTTCCCTTTCTTGGTTATCGTTGCGATCCAGTATCCTCATAATTTCTCAATTTCGCAGTTAACGATCTATACATCACATTGATATGGTATTATTGATAGGACATTATTACTATGTATTTCTTTCTGGACATTTCAATTTGCACGCATATCCGCCGTTTCTCGTGAGTTCGATTATGTTAGTAGCCTATCTATCACATTGTTTCTGGTCCTGTCAGTCCCGTTACTTTGCTGGGCGTTGTCTGGTGTGCATAACTAATCATATAGGTTAACCGCGTGGGGATTATTAATATTATTGATATATAACTACAAAGTAACGAGGCTAATAATGTGGATTCAGCAAAAGTGGTTTACTTAATTTCAGAATGTGAGTCAGCTTGAAAAATCACTGGGTGAAGGATTGGTAGGCTAACCTAAATAGGCTTTCCGGTTATGTTCGCCTACATCAACGCTTTTTTGTGCAATTAATTCAACCCAAATGGCTCAATAAATGGACGTCAACAACAAGCGTTATGTAATTGTGCAAGGCAGATGTGTCTTTGACCCCAAGTAGGCCTTGGGTTTGGGAATACTGCACATGTAGGCCAGTTGAGGAGTGTGTTGAGAGTCAAGAAATACCATATGTTTAACCAATGGCCTTTTAGCAGTTTAAACACAATTCGAACTATCCAAATAATTGACAACTGTTTACCCAAGTCTGCGTAACTATTTTCAACCTCTCCCCTTTTAGCTGAGCAGATTTTGCAGTCTGCCTCAAAGCCACAATATATTTTAAAAGCACATTTTTGTTACATTTAGGCATTTTAGTGGTGGTGTTGCTGTGGTTCAGTTGATTCACTATTGAGGACACACACCTCAGTTCCATTTCATCTAAATTCCTTGTTTTCCTGCCGACATCACCACCCTGTGCAGTTCTAGAAACAGGATGTCTGATGATGCTAGCTTTCTACACACACACACACACACACACACACACACACACACACACACACACACACACACACAACACACACACACACACACACGTTTATATCCATTAGGCCCTTATGGATTTGGGGTCAGGCCTACAACATTTCCTATTGGATTCGTAGGATCCATGTCCTCCTGTATCAAGTTGGGTCATCTGTTATAATACATGTATAACATGTGGAAGTATTACTCTCACACAACAATGCCCTTGTTCTACAGTACCTCTCAAAATGTGATGTTTTACTTTCCGTATATGGACATGGTGGTTTCAACAGTAGGCATGCAAATATGTCTCCATACAGGAAACAGGAAGTGTATTACAACTAGAGCACAGAGTTTCTAAACCTGAGAATTGAGCTGACATGCGTTATCTTGCTAGAATACAATGGAATGTGTGAAACCAGAATGGCAAAAATAGCTAAATTGTACCTTAAACCATAGATTGTAGCTGTGGTTAACACTTCAACAGTTTGGGCCTTAGAATTTACACCACCAGTAGTTGTGGAAGGGAATGTTTGACATGTCATATTTCTGTGTAGTCTTGTCCTGCATGAAATGTGTAAACTGAGGTGAAATAATAATGTTATTATGATCAGCCTTATGTTTACCTAAGTTACGATAGCCTAATCCATACCACCCCAGTTTCATATGTATCTGTGATTATACCTGGTGGTTAAGGATTAATTACACATCTTTACTCAGTGTTTCTAATCTCAAAATCGTTCTCTTGTCTTTAGGGCGAAGGTGCTCGCGCCGTCCCTCTCACCGGCCATGTCGGCTTCGACAGCATGCCCGACCAACTGGTCAACAAGTCTGTCAACCACGGCTTTTGCTTCAACATCCTCTGCGTTGGTGAGTGTGTCATGCGTGAAACCTCCCTTTTTCTCCTCAAGGCAAAATGGGAGCCATTCTCCGCCGCAATGTATGTCATTCGTTTCCACTGTAGATGCAAACCCAATTCATTCTGTCTTTGACTCACTTTGGTGGTTTCTCACTGGTCAGTAGTCAGCTCTGGTTACCGTAGCTAATTCATCCTCCGTCATGTTCGAGCTATCATCTGGGACTGGGCCAGTAAAATGATTTTTCCAACATTTTTGATAAACAGGGCAAGATAGAAATTGGCCTATAACAGTTAGGATCAGCTTGATCTCCCCCTCTAAATAAAGGATGCACCATGGCTGCCTTCCAAGCACTGGGGACCTTCCCAGAGAGGAGAGACAGGTTAAAAAGGTCAGAGACAGGCTTGGCGATGATAGGGGCAGCAACCTTAAAGAAGAAAGGACCTAAACCATCTGACCCAGATGTTTTTTTAGGGTCAAGTTTATGGAGCTCCTTTAGCACCTCAGACTCAGTGACTTCCTTCAAGGAGAAACTGTGTAGCGGGGCAGGGGAAAAAGAGGGAGGAGCATCGGGGCTAGTCGCATTAGAAGGGCTGGGAGATGAGGAAGTGTTGGATGGGCAAAGAGGCGTGACAGAGTCAAATAGGAATCCTGACTTAATGAAGTGGTGATTAAAGAGCTCAGCCATTCGCTCCTTGTCAGTAACAACCACATCATCAACATTAAGGGACATGGGCAGCTGTGAGGAGGAGGGTTTATTCTCCAGGCCTTTCACCATTTCCCAGAACTTCTTGGGGTTAGACCCACAGAGAGAGAACTGCTCCTTAAAGTAACTAACTTTGGCCTTCCGGATAGCCTGAGTGCACTTATTTCTCATTTGCCTGAACGACAGTCAGTCAGCCTGAGTATTTGTGTGCCAAGCCTTTCGCCAAATGGTGTTCTTGAGGTGGACTAACTCTGCTAGATCACGTTCAAACCTGTTTTTAATTCTCATGTTCTTTATGGGGGCGTGCTTGTTAACAATACCACTGAAAATATTTAAAAAAAGAAGGTCCAAGCATCTTCAACAGAGGGGATCAAGCTGATTCTATACCAATTCAGGCCAGGCCATGAAGGAAGGTGGTTTAAGCATGTCCCAGTTTTGGTCACCTAGCAGGACAAATTCAGACTTAGTGGGCCAGGAGAGAGCTTAGGGCAGGTAGGGTACAGGCCGGTGCTGATGGTGGATGATAACACCCAGCAACAGTCAACAAAGAGCTATTTGTTTAATGCTTAAAACCAGCAAATCAAATTGTGGAGACAACCTAGCACTGAAGGTGTTCCTTGGTAAAGATTGCCACTCCACCACCTTTGGAAGATCTGTATTGCCGAAACAGGTTATAACCAGAAAGGTTAACATCAGTGTTTAGAACACTCTTTCTTAACCATGTCTCAGTAAGGACCAACACATCTGGCTGGATAAGAGCTGTGAACCCACACTTTCAATTGATACATTTTAGGTAATAAGCTTCTAGTGTTAACGTGCAGAAAACCCAGGCTTTTACGAGAGAAGAAATCAGTGAAGCAGAACTCATCAGAGCACAAGTCAGAATTGGAGCAGATAAAACATCTGAAGCAAATTAAGTGTTTCCATTGCCCATTTAGGCAAATTGCGCATTGATAAATTGGCAACAGCCTATATGCCCTCCCACCTATCTGTTTAAAATCTCAGGTAGCCCGCGAAAGCCAGCATGGATAGAATGCAAGAATTGACTAATATTATTTGCCATATTCAAATAATCCCCCCCCCAACTCCATATACAAACTTATACATACGAACAACAATTTACAGACGCACAGATGCACACAAACAATGACTACATCTAATCTGCCCAGATCCGCATGCTCACACTCCCATCCCTAGTACCTGCATTATTGTTTGCCACTCGGCCTTAAATTGTATCAGTTTGTTTTTCCTCTGTCGCCCATACCATTTCAATATTTCAATAATAAATCATTCAATTTTTTCATTGTGTTAACGATGGCGGATTAATTTCCAAGTTTTTAGTATACGTTTTTTCAAGATGAGTGATGAGAAGAGAATTGTCCAGCACATTGGGTATCTCACTACACCCCCGTATGCCATGTCTTGAAATATGTAGACAGACTTATTAAAATAACATTTACATATTTAAATCATTCTCATGTGCCAACCTTTCGCCACTGTCTGTGCCATGTTGAAACGTGCATTCCTGTAGATCTGAAATAATTGGATGCATCCAGCCAACCAGAAAAGGAAGTCGAAGCAATTCATCCATTCTTGAAAGTCAGGACAAGGATCCTGCAAAGAAACATTAGTTATACTGTATAGTTAAAAAATAGATTTAGCAAGCAGTAGGCATTTAGAATTAAAATGTGGAGTGGAGCTTCATAGTTACGTGTTGACATCATTTTGACACCTTCAAAATTATTCGGCAATCATCATTGGAAAATCACTGTTTCCATCATAATTTGTCGCAATAAACAAAGTTTGACAAAAGACAAATCAACCCCTGTCGATTGGATAAAAATGTTGTCAATCTTTAGAAAATCAAAATGATCATGACACGAGCTGAATTAAATGTAAAAGGCTTTGAAAATAAAATGTTGCGGTACGCTCAGTGCTCCATTGACATTTCACAGAGATACGCTTGTTTTTGTGAGAAGTCTTAGAAAAAGAACAGGAACTTCGCATTAATATGAACAGTGTATACTAAACTATGATAATGTCTATGTCTCAAAATCGATATCTATCTTACCTCTATATTGTTTTATGTCCTCCGGATGGGTGAAGAAAGATGAGTTCCACAGTAAGCCTGTTAGTTAGCCTCGATCCTTCCACAGCATCCAGCCCAGTTGACGCAATGTTGTTTTCCTGATTTTTGACCACTTTATTTTCTCTGGCCTCCATTTGATTTATTTGCCCTAATTTTGGCCATCCTACAAGGGTAAAAACGCAAATTAGTTTTGAACGGATTTTGATAGAGACATGAGGTTTAGACCATTGGTTTTATTAGAGGATTATCTACACAATGAACATATTATTTTACTCATTGGTCAAAATATGTGTTTTTGATTGGACACTACTATGTCAGCCGTTTCCATTACACGTGTCGCAAATTTTTTTTTGCGACATTGCTTTTGTCGTTTAAACTTGGGTGAATGGAAACCTGCCTATTGACCTGCTATAGAGTTTTCATATATTAGCCTTATTTTAAAGCAAAATGTAAAGCATTTTGTCCATTTTGTTGAAAGTAGGAAACAGAGAATATAATCCCCTCTCCATTTTCAACACTTTAAATTACTTGAAAGTTATCAGTGGCACTCAAAACGTTCTAAAGCAATGGCAGAAGCCGAAGAACCTGTATTATTACAGTCTACTCTATAAATTCTGGTGTGTGTGGATCCCAGAAAGCAAAACAAGAACTGAATCGAGAGCAAAACATTTTTAAAGCTTTAATACAGCTCCATTACAACTATACTTTTTGCTGGTACATTCAAACGTAAACCTTTGGATGTCAGGGCCCAATCTTTAGCATGGGGTTCAGTTTGAGTCACTGCCAGGCGAGATGCTCATTGCTTAGTCCAGCCCTGCCAAGTTATTATGAGGATGATGAGAGACCACGGAAACATCTTGACAATGACCTTAGGTGGAGTTTCTCTCAGACGCAGGAAATGGGAGGGGAGAATCTGGCATTGTGCTGTTCCATTCTAACCCCCCTCCCCCTTAAACTATATATTGTGCACTCAGAGTGAAAGCCTGATGCCTTGTGAATAGTAGTCTACTATACCGTTGGCAGTGTAGCGCTCTGCGTGCTCTGTGTGTAGATGTGGTGTCTGATGAACAGAAGAAAGCCTAGTGCTGCATCCCAAATGGCACCTTATTCCCTACGTAGTGCACTACTTTTGACCCAAAAGTACGTAGGGAATAAGGTGCCATTTGGGACGTACCACTAGATTTTCTCACAAGGCGTCTTACTCACTCGACTGACAGCTTTGAACAGTGTGAGTTTGTCAGAATGCATCAGGACATCTGTGACTCAGACCCATGCTGCCATTTTTACGATGGTCTGCTCCAGATATCAACTGTGGTGGACATAGGATTAGCTTGCTGTTGTGCTGCACCGCTGCAAGATGTCACATTCAATGTAGTCCCTCTTAAAGGCACCCAAGTTATCAGACATTTCTGCTGCGCATCTTTTTTTATTCCATTAAAAAGCGCCTCTCCTGCCAAAAGCAGCAGAGGAGCCAGAGGGAGGGGCTCACACGGCTAAATGTATAGGGAAGTGACAAATGGGAAGAGTCCATATAATTAACATTCTGGTGGCATTAGAGAGATCTGCTCTGCAGCCCGAGTCCAAATTGTAAAACTGCAGTCTTTTCAACAGGATGTACGAAATCCTGTAATGTACAGTATGGGAGAATCTTTTAAACTTTTATTCTGACAATGGCCCAATCTGGAATATTCCTTGCTGTTCAATGCTAATTTCCATTAATGATATACTGTAGCCTATACCCATTGACTCTTGAAGAATATAGCTTATAAATGCCTAATGAGCTTAGTACAACTATCTCACACAAACTCAATCTCCAGATAGTATAGAGAGTCCACAAAAAAAGGACACAATGGAGAATTAACTGAAAGGTGTGTGTGTGATTTAGGTGAGACGGGCCTCGGCAAGTCCACTCTCATGGACACCCTGTTCAACACCAAGTTCGAGGGTGAGCCCACCCAGCACAACCAGCCGGGCGTGCAGCTCAAGTCCAACACCTACGAGCTCCAGGAGAGCAACGTGCGCCTCAAGCTGACCGTGGTCAACACTGTGGGCTTCGGAGACCAGATCAACAAAGAGAACAGGTGAGAGACAATGATGTAGATAAACAAGATGAATATAATGTATGTCTGTCTGTCTATCTTTGGGAAGAGAGCCCCAGGTTCCGCTTCATGTGTCTAAGAGATGTATAGATTGTACAATAACTTATGGGTCGCGTTCATTAGAAACAGAAGAAAACTCTCTGAAATGGGTAGGCACTATGATAACTTACGCAACCTCCTTATGAATACAGGCCTGGAGTTTCTACAGTATACCACTACCAAGAATATAATATCTTTCACAGGAGTGATAGTTTGTGAATGTCACTATTTAATTGTGCATGCTTGAGATGCCCCCTATGAAGTGTGGACTTGAGATGCCCCCTCTGGAGTCTGGTGGAACATTAGGTACCAATCTTATTACACTCTTATGGTGCCTCTCCCATACCTTATGAAAGCAGTGAGTCACTGATATATTTATTGTTAGACAAGATGAATAACAGTAGTCTGACACTTGAGCCAGGAGTCTCCAGGGCTAAATCATACAGTGTCTTGTCTGTGGGAAAGGGAGTGCTACTCTACCTGTCACCTTCCCCCTTCTAGTGAACATGGGATCTCATTGTATCCATTCTCTCTCCCTCCTGTCATGTGAACCTCATTCCTCATCATGAGAGATCAGAGAGAGGATGGATGATGTCATGTGAGCACCAGGCAGCTCTCTCTCTAATCTCAGTCCTCAGTCTGTCCCAGACCTCTCTAGCTGCTCTGGTTAGGGCCCCAGGGGGAGGCTGTGCTAGTTACAGGAACCCTCTTGTAGGTCAGCGCTCCAGGTTCAAACTGCTTCACATCACTATCAAATGGTGGATGGATGAGTGTGAGCTAAGGGCTAGCAGTTAGCGGCATCCATCACAAAGACAATACCAGTCATATGAGTTTCTTATGAGGGGGAGTGGAGGTGGGAATAGGTGTCACTCACACGGAGGGCGGAGGTTAGACCTGAGTTTAATCAGCGGTTCCGATCCGCCTTCGGCTGTGCGGTGCATCTTCCCTTTCCTTGGCGATGGTATGCCTTTGATGCCTCTCCTCTGCTCCCTGATCCGTGCGCTCCCACATCTCTTCTCCATCAAGTTATGCCTGATGACTCCCAGCTATTGAGACCCAGCTCAGCTGAATGATGGATCAGCAAATTCCTTATACAGAGCTGAGTTGTACTCACTTAGCATCTAGCTACCGCCCACTGACAACACTCCGGGATTAAAGTACAAACTGGCTTAAATCTCTCACTTAAAGGGATACTTCTGGATTTATCTACTTCCACAGAGTCAGATGAACTTGTGTATACCATTTATGTGTTTCTGCGTGCAGTTGGAAGGAAGTTGCTAACTTGTGTTAGCGCAATGAGCCGGAAGTCTACGGTATCAGCTAGCATACTGGATGCAGAGACATAAAAATGGTATCCATAAATTCATCTGACTCTGGGGAAGTATGTAAAGTGCTTCATTGCCAAAATCCCAAAGTATCCCTTTAAGAGATGCTTTACAACACCCTCTGGTATTCTATGGTGGTGGAACTGTCTTCATTTTGAGTGAACGTAAAGGTATAGCCTACCCTTGAATCCTTCATAGACGATAGTAAGACACATTTTCTCTTTTTGGTGCACAGCTACGTCTTCAGTCCAGTTTCCTTATCAGCTGTTTATGGTGTGATTATAACACCTTGAAACACATACACGCTTTTCTCTCCTCAGCTACAAGTCTATTGTGGAGTTTATCGACACCCAGTTTGAGGCCTATCTGCAGGAGGAGCTGAAAATCAAGCGCACGTTACACAGCTACCACGACACACGCATCCACGCCTGCCTGTACTTCATCACGCCCACCGGACACTCCCTCAAGTCCCTGGACCTAGTCACTATGAAGAAACTGGACAGCAAGGTGAGCTGCAAGACTAGCTAATTACACTACGATTCCAATGGTTCACTGGGTTCAACCTGCATGGGCCAGATATAGTATACTGAGTTGGCCTATATGTGTCACTGTCAATGTTGGCTTCTCTGTAAGTCGCTTTAGATAAAGATATTTGCCAAATTATCATATTACGCAATACATTCATTGAACTCTGCTGATTTGAAGTGTCACTTGAAAAGCAGCTTCCTTAATATGATGATAATCTCGGTTGAAGAGTTATATTTTATTCATAGCTATTTATAAAATGCAGGGGGAAAAGAGAAAGCTCTCTAGCCTCAAGATGATGTCACAATGTGGATGCAGGGCAGCATTGATGTCATCACAGAGAACTTCATCATCATTTCATTGTGGCTCATAAACTCTTCTACACCATTTGCACACTCAAAGATGGGCTCCTGTCCCGTGACGGTGTTGGTCGTCACGGTGACCGCTTACTCTATTTTCCTAGGGCCACCCCAAAAGGCCCTATTTGCATAGAGACTTCCTGACTTTCGAACAAAGGGGCTCCTCAGTGTTTGCCAGAGCAGCTGTACCCTAGCCACCTTCCAGCCTCTCACAGCAGTGTGGTCTGTGATCCAGAGCAGAAGCCTTCCTGTGTATACAGTCACACGGCTCTTAGCATCATCCCAGCATCCTTGGCACTAGTGACTGTAAAGCCCTCTATAGGAGGTCCAAGGACCAATGCTAGTGGGTGGTGCGGGAGGCAGGCAGCTACAATGAAACAAAGCCTGTTGCGTAGGAGGGAGTGCGGTGTCTCTGTGTTTATGGGTGAGAAGTGGTGATGGGTGAATGTTTGACAAAGACCCCCCTGCATCCTCAGGCCTCCTTTTCAGTCCTGTGGGCTCCTCTTCATTCCTGTGGGCTCCTCTTCAGTCCTGTTGGCTCCTCTTCAGTCCTGTGGGCTCCATTGAAGCAGATATTCTGGCATGCTGTATCTCTTCCCTCTCTCTCCATGTTCTGATTTTGGCACCAAGCATGGGGGCTGGAGGAAGGGTTTCTTCTAAACAAGCCGGATCAGTAGGCTCTCATCATTAACATTGTGTTTGGAGATCTCTTCACGAGATAGATCCTGCGTTAGAGGTTGACTATACTACCCTCTCTGGTAAATGCTCTTACTGCTCTGCACTGCTGTCTATTTTTCTGTCTTTGCTTCGTTCCAAGCTCTGATTATGGCGGAAATGCACATAGATATGCCCGAATCAAACAACCCTGAAGCTAGTAGAGACTAGGGGTGTTCAGATATAAAAATACGTTACATTTATAGCTTTTGTATCCGTCTGCATGATTTCCCTGCTGTAGACCAAGGCACAAGGCATCCAGAGAAGCGTAAGAAAGGGAGGGGTGGGCCCAGATCTCAGGGTCTATTTATATCCTGTCTTGACCAGATGTTCCCCACTTGTCTCAGGAGGTTTAGCTAGCTAGCTGTGATGTAATGACCTGGCTGCATAGGAGATGCTCGCATTATCCGGCCCCGCTCTGCTATCTTCCAGCTGAGGTCTCCCTAGCAAACACAGAACGTACCCGTAATGTTCCCAGAAGGTTCTCCTTTGGTTATTTGCTAGCTGGGTGCACTCTCCAATCAGAACACCAGCTTGGTGCTGCTGCCCAATATAGGCTAAACCCAGCAGCTTGGGTACAACTTTGGTTTGATGAGTTTCTGGTATTGAGAAGTTCAGGATACAAGAGAGCAGTTGACACAGATGGATATTTGATTCAACCATTATTTAATGGTTATGATGATGGATTCACAAACAGTGACTACGTGCTTAGCCTCTTGTCATATGAATGATTTCCATGGAATATCTCTCAGCTTATATACTGCTATTCCAACCTACTTTTATCTTATCCAGTTGCTAACCATTATTGATTGTCACTCATCCACCACCATATCATCTACCTCCTCGGTGTAGTGTGGCACCCTAGCCAGGCCATTCCATCACGCACCCATCCTAAGATTAGCACCAGTGGCCCCCAATCTATCTTGGCACACTGACCTTCTATTCCTCACTCGTGACACCACTAACACATGGTGTGTCCCTGTTCATTGTCACTCATTCAGCTTAGGAGTTTACACACATTAATTAATATTGTATCATAAATCATCATATCAATAGGGGTTTAGTAGCGCATACAGAAAAAGTATATATTAACATTTATTTTAACAACATGTATGTACATGTATTTATTTGTATTTAAATTATAGATATCTAAATATATGTTTAAGTCATTACAAAATTGGCCATTTTCATATATTTCTACATATATGTTTTTGTATTTAAGTATATGGTGTGGAAATAGATTTTGACAGTATGCTGTGGTAGCTAGTAAAATATATTCCCAAAATAGACACTGAGTGTACAAAACATTAGGAACATCTGCTGTTTCCATGACATAGACTGACCAGGTGAATCCAGGTGAAAGCAATGATCCCTTATTGATGACACTTGTTAAATCCACTTCAATCAGTGTAGATGAAGGGGAGGAGACAGGTTAAAGAATGATTTTTAAGCCTTGAGATATGGATTGTGTATGTGTGCCATTCAGAGTGTGAATGGGCAAGACAAAAGATTTAAGTGCCTTTGAACGGGGTATGGTAGTAGGTGCCAAGCACACTGGTTTGAGTGTGTCAAGAACTGCAACGCTGCTGGGTTTTTCACACTCAACAGTTTCCCATGTGTATCAAGAATGGTCCACTACCCAAAGGACATCCAGCCAACTTGACACAACTGTGGGAAGCATTGGAGTCAACATGGGCCAGCATCCCTGTGGAACACTTTCGACACCTTGTAGAGTCCATGCTCCGACGAATTGATGCTGTTCCAAGGGCAAAAGGCGGTGCAACTCAATATTAGGAAGGTGTTCCTTATGTTTCGTACACATGAGAAAGCTTTTTGGCGGTGACAGCCTAAATTGTAACGCTGCGCTGTCAGTTGGAGGCGGGGCTGGGGCTGCAGAATTTATTTTCAACTACAACTTTTGCATGCAAAATACCACTTTGGAAACCTAATGCTAAGGTATCAGAGGTCAATAGAGACTCAACATTATCATTGGGTAGAGAAGGTTGTGAGGTGTGAGTGTGTATTTTACATATATTTTATTTATGTATATATTTGATTAAAATATAATCCCAATATATAAAAACATTATTGAAATGTATTCCAATATATTATTTTTCTGTATGGGAGTGTTTTGTATGTGCTTACTATAGATTAAGCTTAGTTTTGTACTTAAAAATGATCAATGCAAACCTCCAGCGAAAAGGCTTTCTAGTCCAGGACTAGGCTTAATCTGTATCTGGGAAACCAACCCTTAATGTGTGGAGCTGAGAGGTTTTGGATCAAATGATTATAAGATTATCTTGATCTACATTGTTTTTCATGGGCTCTGTTTGAAAGTAGAGCCAATTTAGACAATTTAGGTTGTTTTTTCTGGCCTTCTGAAAGCAGAGGGTTATACATTTCATTTGACATGAGCCTCAAAGCTGTTCCTTATTTAGCTACATCCCAATGTATGGTCATTATTTGTTCACACCTTTTCACTGTCAGCCGATCATAACAATCCTAAATCTGCTCTGTTCTCTAGCTGCTAGCATACACTTTGTACTAAATTTTGTAATTCTGATTGTAAAAAACAAACAAATCAATTCCTGTGTTTTTTTAATGTATTTGGATGGATTGTTTTGTCTATTTGCTGAACAAATACATTCCTCATTAGCGGATAGCCTAATAACATTTTCTGATCTAATTTAATCTCCTCAAACAACAGGTCAACATCATCCCCATCATCGCCAAATCAGACGCAATCTCCAAGAGCGAGTTGACCAAGTTCAAGATCAAGATCACCAGTGAGCTGGTCAGCAACGGTGTTCTGATCTACCAATTCCCCACTGACGACGAGACGGTGGCAGAGATCAACTCCACCATGAACGTAAGATAAACCTTCTCTGATGCCGCTCATTTTAGTTCAGCAGCATTTCAGCAAGTTATACAGACTTACTAGTTATTGTTGAGAAGTATGAGAGTGACTGACAAGGTTTGTTTAGGAAGAAATATCAAGTGATACAATACTTGATTGTCTGTTTTCATGGAAGATATTTTTGTGAGGCCAGGTACATACAATATACAGTTGAAGTCGGAAGTTTGCATACACCTTAGCCAAATACATTTAAACTCAGTTTTTCACAATTCCTGACATTTAATCCTAGTAAAAATTCCCTGTTTTAGGTCAGTTAGGATCACCACTTTATTTTAAGAATGTGAAATGTCAGAATAATAGTAGAGAGAATTATTTATTTCAGATGTTATTTATTTCATCACATTCCCAGTTGGTCAGAAGTTTACGTACACTCAATTAGTATTTAGTATCATTGTCTTTCAATTGTTTAACTTGGGTCAAACGTTTCGGGTAGTTTTCCACAAGCTTCCCACAATAAGTTGGGTGAATTTTGGCCCATTCCTCCTGACAGAGCTGGTGTAACTGAGTCAGGTTTGTAGTCCTCCTTGCTCCCACATGCTTTTTCAGTTCTGCCCATATATTTTCTATAGGATTGAGGTCAGGGCTTTGTGATGGCCACTCCAATACCTTGACTTTGTTGTCCTTAAGCCATTTTGCCACAACTTTGGAAGAATGCTTGGGGTCATTGTCCATTTGGAAGACCCATTTGCGACCAAGCTTTAACTTCCTGACTGATGTCTTGAGATGTTGCTTCAATATATCCACATAATTTTCCTTCCTCATGATGCCATCTATTTTGTGAAGTGCACCAGTCCCTCCTGCAGCAAAGCACCCCCACATCATGATGCTGCCACCCCGTGCTTCACGGTTGGGATGGTGTTCTTCGGCTTGCAAGCTCCCCCTTTTTCCTCCAAACATAACGATGGTCATTATGGCCAAACAGTTCTATTTTTGTTTCATCAGACCAGAGGACATTTCTCCAAAAAGTACAATCTTTGTCCCCATTTGCAGTTGCAAACCGTAGTCTGGCTTTTTTATGGCGGTTTTGGAGCAGTGGCTTCTTCCTTGCTGAGCGGCCTTTCAGGTTATGTCGATATAGGACTCCTTTTACTGTGGATATAGATACTTTTGTACCTGTTTCCTCCAGCATCTTCACAAGGTCCTTTGCTGTTGTTCTGGGATTGATTTGCACTTTTCGCACCAAAGTACGTTCATCTCTAGGAGACAGAACGCGTCTCCTTCCTGAGCGGTATGACGGCTGCGTGGTCCCATGGTGTTTATACTTGTGTACTATTGTTTGTACAGATGAACGTGGTACCTTCAGTCATTTGGAAATTGCTCCCAAGGATGAACCGGACTTGTGGAGATCTACAATTTTTTTTCTGAGGTCTTGGCTGATTTCTTTTGATTTTCCCATGATGTCAAGCAAAGAGGCACTGAGTTTACATCTACAGGTACACCTCCAATTGACTCAAATGATGTCAATTAGCCTATCAGAAGCTTCTAAAGCCATGACATAATTTTCTGGAATTTTCCAAGCTGTTTAAAGGCACAGTCAACTTATTGTATATAAACTTCTGACCCACTGGAATTGTGATACAGTGAATTATAAGTGAAATAATCTGTCTGTAAACAATTGTTGGAAAAATTACTTGTGTCATGCACAAAGTAGATGTCCTAACCGACTTGCTAAAACTGTAGTTTGTTAACAAGAAATTTGTGGAGTGGTTGAAAAACAAGTTTTAATGACTCCAACCTAAGTGTATGTAAACTTCCGACTTCAACTGTACGTACAATATAGTGGACAAAATCATTACAGGAGTAGATATGGTTGTGTATCTGTACCCCTTGTGAGAGTTTCCTTTCACTTTGAGTTCTGAGTAATTTATTCTGTTCATTCTCAGAAAACTAAACCAGCAGCACTAGAGCAGGATACGAGCACCATCTGTGTCCACTCCTCCTCCTCCTCCTCCTCCTCCTCCTCCTCCTCCTCCACCACCTCCTCCTCCTAGTCAGGAAGCCACAGCAGCCCCACACAGGGAGAGGACAGTACAGTACAGTACAGTCCAGTACAGTGTATGACAATCAGCTAGCTCTCGCTACAGGAAGCTCTCAGTGTGAGAAAGGACCCCGAGCCGCTGGCTAACGGGCCGGGGCTAAATGAGCGGACCATGAGGAGTGACATAAGCGAGTAGAGAATGCCAACGCTTGCGACTGAGCAGAACCCAGCTGATTTGCATTAGTCAATTAGCTCTCTTAGACTCTCGCCCTCCGATCTCACGAAGACGCCACCGATCTTGCAGAAAGGTCACCCACACCGACCACTGCAGTGAGAAGCCCTTGCTGTCTATGAAAATGAGCTATCGCTGTTGGATGAATGGAACGTGTATTAACTTGCAATATAGACCTAACATGACACATGTCACTTGTAATTCACTTTGTGTTAGGTTCACTCTGCCAGTTGGTTCGCCTATCAAGAGATATGCTCCAATTTATCCAAATCTAAACAAATAAATAATCAAGTTATGTAATGGAGTGATAACATGGTATGATAATTGCAGGAAGTGTGAATAGTGTGTGTGCTTGCATGATGTGTATTTAGTTGTGTGTATTTGTGTGTGATATGTGTGTTGTGTTTGATAGAGAGTTTGATCGTTCCAAGATGGCGTAGTAGTGCAGTTCTGTTTTTGTCGTGTGTCTGTAAATAGCCTGTAAATACCCTGTTTTTTTGTATTTTTCGTACATATTTCCCTATCAGACTTTTCATCCTTCTACAAAATATACTTTCCTGCAACCCGCCTCACTCAATGTGGAACGGATTCTATTATTGACTTACCTTTTATCTAGAATCTCCAGTTGAAACTAGCTAGCCAGCTAACTAGCTACTTGCTATTAGCCACAGTTAGCGGTATTTCACCCAGAACATTGGATTTTTTTTCTGCAGGATTAATTTAATCACTGGACATTAATCACCGGATATTCGGCCAGTCTGCACAGCGCGTTATCGACCCAGAACATATCAGTTTTTCTGCCGGAATCACTGAATCACTGGACCTTTAACTCCGGTTTCATCGCTACCAGCTAGCTGCAACAAATTGGACGCTGTGGTCTGGCTAATCATCCTGAGCTAGGCCCATCTCCCGGCTATCTACCTCTCTGTCAACCGGACGGGACCACCTAGTGTTGACACGGAGCCCCGCCGATCCTACACGACTGGTCTGCCGACAAAATCGTCTGATGTGGTTACGACGTCGACCACGAAGATTCCATCTGCTAGCCCCGGCCCGCTAGCACACGCTAGCCATGGCCTCTTACTCGCTAGTGCTTTAGCAGCCTCCGAACTATCCTATTGCTATTCACCGGACCTTTGATAACTCAGCTACACAGCTGATGTCTGCTGGACTGTTCCTTTTTACGGTACTACATCCTGTTTATGTTTAGCCTCAGCCCAAACATGGTTAGCTTATTGTTGTTTCGGTTATTTCTAATTGTACTATTTCACTGTAGATCCCCCAGCCCAGCTAAACCTGCCTTAGATAGCTCCTTTGTCCCACCTCCCATACACGCGGAGACCGACTCAATTGATGCCTCCAGTGATGCTATCTCTTTCATTGTTACCCAACGCTTAGGTTTACCTCCACTTTACTCATATCCTTCCATATCCTTGTCTGTACATAATGCCCTGAATCTTTTCTACAACACCCGGAAATCTGCCCCCTTTATTCTATGTACCCAACGCACTAGAAGACCAGTTCTTAAAGCCTTTAGCCGTATCCTTATTCTAGTCCTCCTCTGTTCCTCTGGTGATGTAGAGGCTAACCCAGGCCCTGCAGCCCTCAGTATCACTCCTACTCCCCAGGCGCTATCATTTGCTGACTTCTGTAATCGCAAAAGTCTTGGTTTCTTGCACATAAATATCAGAAGTCTACTTCCTAAGTTTGAGTTATTCACTGCGTTAGCACACTCCGCCAACCCTGATGTTCTAGCAGTGTCTGAATCCTGGCTCAGGAAGGCCACCAAAAATTCTGAAATTTCCATCCCCAACTATAACATTTTCCGTCTAGATAGAACTGCCAAAGGGGGTGGAGTTGCAATCTACTGTAGAGATAGCCTGCAGAGCTCTATCATACTATCCAGGTCTGTGCCCAAACAGTTTGAGCTTCTACTTCTAAAAATCCACCTTTCCAGAAATAAGTCTCTCACTGTTGCCGCTTGCTACAGACCCCCCTCAGCCCCCAGCTGTGCCCTGGACACCATATGTGAATTGATTGCCCCCCATTTATCCTCAGAGTTCGTACTGCTTGGTGACCTTAATTGGGTATGCTTAATAACCCGGCCATCCTACAATCCAAACTAGATGCCCTCAACCTCACGCAAATGATCAACGAACCTACCAGGTACAACCCTAAATCCGTAAACATGGGTACCCTCATAGATATCATCCTGACTAACATACCCTCTAAATACAACTCAGCTGTCTTCAACCAGGATCTCAGCGATCACTGCCTTATTGCCTGCGTCCGTAACGGGTCCGCGGTCAAACGACCACCCCTCATCACTGTCAAACGCTCCCTAAAACACTTTAGCGAGCAGGCCTTCCTAATTGACCTGGCCCAGGTATCATGGATGGATATACAGTGGGGGAAAAAAGTATTTAGTCAGCCACCAATTGTGCAAGTTCTTCCACTTAAAAAGATGAGAGAGGCCTGTAATTTCCATCATAGATACACGTCAACTATGACAGACAAAATGAGAATTTTTTTTCCAGAAAATCACATTGTAGGATTTTTTATGAATTTATTTGCAAATTATGGTGGAAAATAAGTATTTGGTCAATAACAAAAGTTTCTCAATACTTTGTTATATACCCTTTGTTGGCAATGACACAGGTCAAACGTTTTCTGTAAGTCTTCACAAGGTTTTCACACACTGTTGCTGGTATTTTGGCCCATTCCTCCATGTAGATCTCCTCTAGAGCAGTGATGTTTTGGGGCTGTCGCTGGGCAACACAGACTTTCAACTCCCTCCAAAGATTTTCTATGGGGTTGAGATCTGGAGACTGGCTAGGCCACTCCAGGACCTTGAAATGCGTCTTACGAAGCCACTCCTTCGTTGCCCGGGCGGTGTGTTTGGGATCATTGTCATGCTGAAAGACCCAGCCACGTTTCATCTTCAATGCCCTTGCTGATGGAAGGAGGTTTTCACTCAAAATCTCATGATACATGGCCCCATTCATTCTTTCCTATACAAAGATCAGTCGTCCTGGTCCCTTTGCAGAAAAACAGCCCCAAAGCATGATGTTTCCACCCCCATGCTTCACAGTAGGTATGGTGTTCTTTGGATGCAACTCAGCATTCTTTGTCCTCCAAACACGACGAATTGAGTTTTTACCAAAAAGTTATATTTTGGTTTCATCTGACCATATGACATTCTCCCAATCCTCTTCTGGATCATCCAAATGCACTCTAACAAACTTCAGACGGGTACTGGCTTAAGCAGGGGGACACGTCTGGCACTGCAGGATTTGAGTCCCTGGCGGCGTAGTGTGTTACTGATGGTAGGCTTTGTTACTTTGGTCCCAGCTCTCTGCAGGTCATTCACTAGGTCCCCCCGTGTGGTTCTGGGATTTTTGCTCACCGTTCTTGTGATCATTTTGACCCCACGGGGTGAGATCTTGCGTGGAGCCCCAGATCGAGGGAGATTATCAGTGGTCTTGTATGTCTTCCATTTCCTAATAATTGCTCCCACAGTTGATTTCTTCAAACCAAGCTGCTTACCTATTGCAGATTCAGTCTTCCCAGCCTGGTGCAGGTCTACAATTTTGTTTCTGGTGTCCTTTGACAGCTCTTTGGTCTTGGCCATAGTGGAGTTTGGAGTGTGACTGTTTGAGGTTGTGGACAGGTGTCTTTTATACTGATAACAAGTTCAAACAGGTGCCATTAATACAGGTAACGAGTGGAGGACAGAGGAGCCTCTTAAAGAAGAAGTTACAGGTCTGTGAGAGCCAGAAATCTTGCTTGTTTGTAGGTGACCAAATACTTATTTTCCACCATAATTTGCAAATAAATTCATTAAAAATCCTACAATGTGATTTTCTGGATTTTTTTCTCTCAATTTGTCTGTCATAGTTGACGTGTACCTATGATGAAAATTACAGGCCTCTCTCATCTTTTTAAGTGGGAGAACTTGCACAATTGGTGGCTGACTAAATACTTTTCCCCCCCACTGTAGATCTCATTCCGTCAGTAGAGGATGCCTGGTTGTTCCTTAAAAGTAATTTCCTCTCAATCTTAAATAAACATGCCCCATTCAAAAAATACAGAACTAAGAACCGATATAGCCCCTGGTTCTCCTCAGACTTGACTGCCCTTGACCAGCACAAAAACATCCTGTGGCGTACTGCATTAGCATCAAATAGCCCCCGCGATATGCAACTTTTCAGGGAAGTTAGGAACCAATATACACAAGCAGTCAGGAAAGCAAAGGCTAACTTTTTCAAACAGAAATTTGCATCCTGTAGCACTAACTCCAAAAAGTTTTGGGACACTGTAAAGTCCATGGAGAATAAGAGCACTTCCTCCCAGCTACCCACTGCACTGAGGCTAGGAAACACTATCACCACCGATAAATCTACAATAATCGAGAATTTCAACAAGCATTTTGCTACAGCTGGCCATGCTTTCCATCTGGCTACAACTACCCCGGCCACCAACTCTGCACCCTCCGCTGCAACTTGCCCATGCCCCCCCCCCCCCCCCCGCTTCTCCTTCACACAAATTCAGACAGCTGATGTTTTGAAAGCGCTGCAAAATCTGGACCCCTACAAATCAGCTGGGCTAGACAATCTGGACCCTTTCTTTCTAAAACTAGCCGCCGAAATTGCCGCAACCCCTATTACTAGTCTGTTCAACCTCTCTTTCATAACGTCTGAGATCCCCAGAGATTGGAAAGCTGCCGCGGTCATCCCCCTCTTCAAAGGGGGTGACACTCTAGATCCAAACTGCTACAGACCTATATCCATCCTGCCCTGCCTTTCGAAAGTATTTGAAAGCCAAGTTAACAAACAGATCACCGACCATTTCGAATACCACCGTACCTTCTCCGCTATGCAATCCGGTTTCCGAGCTGGTCATGGGTGCACTTCAGCCACGCTCAAGGTCCTAAACGATATTATAACCGCGATTGATAATAGACAGTACTGTGCAGCCGTCTTCATCGACCTGGCCAAGGCTTTCGACTCTGTCAACCACCGCATTCTTATTGGCAGACTAAATAGCCTTGGTTTCTCAAATGACTGCCTCGCCTGGTTCACCAACTACTTCTCAGATAGAGTTCAGTGTGTCAAATCGGAGGGCCTGTTGTCTGGACCTATGGCAGTCTCTATGGGGGTGCCACAGGGTTCAATTCTTGGGCCGACACTTTTCTCCGTGTATATCAATGATGTCGCTCTTGCTGCTGGTGACTCTCAGATCCACCTCTACGCAGACGACACCATTTTGTATACATCTGGCCCTTCATTGGACACTGTGTTAACAAACCTCCAAACGAGCTTCAATGCCATACAACACTCCTTCAGTAGCCTCCAACTGCTCTTAAACACTAGTAAAACTAAATGCATGCTTTTCAATCGAACGCTGCTGGCACCCGCCCACCCGACTAGAATCACCACTCTCGACGGGTCTGACCTAGAGTATGTGGACAACTACAAATACCTAGGTGTCTGGTTAGACTGTAAACTCTCCTTCCAGACTCACATAAAGAATCTCCAATCCAAAGTTAAATCTAGAATCGGCTTCCTATTTCGCAACAAAGCCTCCTTCACTCATGCTGCCAAACATGCCCTCGTAAAACTGACTATCCTACCGATCCTTGACTTCGGCGATGTCATTTACAAAATAGCCTCCAACACTCTACTCAGCAAATTGGATGTAGTCTATCACAGTGCCATCCGTTTTGTCTCCAAAGCCCCATACACTACCCACCGCTGTGACCTGTACGCTCTTGTTGGCTGGTCCTCACTACATGTTCGTCGTCAAACCCACTGGCTCCAGGCCATCTATAAATCACTGCTAGGCAAATCCCCGCCTTATCTTAGCTCATTGGTCACCATAGCAGCACCCACCCGTAGTCTGCGCTCCAGCAGGTATATCTCACTGGTCATTCCCAAAGCCAACACCTCCTTTGGCCGCCATTCCTTCCAGTTCTCTGCTGCCAATGACTGGAACGAATTGCAAAAATCTCTGAAGCTGGAGACTCTTATCTCCCTCAATAACTTTAAGCATCAGTTGTCAGAGCACCTTACCGATCACTGCACCTGTACACAGCCCATCTGAAATTAGCCCACCCAACTACCTCATCCCTATATTGTTATTTATTTTGCTCTTTTGCACCCCAGTATCTCTATTTGCACATAATCTCTTGCACATCTAGCATTCCAGTGTTAATACTATTGTAATTATTTTGCACTATAGCCTATTTATTGCCTTACCTCCATAACTTGCTACATTTGCACACACTGTATATATATTTTCTGTTGTATTTTAGACTTTATGTTTTTTACCCCATATGTAACTCTGTGTTGTTTTTATTGCACTGCTTTGCTTTATCTTGGCCAGGTCGCAGTTGTAAATGAGAACCTGTTCTCAACTGGCTTACCTGGTTAAATAAAGGTTAAAAAAAAAAGGCAGAGACTCAGGTGTCGGTGACGAGAATCCTTTCTCCCGTCTGCTCCGCAGGCCCATTTGCCGTTCGCCGTGGTGGGAAGCACGGAGGAAGTGAAGATCGGCAACAAGATGGTGAAAGCGCGGCAGTACCCCTGGGGGACGGTACAGGGTAAGCTAGGTCACATCAACAGAGGAAATGAGAGGGGAGATCGTCACACCCATTCCACCCTAACTCCCTAAACAACTGCATTCATACCGTCAAGAGGGATGCCATCACTGCTGCTTATGTAATCTCATTCATGTTTGTCTATTTAACACTGCATGTGCCCACTCTTTCATAATTGTATGAGCTACAGCAGTTGTTGCTTGAGTCATGTCACAAATGTCTGAGGGTTCTATGGGATTGATTTATCTCAAACAAGTCAATATTGCTTGAAAAGTGGTAGATCATGAAACCTGTGAGCATGATCAGGGAAAGTCACTGATTTACCATAGGAATACAGATGTTAAATCTCTCGTATTCTCAGTATATCAAATTATAAGATATTAGAATTATATGACACTTCCTCCATATCCCCACACCTTATCAGCTGTCAATTTGTTATTTGGTTCAGTATGGTGTACTCGTGCGTATGTCAGTGTAGGCTGTGTGTGGATACGTGGGGGGTTATATGAACTAGACCTAGCCCTGCCTAGCACATGGAACATATATACAATAGTTGTTTCCGGAGGCTGAGGCTGTCTCAGACATTGTGTACCATGCTCTACTCAGTTCACTCTATGGTTCATTGATGGTGCACGAGGCCAGGGGCCACCTCACGTGGCACTCCGCTAGATTCTAAAACCAGAAATTAACCCGCCATAGGGCATGAATGGAGCTGCATTAGTGTACATTTGTTAACGCATGAGCAGACTTCTGAATCACTGAGTATTACACATGCCTGCAGTTTAATCAGAAATGTGTTTAAAACAAGCAATTGTGTGAGCTGTATGTTTCTGGTCTTTTACAATGGTTGTTTGTTCAATCTGACCCACACTGTCACAACCAGTGGTAGTGTTTTAATCGAACGCCGTTGAGTAGTAGCTGTCTGACGCATGATGGGGTGTTTGTATGAATGTATGTGTGTGTGTGTGTGTGTGTGTGTGTGTGACATTGGCAGTGGAGAATGAGAACCACTGTGACTTTGTGAAGCTGAGAGAGATGCTGATCAGGGTGAACATGGAGGATCTTAGAGAGCAGACTCACACCAGACACTACGAGCTCTACCGCCGCTGCAAGCTGGAGGAGATGGGCTTCAAGGACACGGACCCTGACTGCAAACCCTTCAGGTGAGGCTGCTTCTCTTCATATTTCCTCCTTACTTCCTGTTTCTGTTTCCTCCCTACATCCCTCAGAGACTGCGTCCCGATTCTCCACCCTGCACACTCCTTGTCATGGATTTAACAATGGTTGAAACTCCCTCCACAGGGATGCCCTTTGTATGTTATTTATTTTCTTTAGCCACAGAACCCCTAGCAACAATAATTAGAACTCATGGCTCAATACGGGGCATAGAGATTGGTGGAGATCAACATGTGACATCATTGTATGCAGATGACATTTTACTTTATTTATCTGAACCAGAACATTCTCTGTCATTTATTTTTTATTGTGGTCCTCTGTAGCTCAATTGGTAGAGCATGGCGCTTGTAACGCCAGGGTAGTGGGTTCGATCCCCGGGACCACCCATACGTAAAAATGTATGCATACATGACTGTAAGTCGCTTTGGATAAAAGCGTCTGCTAAATGGCATATTATTATTATTATTATTATTATTTTACTACTGTTGGACACATGGTGCTGTATCAGGCTTGAAAGTGAATTGGGAGAAAACTGAAATAATGCCCATTTCTAATCATGACTTCTCAAGCTTAGAAAGTACAGTCGTGGTCAAAGGTTTTGAGAATGACACAAGTATTGGTCTTCACAAAGTTTTCTGCTTCAGTGTTTTTAGATATTTTTGTCAGATGTTACTATGGTATACTGAAGTATAATTACAAGCATTCCATACGTGTCAAAGGCTTTTATTGACAATTACATTAAGTTTATGCAAAGAGTCAATATTTGCAGTGTTGACCCTTCTTTTTCAAGACCTCTGCAATCCACCCTGGCATGCTGTCAATTAACTTCTGGGCCACATCCTGACTGATGGCAGCCCATTCTTGCATAATCAATGCTTGGAGTTTGTCAGAATTTGTGGGTTTTTGTTTGTCCAATCTTGAGGATTGACCACAAGTTCTCAATGGGATTAAGGTCTGGGGAGTTTCCTGGCCATGGACCAAAATGTTGATGTTTTGTTCCCCGAGCCACTTAGTTATCACTTTTGCCTTATGGCAAGGTGCTCCATCATGCTGGAAAAGGCATTGTTCATCACCAAACTGCTCTCGGAGGATGTGTTGGTACCATTCTTTATTCATGGCTGTGTTCTTAGGCAGAATTGTGAGTGAGCCCACTCCCTTGGCTGAGAAGCAACCCCACACATGAATGGTCTCAGGATGCTTTACTGTTGGCATGACACAGGACTGATGGTAGTGCTCACCTTTTCTTCTCCGGACAAGCTTTTTTCCGGATGCCCCAAACAATCGGAAAGGGGATTCATCAAAGAAAATGACTTTACCCCAGTCCTCAGCAGTCCAATTGCTGTACCTTTTGCAGAATATCAGTCTGTCCCTGATTTTTCCTGGACAGAAGTGGCTTCCTCGCTGCCCTTCTTGACACCAGGCCATCCTCCAAAAGTCTTCGCCTCACTGTGTGTGCAGATGCACTCACACCTGCCTGCTGCCATTCCTGAGCAAGCTCTGCACTGGTGGTGCCCCGATCCCGCAGCTGAATCAACTTTAGGAGACGGTCATGGCGCTTGCTGGACTTTCTTGGGCGCCCTGACGCCTTCTTCACAACAATTTAACCTCTCTCCTTGAAGTTCTTGATGATCCGATAAATGGTTGATTTAGGTGCAATCTTACTAGCAGCAATATCCTTGCCTGTGAAGCCCTTTTTGTGCAAAGCAATGATGACGGCACGCGTTTCCTTGCAGGTAACCATGGTTAACAGAGGAAGAACAATGATTTCAAGCACCACCCTCCTTTTAAAGCTTCCAGTCTGTTATTCTAACTCAATCAGCATGACAGAGTGATCTCCAGCCTTGTCCTCGTCAACACTCTCACCTGTGTTAACGAGAGAATCATTGACATGATGTCAACTGGTCCTTTCGTGGCAGGGCTGACATGCAGTGGAAATGTTTTATTTTATTTTTATAAGTTCATTTTCATGGCAAAGAGGGACTTTGCAATTAATTGCAATTCATCTGATCACTCTTCATAACATTCTGGAGTATATGCAAATTGACATCATAAAAACTGAGGCAGCAGACTGTGAAAATGTATATTTGTGTCATTCTCAAAACTTGACCATGACTGTACATCAAAGTGGAACTAGACAAAGACACATATGAAATCCCTGGGTGTACTGATACCATGCAGTCTGGAAGAGGCATATAAAATCAATTACTCTCCTTTAATAGATAGGTTTGAATCTGATGTTCAGAGATGGAGATCTCTCCCTATCTCCATGTTGGGTAGGGTCAACATAATCAAAATGAATATATTACTAAGGTTGATGTATTTATTCCAGGCCCTGCCAGTTTCAATTCCATCCAACTTTTTAAATTAAATAAATGGCCTGCTCCAACTTTATTTGGAATGGAAAGACCTTAGGAAGATGGGAAGATGTATTACTGGGCTGCACAACTGCGTTCACTTAAACAATGGACAGCAGACTATCCTTGTGCATGGAGGAGTATTTAAGCCATACATTTAATACCTTATGATCTAAAATATATTCACTATATTCACTACTAAAACAGAGTCCAATGATTCTCAATTTCATTCGTGTTTTGGAAAATATACATAAGTTAATGAGGTGGAAAGATCCAATATCGCCAGGCCCCCCTATTTGAAATAACCTCACCTTACCTCCAGTGTTTAATGATAACACCTTTAAGTCCTGGTTCCAAAGTGGCATTATGAATTTTGAACATGGATCTCTACTGTCATTCAATCAATTACAGGTAAGATTTGGATTATCCAAGGCCAATTTCTTTAAGTTCTTCCATTCAACAGAATCTGGATGAACCAACGGCATCTAGTATAGAAAAAATACTGAAAGAAACTGCTACGCCAAAGAAGTTGATTGCCAAGTTATATTTACATTTACGTCATTATATCAAGGGTTGATTGAAACTCTACCAGATGGTTAGAGGAAAAATGGGAAACAGATCTAAAGGAAGAAATTGAGGAGAACCATTGGTCACAGATACAGTGGGGAAAAAAAGTATTTAGTCAGCCACCAATTGTGCAAGTTCTCCCACTTAAAAAGATGAGAGAGGCCTGTAATTTTCATACTATGACAGACAAAATGAGGAAAAAAAATCCAGAAAATCACATTGTAGGATTTTTAATGAATTTATTTGCAAATTATGGTGGAAAATAAGTATTTGGTCAATAACAAAAGTTTCTCAATACTTTGTTATATACCCTTTGTTGGCAATGACACAGGTCAAACGTTTTCTGTAAGTCTTCACAAGGTTTTCACACACTGTTGCTGGTATTTTGGCCCATTCCTCCATGCAGATCTCCTCTAGAGCAGTGATGTTTTGGGGCTGTCGCTGGGCAACACGGACTTTCAACTCCCTCCAAAGATGTTCTATGGGGTTGAGATCTGGAGACTGGCTAGGCCCCTTCAGGACCTTGAAATGCTTCTTACGAAGCCACTCCTTCGTTGCCCGGGCGGTGTGTTTGGGATCATTGTCATGCTGAAAGACCCAGCCACGTTTCATCTTCAATGCCCTTGCTGATGGAAGGAGGTTTTCACTCAAAATCTCACGATACATGGCCCCATTCATTCTTTCCTTTACACGGATCAGTCGTCCTGGTCCCTTTGCAGAAAAACAGCCCCAAAGCATGATGTTTCCACCCCCATGCTTCACAGTAGGTATGGCGGCGTAGTGTGTTACTGATGGTAGGCTTTGTTACTTTGGTCCCAGCTCTCTGCAGGTCATTTACTAGGTCCCCCCGTGTGGTTCTGGGATTTTTGCTCACCGTTCTTGTGATCATTTTGACCCCACGGGGTGAGATCTTGCGTGGAGCCCCAGATCGAGGGAGATTATCAGTGGTCTTGTATGTCTTACATTTCCTAATAATTGCTCCCACAGTTGATTTCTTCAAACCAAGCTGCTTACCTGTTGCAGATTCAGTCTTCCCAGCCTGGTGCAGGTCGACAATTTTGTTTCTGGTGTCCTTTGACAGCTCTTTGGTCTTGGCCATAGTGGAGTTTGGAGTGTGACTGTTTGAGGTTGTGGACAGGTGTATTTTATACTGATAACAAGTTCAAACCGGTGCCATTAATACAGGTAACGAGTGGAGGACAGAGGAGCCTCTTAAAGAAGAAGTTACAGGTCTGTGAGAGCCAGAAATCTTGCTTGTTTGTAGGTGACCAAATACTTATTTTCCACCATCATTTGCAAATCAATTCATTAAAAATCCTACAATGTGATTTTCTGGATTTTTTTCCTCAATTTGTCTGTCATAGTTGACGTGTACCTATGATGAAAATTACAGGCATCTCTCATCTTTTTAAGTGGGAGATTGCACAATTGGTGGCTGACTAAATACTTTTTTCCCCACTGTATGTGAAAATGTTCATATCTGCCCCTACAACCGAAGACATAAACTACTGCAATTCATGATAATTCATAGGACTTCCTACACTCCTGCCAGAATGCATGTAATGCACCCAGAAATGTCACATATCTGTTGGAGATGCAAAAAGCACAAATGAAACCTATTACATATATCTGTTGGGAAATGTAAATATTGGTGATCAATATCAGAGAAAGTTTTGTAATCTAGGTCTAATTGTTGCAAGTAAAATGGATAGCCATCTATTGGAAAGCCTTATATTCACCCTCAATAACAAACAGGAGGACTGAACTATCTAGCTACATCCCATAAGACTATATATTATCAAATTAAACATAAACCAGACATATTTGACAGAATTTGAAAAACATATGTTGACCACCTTAAAGAATGTTTTGTATAGTGGGCGTTTTGTTTTTGAGTTGTAGTCCTGTAAAAAAAGTAAAAATCAATAGTTACAAAAAATAAGAAACTCCCTCCATCCAATTCTTACATACTTTCAATGCTTTAAAATCCATGCTGAGGAGTGTGCAAGTGCACTCTTTAGGAGAAGGGTGGAGAATGGGGAAGCACTACTTTCCACTTTCTACCACCCCTTTAGTTAATCACACCTACTTTTTGCATTTTGATTTAAATGACAGTAATGGTAGACATAGTACTAACATGTATGACTCATTAGTATGACATCATTTCTGACTTTCCTCTTTCTGTGTGGAGCCCAGTCTGCAGGAGACGTACGAGGCCAAGAGGAACGAGTTCATGGGAGAGCTGCAGAAGAAAGAGGAAGAGATGAGGCAGATGTTCGTCCAGAGAGTCAAGGAAAAGGAGGCTGAGCTGAAGGAGGCCGAGAAAGAGGTGTGTGTGTTAGTGTACACAGGAAGGTTTCTCCGTTACTAGTTAACGCTTTCATTCTGCCACGTCCTCACCAATCCTACCAACCTAAGAAGAACTACGGTTACATGTGTGACATCTCTGTTTGCTACAGATATCACACCTTCTAAAAGAGTTTCTATCTAAGACGTAAGTCTTCTCCCTCGCCACACAGCTGCACGAGAAGTTTGACCGGCTCAAGAAGCTGCACCAGGATGAGAAGAAGAAGCTGGAGGACAAGAAGAAATCCCTGGATGACGAGCTCAACGGCTTCAAGCAGAAAAAGATGGCCGCCGAGCTCCTGCAGTCCCAGGCCCAGCAGGCAGGTGGCTCCACCACACTCAAGAGGGACAAGGAGAGAAAAAAGTAAGTATCTTCGTCCGCGTTCACCTCCCTCCTACTCACACAGCAGGCAGTGTTCAGGGTCATGTTCATTAGGCACCCAAACAGAAGAGAACAGACCCAAACAGGGAGGGACTACCTGGACTTGTTCATGTTTAGTTCTAAACATTTTAACATGTTTTCTGTTGCGTGCACTAATGAACACGACCCAGCTATCCTTGAGGATTCCTTAGGGATACTAGACTGGAGCAATTTGATGTCACAACCTGATCTAGGAGGATCAAAGACCAACTGGATAAGTTGTGACTATAGTGTTTCCCCTAGATCGTTTTCCAGGCAGAGCGCAAAGGCCACCAAATCAACATTAACCAAAATGAGGGGTTCCCCGCCTATACAATAATCGGGGAAACACTGGGTCATTCATTCCACTTAGAATAGATGCCATCCAAATGACGTATTACTGTTCTTCCCTATCCATGTATGTATACTTGGTGATACAGATGGTGGGATGGACTGATCAAAATAGAAATGTGATTTAATTCTGTGCTGTATGTATGTGGACCACTGTACTGTATGCTGTTGTTGCGTCAGCCGCACCTCAGATATGAAGAAGCCTGGCACACACCACACCTAGACAAACAACAAACTCCTTAATCAAAGCTTTCATTTGCCTTGTGTCGATACATTTCCAGGAACTCTTTGCCTGACCGTTAATGTCACTGAGCACTGAGTGGTTTCTCTCCCCAGTCTAATGGACGAGTGATAATCAACGTAGCTGACTCTGATTACTTTGAAATGGAGGAGCAATAGATGTAGTGATGCTTAGCTTAGCAGTCTAGCAAGCTTTTGCTCTTAAGCCTTTATAACTATGGTATAGAGGGGGACTTGCAAATTTTCTCCTCAAAATGAACACGAAATGCACCAGAAATTAGGATCGCTTCCACTTTACTGTGATTTTAGATTGTTTTCTATCCACCTTTATCATACAGAGTAGAGTACTATAGTTAGTAATATCCTAAACCAGATGAATCTAGATTAGACTTGGTATTACAGTAATCTGATTGTATTGACCCTAGACTAGGGACACTGCTGGTATAGGTCTATACCCCATAGGAATGTTGGTGAAGTCATTTTTACAGCTTGTTTTACCTGTAGTATAGGGCTGCAGTATTAGGGCCGTGGTGACAGAGAGTTGTTGTTGTCGTGGGTCCTTTCATGTTGGTAATCACTGTATTCAAGCTGATGTGAGCCCTGTTAGAGAGAATGAAGACACTTGCACTGAGAAAGGTTCTTTTTTTAAATTCTAAATGATTTTCTTTACAGTTCTTCTGTCATTTCTCTCCGCTGTCTCTGAACTCTGGAGTTTTCCCCCCCACCAGGCAGCTGTTTTTCCTCCTCACAGTGTTCACTTTACTCTCCTCCCCATTCACTTCATGTCTCTGGGTTACTGATCAAAACATTATTGGCCAGTTTCCTGGACACAGATTAAGCCTTGACCTAGACTAAAAAGCCTAGCTTAATCTTGTCTGTGAAACTGGCCGTATGAATTATAGTTAATACTTCCTCATTTGCGAAACCTTTGGATCCCAAACTTGGAGCCTTTCTATTTCTTTATCTAGTTCAAAACATAAGCCTGTAGATAGCTTATGCTACAAATTAATGTTTTCTTCAGGAACCAAAGGACATGAGCATGACATGTTTTAATGTGTGGTGTAGATGTGAGTGGTGTAGATGTGACATGTGTATGTGTTGCCGCATTCAAGACAACTCGGAAACTCTGACATTTCCGACTTATAAACTCGTTGTAGAAAGATGAGGCCCAAGTTTCCCACTTTGAAAATATCTGAATCAGCCAATAGGAAGATCTACACAAAAAACGTACGTACATTTTTACTCGGAGGTTCCTAGTTTCCGAGTTGTCTTGAATGCACCATATGTCTTCTGTGAGTGCATGTGTCACCTATGTTCATCCATGCTGTTTTACAGTTAACTCCTCCCCCACTTGCTGCATGCTGCATGAGGCATCTTGTCCTGGTAAGGCTTGCATATTCAACTGTTCCCCTGGTAACCAATGATAAAAAGCACATAAAACAATGTTTAAATACATGTTAATCAGATGTGAGTTAAACACATATTTGAACTTAAATGAGAAGGAAGTCCTCAAATTATAATTATAAACTTTTCCAAATTGATTTCAATAACAGTCTTTTAACTTCTAGCAGCTGGTAGAAATGCAGGCAACAATATGTCTACTATCAATACCACAACAATCTGCTTTTGTGGTCCGCCCCTGCCCTGCCCAGCCACTACACAAAGAGCCGTTCAAAGTCCAGCAGAAACTGCAGGGTCACTCTAGTGCGCTGTTCAGCCTCAGGGCCGATCCTTGTGTATGAGGATTTTTTATAGCAATGTTTTTTTGTTGATCCTTCAGCTATTTGACACCCACCTCTTTATTGATACAAAAGAAACACCTACTGAGAGCTACGCTATTCATACAGACTCAGCCATAAACTCTTCGAAAAAAGGGTTCCAAAAGGCTTCTTCGGCTGTCCCCATCTGTGTTAGTCCATAAAATAAGTAGTCTTGCACAAGCGGCAGGAGCCAATCTCCTGTTTCTGTAGCGTGAGTCAGCTTGATGTACAAGTAAACCCCCTGGACAGGACACTAGACTATTACAGGGCCTTACCCCCAATCTATCTCCTTGATGCTGAATGCCAAGCAGAGACACATCAGGTCCCATTTTATTTTGTTTGGTATGACTCGGCCAGGATGGAACTCCCAACCTTCCAATCTCATGGCGCACACTCTGACCACAAGGCCGAGTCATACCAAAGATGTGTTAGGTTATTAGCATACCAAATCAATTTAGTTTCAACAGATACTCTAAATCTCCCCAGCCCCCAAACACTCATAAGTCCTATAAACAGTAACAACCTAAATGCGTGTTCCTTTTAACATTACATCTTACCACTAGCATGAATGTGATTCTGTCATTTGATTAAAAAGTATGTCTATCACAGGAAGTTGGTGGCACCATCATTGGGGAGGATGGGCTCGTGGTAATGGCTGGTTTCCATGTGTTTGATGCCATTTCATTTGTGCCATTTCGGCCATTATTATGAGCTGTCCTCCCCTCAGCAGCCTCCTGTGGTATCTACTAGTGTTGGTGTTAACCCCTAGAAAGCAGTAATGGTCCTTCTCTCTCGTTTCCAGTTCAGGATTCCTGTAGGAATGATTTTTCACCCCATCCCTGGCAGTGCCATGCTGTTCTCTGTGCCCTCCTGCCCTCCCCCCTCTCCCCCATTCCAAACCCCACACATGCCCCTGCCAAGTGGAAGAATCCAGCCATTACTGTGAATGGGAATCCTTGACTCAAATGCATCCTTTTTGCGCTAAAGATGCTTGTTTTTGTACGTTTTTTTTTTTTACAAGCCATCATTCTGCCTGTTTGTTTTCTGTTGGAAAGTAGATGTATTCTCTTGTTGTTTTTGTTGTTGACCTGTTCTGCATGACTGAGTGTGCTTTTAACTTTTATATGCACAACTACTGTTGTGACAGGCAGGAGTTTGTGGAGGCTAAGGTGAAACGTACATCAGCTGTGGTCAGACCAGGCCAGTGGTGTGTGCGTGTGCGTGTGCTTGTGCGTGTTTGTGGACACGTTTTACTATACTTGTAAGTACCAGAAGTCCTCAAAAGAATAGTAAACCAACTAAAATTCAGAGATGTGAGGAAATGTTGTTGGTCCTCACTTGTAAAAAGGCTATTTTAGCCTTAGGGGTTAGGTTTAGGGTTAGAATTGGGGTTAGAATTAGGGTTATGGTTAAGGGTTAAGGTTAGGTTAAGAGTTAGGTTTAGGGTTAGCGGTTAGGGAAAATAGGATTTTGAATGGAAATCAGTTGTTGGTCCCCAAATAGACCTCACTAGTATAGTAAGACATAGCTGTGTGTGTGTGTGTGTGTGTGTGTGTGTGTGTGTGTGTGTGTGTGTGTGTGTGTGTGTGTGTGTGTGTGTGTGTGTGTGTGTGTGCGCGCTCATTAGCATCTTCCGGTCCATGTTTCAGACCACCACTATTCTACTCACTACCAGGGTATCTTCAACCACTCCAATAGTATGACATTATGATGGTGTGCACTGATATCGTATTGGCATGCAATGCATAATTATTGAAAATTAAGATACAATCATAGTATGTTTTGAATGAGGGCATGTTGTCCACCGCCTATCAAGAGAGTAGCCTGGTCCCAGATCTGTTTGTGCTTTTGCCTGCTCCTAACATGGCATGATAATGAGTGACAGGGAGTTGGCATGATGGCACAAACAGACTTGCACTCAGGCTATAGAGAGAGTGAGTGTTAATAGTCAACTGCTGATGTTATTTCATCTTAGCCTGGTGCATGTGCAGATATTAAAGATTTCTTGTCATCTCTTTGCCATACCTCATTGTTTTTCATATACTGTACACTATCTGCATACTTGTTAGCTTTTCACATTTGCACATTTTACACAAATGTGATTTTGTATATTTCCAGTGCAGTTGTGACTTTTAGATTTTTTCTACATATAACAGCATATTTTAAGCCATTTAACCAAATAACAATTATGTAGGGATCAGTATTGCACTTGTATCATCAGTGTTACACAAAAAATACTTAATCTCCAAAGGAAATAAAGGGCGAATTTCACCAAATATTTCAACTTTGGCCACGATTATTGTGTATGAAATATTTAATGAAGCAGTAACATATAGTATGTGAGTGGGTTCTGAACATGTGATGATATTAGGGTTTCACATAAATTCTGATTACAGTTGAAAACACTGGGTTTGGTCTAGAGAGTTAAGGTCTAGATATTTAACTCTCATTCAAGGGCTTTGAGATATCACGCCATTGTTATTGTCAAAACAACTCTCCTTACAGAGCTTTACAGAGCAAAATTGTCTGCAAACTTGAATTCATAGGGCTGAACCCTAACTTGGGATATCCGCACGTAACTTGGAATTTCACATAAATCATGCATTGAATTCATTGG